CATAAAGGACTTGTATTTTCTTTTATTCAGTTTCTTCAAGATACTGACACTGAGATGAGCAAGGATTTGAGGATGTTCTAAGCAATTCCATTTGGTGTCGTAATTACATCTTGATTAATTCCATCCACATGGAGAATTATGAGCATTTCTTTTTTTCTTTTCCTTATCTGCAGGGTACATTTTAAAAGATTTTGTGCTAAATGCAAGTCGTGCAAAGTTGGGAAGAACTGTGGCAATCTGCAAACAAAGCACCTTTAGGGACTGAGAAGGGATAAATGAGAGGAGTAACAGGGGCAGGATCGTTCCCATGATCTTTGCTCTGACTTTATGTGAATACATCCTAACTCAGTTTATAAACTCTTTGAAGCAGGACTCTTTCTGGTTTTCTGCTTTTACCCAAATGATGGGGTTTTTATGCATCCTGTATAACAGGCCCCAGCTACGGCTCCTGGATCGATACAAACAGGAGTGAAAAATAACACTGTTGTAAACTGCTGTGACTAATTCCTTGGATTAGTAATACAAAACCCAATTCAATCCATACTGCAGGATTTTATCAGAGGCCAAGGACTAATTCAAGATTTTACCAGCACCTGCCTGCTTTTCCACGGAATAATGGCAAAATGTCTTTCCAATTCTGATTTTAACCCATTAAAGCCTGTTGACAAAATCATTAAATTTTAAGAATTGAGTCGAATCCTTTCCAGAAGAACTCTCCCCGAGGTGCACACATGGAAATCAGCCCTCAAATGTGTCATCCCTGGAAAAACCAACATGACTTCAGGAGACCTGATTCTCCTGCTGCACTGCCTGTGCAGAACACAGAGCACAGGGTGAACTGACAAAATAATTGGATTATACATGCACAATTCAGACTTTCAGTTACTGGGTGCTTTCTTGCTCCTGGTTTCCACAGAAAAGTCAGGTTTTTTGTTCCTTAAGTCCTTGTACTGCTTATTTACATATGAAAAGGGAAGTTTATAAAAGAGCCTCCCTATTTTACTACACCTAATAGTTAATAATTTAAATCTGTAGCCATTATCATCATATAGATTGACACAAATGGCATATGGATCATTCTGGGGATGAGGGTTAGTTTCTTTTAAGAGAGAATTGTTTTAGTTTTTGCAGGAAATTAATCAGGGGAATGGGCTTTGTGGAGCAGGGAGCAAATCTAATCTGTTCTTTGTTCAAATTTGCCTTGCTCCAATTCCTAGCAATTGTAGACAACATGCTCTTTTGTTCAGGAGCCACTTGTTACATGCATAATTAGAGACTGCAGTAGCTGTGTTTAAAGAAAAACTGTTTTCCAATGTAATGTGTGATCTTGATAATAGTATTTTCATCAAAGGTAGCAATTACATTCATTAAGCTGGGACTGGCAAGGCAGCAAGGAAATTAAGTGGAAGGTGAATAAAAAGCTCCCCGTTTCTTTTTAAAAATCTCCGTCTCTTTATAAGTTGAAATGCACCACGTTGAGCTGCAAACTGGAAAATACATACTGAATATAAAAAAAAAAAAAGGAAAGAAAGAAAGGAAAAAATAAAGTCCTCCTTAACCTTTCTGAATAATGATCCTGAAGATATCCTAGGGACACCTACTATAGATGCACTTTTCAAATTAAAGGGCTTTATTCTACATTAATTTCTTATGCAAGTTTTAAACGAGCTCAACATATGATTCAGGTCTTTAAAGGCTCCAGGGCTCTCTAGGATTAATTCACTGTTCTTTTCACACATAAATTAATTGTTTTGTGTTCTCAAAAACAGCAAACAGCACATAAATCAACCCGTTTAGGAAAGGCGCAGGGCTGGTACCTTTTGCAAATCACTGAAGTTTGCTCTTTACACTTCATTATTGCGAGATGTAACTTTTAAAGGAAAAAGCAGGGAAAGTAGGACATATGTTGTTAATTCTAAGTAGATTTCTGGAGTGCATAACTCATCTGGGCAACCTGATTCCTTGAAAGACCAAAGCTGTGGAGCACAGCGAAGCCGTTCTGCCAGGACTTTAATTACACTTTTCCCAATTAATAATTCAATTACACATCACTAATGTATTTGCAAACATTTGCAAGTAAAAAGAGCTAGTTGTGTGGGTGTGGGTTTGTTTTTTTTTTTTTTAACCTTCTTTTTTGCCTTAAGCCTTGGAAGAGTCAGATTTGCAGACGGAAAAATGTGAAAACCTCAAGACGTGAGTCCTGGTCCGTGGGCTCCCCCGGGCACTCCCGAGTGCTCATAGAACAATCTCATTTTTTACCTCCAAAATACAATCCTGATTTTATTCCAGGCACTTCATCACAGGCTGAGAAGGTGGGGGGGAAGCAGGTCTGTGCCCTCCCACCTTCACCCTGTGGCAGGGCAGAACAGCACAGCAGAGAAGTCACTGCGGTGACTGAGCTGAGCCCTAATTTTGCAGGAAAACCCCCACTTGCAGCAAGGAGGGCAAGTTTAATTTACAAGCTCTTACAGTGGGCCAGGTACCAGGGGGTTGGCAGGAGCTGTGCTCCCTCCTGAACAGGGATGTCCCTGCACTCAGCTCGAGCTAAGAGAAAAACTGAAGCCAGGACCTGGCTGTCCATGACTCCAAAAATAACTGTTTCTCCCTCTGCCCTTCCCAGAAATAGAACATGAAACCACAGCATCTTGGCCAAATTGGAATTTGCATAGTTCTGCGAAGCATTTCCTTCAGTTAGGAATGATTTAATTATTCTTCACTTCCTCTTCTAGAAATCATTCCTGGGTAATGAGGTTAGCATAGAGCAGATATGTTTCAGTCAAGAAATAGATGTAATTTAGTGCCAGAAGGCTTTTGCAGTTTAAAAAAAAAAAAAAAAAAGGAAAGAAAAGAAAAAAAAAAAGATTTTTGGACACTTCTAAATAGAAGCAGCAGGATAGAGAGGGTTGGTTATTAAATTACAATAGTCTGAGACACCAGACCATCGGGTGCTTTAACCCAGTGCTGTGTCAGCCCCTCAAGAATCAAGAGCACAACCACAGCCCTCCTGCAGCCCAGATTCTTACACAAGGGTAACAAGGCAGATTTTAAACAATTATTAAATAATGACAAGCTATATTACCTCCAGAGAATTGTTTATCTCTGCAAATTGGATCACTGGAGTCAAAGTACAGTGGAGCTAAAATACTTCCAGCACTAAATGGAAGATCTATTGCTGCACCTTCCTTTGGTCCTTGGAAACTGTGAATCCTGCATGGCAGTCAAATACAGTTTATGACAAATATCCTGCTGAATCCAGCTTTTATTATTCAAGCAACAATCAAAACAGCCTGCCCTATCCATCAAACGTAGGCATTGCTGCAATTAAACTGGGAAAATGGTTTTCCTTTTAAAGCTTGGTTGGACAGACACTGAGAAGACCTAAATAACATGTAATTTAAGAAAGGAGCAGAACAGTTTGTGTTGTTTGGTAAAAGTCAAACAGCAGAACACAAGGAATTTTTCACTGAACGTGAGGAAAGCATGGTTATGGACATAAATGGAGTCTTTGTATCATTTAACCTTCATATCACATTAAACATCTTCTAGGGCATCACAGGGAGTCACTAAATGTTTTCAGAAGTTCAGAAAGGACCTAGTCAGAAAGAAAAAATAAACTACATTTCAAGAACCTTAACTTTATATTTTTTGAATTATTACTCAATTATTTTTAGGTCAGTTTAGCAAATTCCTTCTACAGAAAACAAAAAAAGGTATCCAGAGAAGCTAATGCCTTTCTAACATGTAATTATGATGTCCTTGGGTGCTATCCAAACCAAGGCAAAAAAAAAAAAAATCAGCAACACAGCATCAAATTAAAACTGCTCTGGTTATACTGAAAAATTTGCATTTCATTTGCATCTTCAGGATGCAAATTAGTGAATAGGAAAATCTTGCGGCGTGTCCTTGAAAACAATTCAGGTCAAAAAAACCCACGGCAAACTTTATGTGATGACCAGGACGATCAGAAAACGATCCTGTTCCTCTGACAGGTGGGTCATCCCTTGAGTTTTGGCTGGATGAGGAAGGTGTCTCACAGCTGCAAACAGATCCCTGCAAAATGCTCCGTGAACCTCTTTTTCTGCACGTTCTTAAGTCCTCACTGTGCACCTTAAATAAATCCAGATCTGAAAGTGCTGGTTACTTGGCTACTGACAGCGAGTTTTCTGTCAGGTGCTTTTTTAAGACCTTTAGTGAAGCCACCTTGACATTTTTTTTAAGTCCTCCAGTATTAGCAGCTCTACAGCTACTGAGACAGAGAGCAGATGTAAACCCAAATGATCTTGAAAGGCAAAATATATAAAAATGCTATTACTGTCTATTGAGACTGTACGTATTTTTGGGTTTATATTTTTAAATATTTCACCGGAAAAAACGTTGCACTGCACACTCCATGTTATTAATATGCCACTGTGGATCAACATTTGAAGCTATTAGGAAACACACTGGTTGTTTCTAGTTACCCAGTGCATTGGACAGTTCCTGCACACGAACAGATTCTTCTCAGAGGGTAATAAATGCCAAGATTTCAAAGCAGCTTAATAACGTCTCTGGTATCAGAGAAACTCCCTCAATGCCACTAAGCTGGACTTTGTTAATTACAGCAGCTGATCTTTACAACTGGCACATTTAACTGCAGTAATGGTGGTAAATCCCATTTGTCAGCCTGGATTCCCTCTGCACCCATGCCTGGCTGTCCCTGCCGTGGGCTCAGGGCTGTCACCCACGTGTGTAACCAGCCACACTACCCAGCTCCAGAGAGCCAACCCACAGGAGGAAGATTTCCAGCAAAAAGGGTTTCAGGCTTGGTAGGAAGAGCTTGAAATGTGTCTCTCACCAGAAAGATTTGCAAGTGGAAATGCAATAACATGTTAATTAGAAAAGTCTTTACGCAGCAAAAGGCTCCCAATGAACAATTACTCCGTGTTTCACATTGGCCTCTTCTAACGCAATCTTTACATGGGGAAAAGAAAATATGGAAGAAAAAACAACAGCACAGAAAACATGATACAAAATGTTGTATTTGAGTATTTCCCAAGTAGTGATTAAACCCTTCTGCAGAAATCGGCCTCAGACCTTGATCACCAAGCAGAACAGAACTAGAAAAAAACCCTGACAGATGATGCAGTCATTCTCTCCTGGTAAAAAAACCTCCAAGGTCTGGTAAAAATTTTAAATGACAGATTATTAGAGAACCATGACCCAATACAAGAGATTAGTATTGTATCAAGTCAAAAATAAAAGTTAGGCACTTTTTAATACATCCTCAATACAGGTTTTCTTCCTCTAACCAGGGAAGCTCACATGTGACGTTTCAAACCCAAGATGCTGTTCCAGGACAACAGACTGGATCAGCTGGGCTGACTGAGGGCACAAAAGGGAAAAATCACTAATATAAATACATATTGAGGACATAAAGCAGCTTTGAGCCCTGGCATTAGCACAGAAAGCCTCACAGCACTCCCAGTGCCAGCTCTGCAGCCTGTGCCCACACTGCCAAATGTAGAAATGCAGTTTATGACCACCCATAAATGCCTGCCCTGAACCAAACAGGGGCTGGGGAGCACAGGCAGCTCTTAAGAGCCCCTGGACAAAGCACAGCACTTCTCATTGCTAAACCAACACCTGTGTTTAGAGCAGCAATGGAATCAGAGTTAAGGGGATCTCCACATGTCATTTTACAACAAGGATGAAAGAAACTCAGAGGTCAAAATAGATTTGTGCATATATTCCTCCACAGAATTTGGTACGTAAATAGCAAATACAAGATACACATTTCTTTCAAAACTGTGTACAAAATACATCATACATGACTATGTGAAATATTTACAGCTGTAACATTAGTTAAAGGCTTGACCTTGCTTTTCTGAAATGAACTGTTGAGTAGCTGATGAAGATGTTCAGGTTGTTTCCTGGACTCAGGCAACAAGTTCAGGCTGTAAGAACCACATGACTTTCATTTTTTCCTGATTATTTTTTCAAATGGACACCTGACACAGTTCTACACAAAGGGACAGTCCTTTTACATAACCCTGGATATCCAACCCAAAGAGCTCTGCACTTTCCTGCCCAAAGGGTTTGCTTTTGGCACTGTATGAAGTCAGTTAAGGATTTCCTCTCACTTCCCAGCCTCACCCAAAACTGCAGAAGCCAAACTAAGTATTTCAAACCAGAACCAGTGAAAAGTGTGAACCAAACCCTGGTCTCTGCAGACACTCCTGTGAGCAAAGCAGGTTAAACTGCAGCAGCCAAGGGCTGCCTCACCTTGGCACTACTCAGCACATTTATCAATGTTAACTCAAGCATTTTGGAGTGTGGTTGTGATCATTTTAGACTCACAGACAGACTGTTGAGCAGAGTAACTGTAGCTAACTGTTGGGGTGTCTGCAGTCTTAATTCTAGTCTACATTTCCCCAGCTGTTTCAACTCAGCTGAAAGCAAGCCTGCAAACCACCTGAAATGCATTAATAATTATGATACTGATAACAAATAAAACAATAGTAACAATAGTAATAATAATAAAGATGCTAGAAGAAAACTTCAGAACCCATCTAGTCTGCCCTCCCACTCTTGTATTCTTGAAAATCTCAAAGCTGATATGAGAGGGGCTTTTTTATTGGCATTAGGACAACGACCAGAGTAAGTCCTTGCCTATCAACAGGCAAAGTGTGCACGTGAGGGGATTAATTCACTAAAGTAGTTGGTTCCCTTTGAAGCTGACAGCAAGTCAGAAAACTTTTTAATGGTGCTTTTCATCCTTGCTGGTTTCTTTGCGTAAGGCACTGCAAAAAAACTGCCTGTTTTACAAATCCTACTTGTTAAGTGTCATTTGCCCCAGTTTTGCCAGCAAATCCTCTGGGAGTCTCAGCCTGTAACATTCTAAGCTCCACTCGAAGGGAATCATCAGCGAGCAGCAGCTTTAAAAATGAGATTCTTCTAAGTCAGCCAAAACCAGAAAACCAATCCTTCCCTCCCCAAAACACTTGAAACAGATTGCCAATTACAGCAATTAGGATGATTTTTCATATATTAAGCTTCCTGTCTCTTGATTATTAGTTAATTAGCTCTCCAGCACTGAAGAGGTTTCTGCTGTAAATAAAATGTCTAATTTTAAACCAAACAGAGAGGGATAAAAAAAAAACCCAGATACTTCCCATCCCCCTGCCCCTTTATGTCTTTCAAAAGGGGAAAAATTATGCTGGAGAACCGCTAATTCCAGGAGCAAGTTTTCCAGGCTGCAAATTAACAGTGCCTCCCTAACTCCCAGGAAGGATGTGAGGGTGAATGCTTGTAAAATGCACTGAACATGGAAAGGCCACTGTGAGGAAGTATCACAGCACTCCTATTATTACCCAGCTTATATCTCTGTCTTTTTGCAGAACTAGTAGAGCTTTTTTAACCCCATTTCAGAAAGATTTCAACTCAACCTTTTATGAAAGGAGAACTATAAATAGCCTCTTAGATTAAAACCCTTAACAGCTGAGAAGGCTGGGAAGGGAGGTGGATATTATCCACCTTTCAGGAGTACAAATTGGGGCTGGAAGGGCTTAATTACAAAGATATCCTTAAGAACACACTAAGGGCTGCTGTAAAAATTACCTCAATTACAGCAGCTCCACAGCTGGGAGAGAGGAAACCACCACTGCTCTCTCTCCTGTAGAGCCCTCCCTCCCTCCCAGGTGGTTTATCAGAACCTCTCCCAGCAGTTATGCCAAGGATTTGGCTTCCTTTGTTTTCACTTTGAAATCCCCAAGTGGAGATGCACTGCTTGCATAACCTAAGGTGACTAAATCCAAGGAATTATCTCGGAATTCTCTCAGGCAGGAAGCAATATTATAACCCCCACTTGGGGTCTGAACGTGGAATTCAGGATTTCACGTGAGCTGAAATGGGGAATTCATGGTTTTCCTTATGGTTTCATCTGATTTATGATGTCAATAATGCTTTTTGTATTTATAAATAAATGGGTAATTCACAATGAGCTTTCAGGGAAATAATGTCCTTTAACAGTCAAGGAATTCCTCATGGTTTCAGTATTCCTGTGCTAACATTTTGGCAATGGTGCTCAACTGGATGTTTGAGGTTCCTTCATATATCGTACCTGAAATCAGAAGAAAATAAATTAGCAGACTAAAACACCACAGTGAATATATGAAGAGAGACCAAAATATCATTCTAACAGTCCAGCTAGAACATTTTCAATTATGAAGTGAAGTTTTACTGAGCAAGGGCTAACACAGAATTATAATTTTATATATATAATATTATGAAATATAAATGTCCATGTTTTATTATCTGCAACAAGTAAAGCACTCTTCTGGCTGGCACAACATAACAACAAGACATTTTCATGGGAAGCAATTTCTAAACAGCCAACAAAAATTAAGCAGTTCCAAATGCTATCACAATAAAAGCCAAAGGGTAATATTGTTAAAAATGTCAGTATTGGGTCCAAAGACTATCCCAGTAAATGAGGAATCCTGAAAACAGAACTAGACGTACATTCAGATCTGAGAGCCAAAGTGGGTATTTTTAATTTTTTTAAACTGGAATTTTCTTAACAGAATGGGACACAATGTTTGTGTCTGTTTTATTGGCATGTAATTAAACATTTTAACTTTACGTACACAGGTATTTACACCTAAAGTTTTACACTCTTGTATCTGAGCCTTTGAATCCATGTTCATGCAGGAAAAAATACTTAGGGAAAAAAAAAAGCCAGTCATTCACCCTCTTGAATATCACTAATGCTACAGGAGATACTTGTAAGAAACTCTCACTCACCTATCTTGCAGTCACGATAATACTTTTCTATTGGGTAATTTTTTGTGAATCCAACACCTCCCATCCATTCAATACATTTACTGGTTGTCAGTGTTGCAACCTATGAAAATAGTTTCACAGTTACAGGATTCAATTTCATGACAGTGGTAGTAAATCTTATGCTTTGTAGCTATTTAAAGGAAAAACAAACCAGCCAATAAAGCAGTAACTACAACAGGTGGGAAGAGGAAGGGTTGATATTTTTGCATTCCTCTACAGCAAGTCATTTTAGAATAAAAAAAGACATTTTTCCAAATCAAAGCACATCAAGAATTCACTAAATGTTAGAGCAATAGTTCCTGTGCTGCACTGTGGAAAAGATTAACAGTGGTATGCAAGACAGCAATTGCAAAGAGGCAGAAGTCACCCAGTTTTGAAGCATTTTAAGACTCATAGTTGTGACCAACAGAGCTGAAATCTTCACAAATGAACTCTCACAGTGTCACTTCTCATGCCACAAAAGGAGAATTCTGAGAAAATTAAATCCCTCCAGATGAAGTGAAAATATTAGTTCATTTGCCTCTTTTAATGTCATTGCTTGGTTCTAAAAAATTTGCTTGGAGGCACGAGGGTGACTTACTTTACATTCTGTACACAGACTGAGAATCACAGAATTACAGAACAGTTTGGGTTGGAGGGGACCTTAAAGATTACCCAATTCCACACCCCTGCCACGGGCAGGGACACCTTCCACTAGCCCAGGTTGCTCCGAGCCCCGTCCAACTCCCAGGGATGGGGGCGGACAAGATGAAAGCACATCCACAGATTTCACAGCAAGAGGTGAATTACAGGTTAAACACTTGTAGCAGAAGGCACTTTCCTAAGCAGCAGTGGCACAGAGAAGAGAGAGGCTGGGTTACCTCAGCAGCGTAGTACTTGGCCATGCTGGCCTCCTTGACGACGGGCCGGCCGCTCTCGGCGAGCCGCGCCGCGTTGTAGGTGAGCAGCCGCGCCGCCTCCAGCTGCGTGGCCACCTGGGCGATCTGGTGCTGCATCCCCTGCAAGCAGCACAGCACAGCTCACACAGCACCCACAGCCCCGCTGGAATTCCCACCAGCAGCCACGCCTTCCACCGGGGAACGCGCCTACACCCTGAAATAAATCCGCGAACCCCAGGCGGAGCAGGAATTGCGTGTTCCTCTGCATCTGCTGACACCGAAAACCTCTGGGCCATCGATGTGCTTTTGGGAACTGCACTCCTATTTTCTCCCTCCCTTTCCTTGGATTCAGGAGGACTGGGGTACAATTCTTGCCTGAGTGGCTGGACAGGAGCAAGAACTACCTACTACTTAGCTATCTGCACCCATGAGTTATCAAGGAGAGTTTTAGCCAAACCTTAAATGTCCTCCTCGGGACCGCAGAGACACAGGGAGGCCAGAGCTGGGTTCTTATTCTGCAGCTGTTTATTGAGGACATTCACACTGTCACAAGTCTGGTTCCCTGCTGAGCTTAACCCAGGAAGACTTGCAAACTAGCACCTCTGGAATAAAGTGGAGCACCAGGAAAGGGACAACTTCTTGCCATGTCCCAGAGGCACGAGGCAAGGGTCAGGAGCAGCTTAAAGGTACAGAGGGCACGAGTGAGGAATGGATTCCAAGGGGAAGGAAAAAGGTGATGGAGCTCACATCTAAATGGCAGGTATTACAGAAGAATGGGTTTATTTAAGAAGACCCAAACATTATGATGATAGAAAATGAACATTTAGCAGTCTAAAACACAATGAGATCTTTCATCTTATTAGGACATTAACACGGTTCCCTCGGATTTGCAGAAATATATATGCAGGTCAAAATACCAAAATGATTTGGCAATTATAAATTCCATTTCCCATTCAAAAGACGCAGTTCCAATCATTTCCTAGGTATCTGTGAGTGCTTCCTAAAATTTGCATAAATTATGAGGAGTGCTAATGTTCCTTCTCTTCAGCTGAGATGTAGGTTTTCTTTTAATGAGAAAATTACTATAGTAATTACAATTATGTATCTTCCTTATTAAACTATACATCATTTTTGCAACAAAGAGTCTTTTTGGTGGTAAGATACAGATATTATAATGAAAACTAAATGCCTTCGTGTAACCCAGGAAATCTAACAGTTCAATCAGTTTCCCTCATCTTTTTATAATTTCTAGTGGCTCCAGAAAAAGGCCTTCCCCTGCACCTCATGAAAGGGTATAAAAACTGGAACATATTCAACAGATATTAAAATCTGTGATATTAAAATCAGAAGAGAAGGGAGTTCCACGTGTATTATTTTCAAAGCCTGTCAATAAGTTATCGAGCAAAAGGGGTCATGTCAATAACGCTTTTAAGTTTTAAACTATTTTTATGTTACCTCATACTGCTCATTTTACTGACTCCTGTGGTAACTACTTCTTTCTTGGAGAGCACTTCCCATATTTTCATTGACAAGTACCTGGAAATCGAAGACACTTTTCCCAAACTGGACTCTCTCTTTTGTGTATGGAACTGTGTGGTCGAAACACCCCTGTGCCAGTCCTAACATCTGTAAGAAATAACAAAGACTATGGTCAGGAAAAACTGGTTAATTGAATGCACCTAGTGGAGATGATAACAGCTCATCTTCTTCTGGTCAGGCAGCTTAATATTCAGGAGAAAAGTTCCAGTTTTCTTCCTACCTACAGAAATCTAAAACACAGTAAGGGTTCTACAAAGAATTCAAGAGCCAGAATTTTACAGTTATTAGACATACCGAGGTGAGTTATGATTTTAAAAAAAGGAGTTTGAGGAACAAGCCTATACTTCATGCTATTCCATTTCTTGCCATAGGCAAGTGTTTGTGAAAACCACTGATTTTTGAACAAAACTTATGGGTCGGCTGTGGTTGCATAAATATTAAGCGTTCCTGGGAAAATTTGCAATTACATGGGAAAATTACTGTAAACTAAAGATCTATAGATCTACATTACACTATTAAAGGAAAAATAATTTGAATGATTAGTCAAAGGCTATTTTCATAATCAAAATAATTTCTCATTTTCTAGAGGACATTAGACTGCCAGAATTAGCAATTTCCTTCACAATTTAGAAAATTAGTGGAGTGGAAGGAGAGTTAACATTTCTTCCAGTATTTTCCAACTCTGCAGAACAACTGCAGAAGAATTTAGACCAACTTTGTCTTTCCACAAGGACAAAAGCAGTCAGCTGTCACATCAAGCAGCCCAGTCAAACTACCTTTAATTATGTCCATGGGTATTTTTGGGCAGACCCACACATTAAGCTGATAAAGACATGATTGACCAGGTCATCGATTCCTTAAGCATTTAAGTTTTTAGGAAAATAACCCAAAAAACATTGCAGTCTGCTGCTCATCAGCCCCATTACCAGATTTGTTACCTCTTTATATTAACTCTTATAGAAGAATCAAGGACATCAACTGCACCACCTGTAACAACATGTGCAGCTGCCCTGCACTAAAACCACCTGAAACTGTTTTCAAAGCCAACAATTACAGTTTTTAAGATCTTCATTATCTTTTAAAACTATTACTGCTGCAAAACTAAGCTCAATACTACAGGGCTTTAGAGCTGCTGCTCTTGACAAGTACATTTCTCTGAACTTGAAGGTGCCAAGAAAGTAGTACCTAAGATGTAACAACTACCTGACCTTAGCTTTTAATTAAGGTGTAACTTGGAGTAATTAAGAGTAAAATCCAGACCATGTATTTTACTGCCAGAGCCTCTATATTATTTATATCTCTGGGAACAACTGGGCCCACAGCCCTTTTTAAATGCCAAATCAGACAAAGTTTAATCACAGGTAATCTTTCGAAATGATGGAAAAGTGAGTCCAATTATCAGCCACGTAGAAAGTCTAAATTTCATGAGGATGATTACTTCTGGTGTGTCTGCAAACTAGGGCAAAAGATAAAGGAGACTGGTAGTACAGACACAGTGCACAATGAAGCAGAAGCAAAGAAAATATTACTTGCTAAAGTAAGTTAAAATATAAAAACTTATCACAGATCATTTTGTTATATTGCTGAACCTGATTTCCACTGAGATCAGCAGCAATCTGAGATGAAAACTGACTTTACAGTGAAATACAACATTTTGAAATTACTTCAGGGTCAGTAAATACTTTTCCCTAAGATGCCACATGGTGCAATTTTCAAACACAACAATGAACTGGAACAGTTCTCCTATAGAAAACCATATTTATTTAAAAAATTAGTTGACTTTAAAAAATAAGTTCTGGGGAAAACATCAGTCAGTGTAAAGTCACATTTGCCAATCCCACACAATCACAGTTGGAAGCATTAATATTATACATTTCAGTGTGTTCTATTTTCCAAAGCCAGCTTTCTGTGCAAAATAAATTTTCATAATGGAAGATAACAATGTTGACATAATTCAGTAGCAATAAGTTAAGGACCAGAGACAAGCTAATTGCCATTTAATGTTTTTTAAATCCACTGCTTATGTCACCAAAGGAGAATTTTCCCTCTGACAGTTGTTCCCATTTTTACTGGAATTTAGCTACAGGAACAGTGACATCTAGTGGCAGCTGAGCTTTTAGTAAAGCATTTTCTAAATCGTTTCTTCTTAACAGCTTTAAATATTTCATAGATTTCAATCCAAACTGGCTGCATTCAGTAATAAAGCAAATGACCCACCTGTGCAGCAATCCCTATCCTGCCAGTATTGAGCATTCCAATGGCATACTTATAGCCTTGTCCAACCTGTCCCAGGATATTGGTCTCAGGAACCTAAAGAATAAAAACCACTCCATTATTCCAGTTCTGCTCTGCAACTGCTAGGAGGGTTCACAGACGAATCGGTGCACATGTTTTATTTAATGTTCCTCAGAAGCGAAGGCATAAAACATAAAGCAGACATTTTGATCCCCAGAATATCTGATTAGAACATTCCCTGATTCCTGTGGTTATAAACTGATGACTGGAAAAAACGGCATCAAAATTTTAGAAACTCAAGCCCCCCTCAAGAACTGGGAGGAAAAAGTTAAAATATACCAAATATTAAGGGATAAAACTCAGGGAATTTAGTTAATATACTTTCCCTTATCTGTGGTCAAGCTCCAATTAAACACAAATTATGCCTCAACAGCTGAACTTACAATACCTTCATGTTGTCAAAAGTCACTGGGCAGGTGGAAGATGCTCTGATTCCCAGCTTGTCCTCCTTCTTCCCCACGTGAAGTCCCTCCGTGTCGCGATCCACTATGAAGCAGGTAATTCCCCTGTACCCCTGGTGGGGGGGATTAAAAAATTAATCAAGAGCTGGTTTTTACATTAATATCACCAAATGGTGGTCCAAACATCTCATCCCAATACTGAAATGTTACACTTGCTTAATGCTGTATTACTGAAGCACTGGCACCGTTGTCTGGTGCTAATTGTGGTTTAAGATGATGTTCAACTGTTCAGTGCAGTGAAAGAAAACCACTCCCTCTTCTTATTTAAGTCAAACCAGGAAATTTTAATTTTAAGGCAAAGATCCTGGAAGGAATTTGAAAAATAAAAGTTTTGAACAATTTACTGTTGTGTTTGTAATTACCCTATTGGTATAGAAGATTTAAAAATCTGCAGCTGACTTTTCTCAGTTTACTTCCCACATCCAAACTGGGGACAAAACTTGACACAGGCATATTCAGCTGGGTAATTTTTTACTCAAACATACTTCACCATAGGATACTTTTTAGTTTTCCAGTGCATGCAGCTTAAGCTGTATTTTGCCTTTTAACAACAGCAACTTTGTCATTTAAGTCACAGAACATTCTGAGCTGGAAGGGACCCACAAGGATCATCGAGTCCAGTATCTTAAGTGAGTGACCCATGTGGGGATCAAACCAGCAACCTTGGTGTTATCAGTGCCATCCTCTAACCAACTGTGCCAATTTAGTTCCCCTCAGAAGGGTTGGAAAGGCTTAGACTGTGTGTCCTTCTGTTCCTCAGAACCTCACCAATGCAGGCTGTGCTCTTCCCCTCAGCAGTTATGATTCTGGCATTTTTATCTTCCCTGGCTGAAGGAAGTTATGAAATTGCTCAGCAAGTCCTCGATTTTTGTTGGGAAATATTTTTAAAGGTTTGCTGCCAGCTAGGAAAAGGTGCACAGATTATTAATATGAAACCCACAGTTTCACAGACATCAGCTGTCACTGAAATGCAGTTGTTCTTTAGCAACTCACTGAGGATGGATCTGTATTTGCCATCACAAAGAAAACTCCTGCATCTTCTGCTAAGCTAATCCACATCTTGGAGCCATTGATAACATAGTAGTCTCCTTTCTTCTCAGCTCGAGTCTTCAAAGAAAAGGCATCACTGCCAGACCCAGCCTCGGAAAGACAGAAACTGCCTAACTGTCAAGAGAAGGGGAAAAAAAAGAATTGCAATTTTAACAGATAGCAAATTCTGCAATGAAAATGCTTATAAACAAGGACAAGTCTCTTAAATTCAAACATTTTAACCTACTGCATGAAGGTAACTGAGTTTTGGATAGGGAGATTAAGAATAGAAACACTGTGTAATTACACATCTCTCAAAGTCAACTGCTTTACAGTTCTTCTCCACAGTGAATTAAATTTTAATGAAACTAATAAGTGCCTTTCCACTTTTACCTCTCAGCTACTGATGACAGGGTGTATCTATATCACCACAGATCTCAGCTCTAACCAGTGTTTCAAAAGTTCACACATATTTTCCAGAGCTGCAGTCACACATTAGTCACTGAAAAAAGACCCCCACTAACGTTACTAAACTATAATGTAATTTTAATAGTTAAGTGAAGTAAGACTTTGACTCACTGTGTCTTTAGACACCCTGGGCAGGTAAGTTCTCTTTTGTTCTTCTGTTCCATATGTGGTAAACAATTTATTTGTTAGTGTGTTCTGGAGTTCACATACAAGAGCCACAGCTGCATCAACTTTGGCCAATTCTTCTACTGCCAATATGATTGAAAAAAATGAAGCTCCAGTTCCTCCATATTCTTCCCCAAGCTCAATACTCATCAGCTGAAATGGAAAAGGTGCAAATACATCAATCTGTTAGTTCCTGTCAACAGCTTTTTAGTCCAGGCTGATACTTAAGAGATTAAAATAAAAACTACAGAATGTGAGAATTTGCAGATCCTTCCCCAAAACCTCTTTTCCTTCAACACCCTTAACAAACTGACAGCTCTTCACAGAATTGTTTAGGCTGGAAAACAACTTAAGGATCAGCTTTAGGTCTGACAGCAGGAAAGGATAAAACTGAATCCAGGAATGAACACCAGGATATCTGCAACAAAAGTCCTCATGGTTGCCCAGTAGGGCATGGAGGACTCCTGATACTCATTTCCAGCAACAGTTATCAATCATGGCATTTCCATCATTCTATGCAATTATGCTTATCCAAATTAAAAAAAAAACAAGGAACTAAAAAATATATAATAAAAGGGGGCAGGGAGAGGTGCAAAAAATATTATAACATAGAGAGTGATAATGCAGTAAAAAAGACAACAAATTAGAGTTGTCTTGCTGTTGATAAAACTAGAATTTCAATGACTCCTTGCCTCATTTGAATTATACCTTTCAATCTTTAAATCTAAAAATCTGAAAAGGGCACAGCTAGAGATTCACAAAGTGATGTTACTTTCTGGGCAAAGGGTCAGTAAAAAGCGTGCAGACCCCTTGTTCAAACAATCCCTGTACGATGGAGTCCTCCATTTTCGAGTTCTCGTCCATTTTTTGCACGAAAGGTGCCACTCGCTCCTGAGCAAATTTTGTCACTGCAGTGAAGGGAAGAAAGAAGATGTGTAAGTATTCCAACAGTCTCCTTTGGGATCAATATAACAGGAATATGGTACTTCTGACAGGTTATGCCATGTGTTCCCTGACCCTCCCCAAGAGAAACTCAGTGTAAAGCACAATCCCCCCAGAACGATCTCAACATTTAACTAAAAATAAACAACAAGAATAAGATTTTAAGCTAAAACTTCCCTTCCAGTTAAACATTTCTGAATTGTAATTGCACAGATCAAGGTTACCCATGTTCTTCAGCATTGCCTCCTCTTCAGTGAACGTGTGAAGTGGAGCACAGACAACTCCATCACTGGAGAGATTCGGCTTGAGTTCCGATTTGGAGGATCTAAAGGCACACTGGGAAAACCTCCAGGGAGCCAAGAATGCTGGAATATTTCTTGTCAGCTGTTGGCAACAAGCACAGAACACGCAAACAGTTAGATCTGGACACACATAGCAATGCAGAACTTCACCCAGTGCTTTTATTCAGTGAATGATCGGGAAACAGAACTTACATCCAAGCCAGACAGCTCTCTTGGAGACCTAAAAACTGTTTAGTGTTCCAAAACTTATTCTTGCTGAACAGCAGCAGCAGGACTGGCTGTGCCCTCAGCAGGTGCCTGTGCAGCTGCCAGAGCACAGGGCACTTTCACAGCGCACCCTCAGAGCAGCATTCCTCAAAAACCAGCACAAACTTCGGGGTCGGGAAGTAAAAATTCCTTTGATCCTTCTAACGATTCGCTCTCTTTCATGTTGGCTTTCAACACTTGTCATCTCCCCCGCTGAAGAAGGGAGGTAAAACAGACTGATGAACTCTTTTTGTCTTAAGAGACAAGAAGATAAGGAAACTCTGATTTTAGCACAGACAGTTGTGCAGAAGATAAAAAAACCAGTAAAAAGTGGTAATATAAAAACCAATACTGCTGTGAACATTCAGTGTTCACTCACATTCAACAGCCCTGGTACTGACCAGTGGGGCTGATTACACACACACAATCTATTTAACTGTGCTTCCTCAGCAGCTACAGCGCTACAAACCACACATAACTCCTGCTCCTTCCACTGCTTTATTCCCAAGCTCAAAGAGAAGAGCAGTTTTCTGTCGTGGTGGCACAAATACCATGAATCACTGAGGATATTTCTCCAGTACTGACCAAGAGCTGTCAGGGAAAGTGCACAGTGCCCTCCTAGTGGGAAACTTTTGGAAAGGCTGTCAGCACCCACACACAGAGCAGCAGCTCACAGGTATTGCAGAGTAATGACAGCCCAGTGCAGAAATTATGTTTTAGTTCAACAGTTATATTTAAAAAAAAAAACAACCCAGAAGGAATCAGGTCACTGCATTATTGTTTACCTTTTTATTGTTAGAAGTCATGCAGTCGTACAGCATCACTAACTTTCAGGTAGTGCCTGAAAGTGCACTGAAAGTACCTATTTGAAGTGCCTGCACGTTACTCAAATCCTTGGATATTGCTTCCCTGCCCTTTTCTTCCTCCTCTTTTTCTGTAGCTAATGATTTGTGCTGCTACAGGACTCACACTGCTTGCCCTGCTCCACACTCCACATTTGATCTGTGTGTTGCTGATAACACTGATTTTTCTGTTTATCTCCACCCTTCCCTCCACCTCAGCTCTTTAAAGCCCCGCTCTCTCGGTTTCCTCCTGTTTGTTTTACAGTCTAACCCAAGATTTTAATGCTGCAGGACCTTGGGGGGGGGGGAAGCATTAAGATACAAACAGAACAAGGCCAAAGCAATGTGTTTTTCTGCTGGCCTCGCTGGGTTCCACTCCTGCGCCCATCCTTGCGCTGGTATTTTAGGAGACCCCAAAGCGCCTCTGCTGCCGGGACGGTGCCGCCTCCTCGCAGGCCGTTTCACAAGAACTTTAATCAGCGCGAACTTCGGCAACGCCGCCCCTCCAGAATATACCCAGGAGGGACAAATCCACCAGGCAGAATCCACCGGGCAGAACCCACAAACCCCCCGCACCGCCGGCAGAGCCGCCCCCGCCCCCGCAGACCCGGACCGGCGCCCGGCAGGCTCGGAGCCGCCGTTATCCCGGCGGGAATCGGTGTATCCCCCGCTCTGCCCGTCCCGTCCCGCCCCGAGGCGTCACCTTCGCGCAGCCCCTCAGCCCAGCCGCCGCCATCTTGGCCCCGCCCGCCGTGACGTCAGAACCGCGGCCATTACGTCAGAGCCACCGCCCCCTCTCCCTAGTGACGTCAAGCCACCGGGGGTCTCGCGAGAGCGCGGTGGGCGGGGCCGGTCCGGGCCGGGGCAGGCACAACAAACATGGCGGCGGCGGGAGGCGGGAGCGGCGCGGGGCGGCCGCGGTGAGTGGCACCGGCACCGGCACCGGCACGGGCTCCGCTCGCCTCCCACGCCCTCTCCTCCTCTCCTCGCTGCCTCCTCCCCGTGCCGGGAGGACACCGCGCGGCGGGGGGGCGGGGGCACAGCGCTCGGGGAGGGCCGCCCTGCCCCGCCGGCAGCGGGGCCGGGTGAGCGGCGCAGCCCCGCGGGTGCTGCCCCGGTGTGAGGGCGGGGGGAACCACAGAGCCACAGGAACGGTCAGGCCGGGAGCTTAACGAGGGCAGGCGCCGCATTCTGCGCCTGGGACGGGTCAGCCCTGGCTGCGTGTGTAACCCAGGGGACGAGGGGCTGGAAAGCGCTAAAGCAGAGCCGGCAAAGGGCCCTGGGGGTGCTGGTGGGTGCCGGGTGTCCCTGAGTCAGCAGTGCCCTGGCAGCCAGGAGGGACATCCCTGTCCTGGGGGCATCAGGGAGGGGATTGTCCCGCTCTGCTCTGCCCTGGGGCGGCCTCACCTCAACACTGGGGGACTTTGGGGGGACACAATGGAAGGGAGAGATTGAGCCATTGGAGAGTGTCCAAAGGAGGGCAAAGAGATGGGGAAGGGCCTGGATTTGAAGCCGTGTGAGGACACTGAGGGCACTTGGTGTGTTCAGCTGGAGCAGAGGAGGCTGAGGGGAGACCTCCCTGCAGTCACAACTGCCTGGGCAGGGGCAGAGGAGGGGCAGGACTGAGCTCTGCTCTGGGGGGAGCAGGGACAGCCCCCAGGGAATGGCTGGAGCTGTGTCAGGGCAGGCTCAGGGTGGATCTCAGGGAAAGGTTCTTCCCCCAGAGGGTGGTTGGCACTGAACAGGCTCCCCAGGGCAGTGGGCACAGCCCCAAGGCTGCCAGAGCTGCAGGAGGGTTTGGATGATCCTCTGGGGCACAGGGGTGACTCTTGGGGATGGTCCTGTGCAGGGCTAAGGCTTGGAATGGATGATCCTTGTGGATCAACGCAGCATCTTCTGTAATTCTATGATTCTGTGATAAAGAACCACAGTGGGTCATCTGGTCCCACCTCCCAGGGGTCATCCCAGAGCACAGGGCACAGGATTGTGTCCAGATGGTTCTGGAATATCTCCAATGGTGGATACTCCACACCCTCTCTGGTCTCTGTTCCAGTGTTCAGTCACTGCCCAGCAGAGAAGTTCTTCCTCATGTCCAGGTGGAACTTCCTGGGCATCAGTTCCTGCCTGTTCCTCCTGTGCCATTGCTGGGTCCCCCCAAGCAGAGCCTGGTCCATCCTCTGTCCCCTCCCTGCAGACCCCGACACACATGGGGGAGGTCCCCTCTTCTGGACTGAACAGCCCCAGCTCCCTCAGCCTTTTGAGTAAATAGTGGCAGGTTTGGGGTGGTGCTGAAATTGTGGTGACTTCCCTCCAGTGCTGTGAAGAAAAGGATGAGTGTTTTCATGTTTAATCAGCAAGGCATAGACAGGAAGTTTTATGCAGTTGATCACCAAAATAATGTCTTTCCCACAAGCTCTTTTTGAAATTTTGTGTACTTTCAGAATTAAGTATCATTATAAAGGCAATTAATCTCTCAGTTAAGGCTGAGAGAAATGGGATTTGCTCAGCCTGGAGAAGAGAAGGCTTTGGGATGTTCTCATTGCCCTTCCAGTGCCTGAAGGGGCTCCAAGGGGGCCAGAGAGGGACTTTGGACAAGTCTGGAGGGACAGGGCAAGGGGGAATGACTTCCCACTACCACAGGGCAGGGTTAGATGGGATGTTGGGAAGGAATTGTTGGCTGTGAGGGTGGGCAGGCCCTGGCACAGGTTGCCCAGAGAAGCTGGGGCTGCCCCTGGATCCCTGGAAGTGTCCAAGGCCAGGTTGGACAGGGCTTGGAGCAACCTGGGCTGGTGGAAGGTGTCCCTGCCCATGGCAGGGGGTGGGACTGGATGGGCTTGAAGGTCCCTTTCCAACCCAAACCATTCTGTGATTCACTGTTCAGAATTGGTTTCATTTTAACTTGTTATTTCTTATTACTATAATTAGTGGAAATCTGGCCTGGTCAGAACCCTACATTACATTGTCCTGTTTTTCTCTTTCCTATCTTTAATTCATATCCTGATGCCTTTATGGTTTGTGTTTTTTTTCAGGAGACACCAACAAATGGAACACAAATTAACTTAAAGCCTACAGGGGGCTGGTGACACCTGAAGGAAGGTAGGCAAAATTGGTACATAAAGATACATTCCAGACTAAGTTAATGGTGATAACAAATGCTGGTGTGGTGTGGTGAAGTTTGGTGTCATACTTGGTTATGATGTGAGAGAACACAGCTCAGCTGGATGCCAAAACCAAACAAACACTTGTGAGTGGCTTTGCAAACACAGGAGAAGATGCTGAAATGTGGTCCTGAACTCAGAGCTTGAGTTTCTCTGGGTCACCTAATGTTTTGTTTAGTAGCTATTTAAAAAAATCGAGGATATTCTTATTGAAATTGTAGCATTGTCAATTATTTCTGATCATAATCTGCAGGAATAATAATGTGACAGACTCATTGCCCTCTTTCCAACTCAATCCCAAAATCTATCTTCCCAAATTCATTGTGAATTATAGAGGTTTGTTATTTACAGTCCCCAAAAAGAGTCTGACCACTGACTTCTGGTGAATGTTTTTATTTCAATGCAAAATAATCAAGTGGATTAAGACTTTTACTCAGGATAGGAAACTAAAACATTGGGAGAACTGTGAAACAGTGCTTTTTTTTTTTTAAAGTCTTCTTTCCATCTTTGCCACTCCCCAACATTCAGTTGGTTTCCCAACATTACAGCTGCCATATCTGACTGACCCAGCTGTGGGATATTTTTGGAGCCAGATGTTCATCAGAGAAACTGTTCAAATGCTCAGTGAGGCAGAAGTGTCCTTCAGTGAGGCGCAAGAAGGAAGGACTGCAGCTTTGAAAAGTTTTTGCTGGATGTGTAATCATTTTAATAAAGCTTAGAGCAGTAGAGTGTTAGAGCCTGTCCTCCAAAACATAAATATTTTTTCAAGTTTCTTTCTTACAGCTCCCAGGAGTTGGGAAGAATAAGGGACTTGCATTTCCTTTCTCTTCTTGCAGGGAAAGTGGAGAAGCTGTGCTCTGTGCTTTTTAGCTGGTGTGTTGGGAGTACATTTTGGAGCATGTTTGCCACTTAGCAGGGAAGTGAAATTCAGGTATGATCCATTTTTTTTTTAAAAGAAGGCAAGTTGATTTTGATTATGACATCATTTTATCTGATTTGTTATTGTCGTTATGTTACTGTTGCTGAAAACCATTTCCCCCTAAATTGCATTTGGTGATCTTTAATGAGGTGAATACTCTAAAAATAATATTCTTGTGGTTGTCAATCTGTGCACTGAGTCGTGCTTTGTGATAAAAATAATCCTTCAGTTGAAAACCAAACCAAAACCAGAACTTGTTTTTATGAATGCATTCAAACCCAGTGACACCTCTGTCCTGAAAGCATTTTTTTCTTCTAGGCACAAGGGGCTGTAAATGTAAAGAGCCAATATGGGGGAGAAGAAGGCAGAACCACTGGACTTTGTGAAGGATTTTCAGGAATATCTCACCCAGCAGACTCACCATGTCAATATGATTTCTGGATCGGTTACTGGCGACAAGGAAGTGGAGACTCTCCAGGGAGGTGAGCTCATTTCAGGGCCATAAATCTGACTTTTTTTGGAGAGTGACTGCACTGTTTACAGTCCAGGTAATTATGCAGGTGCTACAGTTGTATGGAAGCATTTCTGACAGCCATTTTCACATCACAAAAGATGTGTGTGTACCTTCATGGTTCTGTATATTTAAAGACCAAGGGCATAGAGGAGCAGAAGGTATTTGGGCATATTCTCACAGCATGACAGTGTCCTACAGATTCCTAATTCAAATCTGTGTTGTGTTGCCCACAGCTGGGACAGAAGGTGATCAGAATGGTCTGGACCATCCCTCTGTTGAAGTTTCGCTGGATGAAAACTCAGGAATGTTGGTGGATGGGTTCGAAAGGACGTTTGATGGAAAGCTGAAGTGTCGATACTGCAACTACGCCAGCAAAGGAACAGCTCGGCTCATAGAGCACATCAGGATTCACACAGGTATGGAATGTTCTGCTGGGCTGGGCTGTGGGCCTTGGGCTGTTATCTCAGCATGGTGATTGGTATGTGAGGAGCTGACTGTTCAAGCAGCCTGGTTGTTCTTAATGATTAGAACTAGGGTTTGGGTTGTTTTTTATAACTGTGTTTTAAAGGTGTGCCATCTATCTATTTAAACCATGCAGAGTCCTGCTGACATTTACTGTGAGTAACTCTGTGGGAGTAAAGCTTAACATGGAAACTTCAGTGTAAATTAAAGGGCTCTAAAATTAACTATTAGTTTTTCTGTGCTAATCGGAAAAGTGACAAATATACATGTTGCTAGCTGGAGATCTACAGGGCCTTTTCTTCCTCTGTTGTTTAGCTACGAAAATATTCCTGTTCTCCTCAACGTTCTAGATGTGAAAGTACAAAGCATAGTAAGAAGAATAAAGTTTTCTTATTGGTAGGTTGAAAGGTGCTTGTGAAGTCTGTTGAGTATATTGCACTGACACAGAAGACTTCAGGGCTGTTAACTAGAGCAGTAAGAAAAAAAAAGTTGTATTCTGCAAAGAGTGAAAGTTTTCATAGGTTTCCAGTCTGGTATGGACTGTTCCAAAACTTCCACGTGTCTCCTTTCACTGGTTTTGGGTAGTTTGGGACTCACCTTGAAGGAAGCACGTTGTTGTAACTGGGCTATAATTTATCAGGTACTCCAGTCAGATTCTCACTCTGCTGAGAACCATTCCTTTCACACAATATCCATCACAATTCCACACAAAAAGTGTAAAGATGCATCCATCCCAGGATGGATTTTGGGGAATTCAGTGCTCCTTGGTGCTGGTCCTGCAGTGTTGACTTGTTCTGACAAGGCACAATGGGATCGGAAATGGCAACAACGAGAAATCAGAGTTCTGCAGTTGAGGCTCTAAGGACCTGGTAAATTCTTCTCTTGTGCTACCAGGAGCTACCTCTGTGTGTAGCTGTTGCTGTTTTCAGATTCCCAGTGGAAATTTTGAGGAGTTCCAGTAGTGGATAAAGAACCTTGGACTTTTTACCTGCCTTTGAGATAGCCTTAAAGCCAAGGCTTGCTGCAGAGCTGCACAGCAGCAACGGGGCTTTGGAGCTGCTTTTTTTTGGTCTAGTTTTTCATGAAGCAGGTACAGCTTCACCTGCCATTTGCCTGATATGAGATGTGAGCAACAAGGGATTCTTTTATTATCAGCTTTACTCTGTGCAGTGCTAATGCTGAGTTTGTGAAATGAGGGCCGTGGAGTGGGAAAAACTGTGCTGCAGCCTCACAGAGCTCACTTTTGAAGAGTACTTAAAATATGCAGAGGTAACATCGAATTTAAAATGTCACATCTTTTCAGTAGCAAGAAGCTGTTGCCATCTGAAAGCTTGCATCCCCAAGCCCACAGCTCCTGCTGGCCAGGTATCAGCATGAGCAGATGGACTGCTAGAGCTGGTGGGAGGCACAAATTGCTCCTAGAAAATGCTGGAATTGTGTGTTTGTTAGTTCTTGGGAGGGTTTTCATGGTGGTTACAGGGTTTCTTAAACAGAACAAATGTGTTACTTAATATCAAATGTCATCCACTTAGCCATACTAGAGAGCAAAAAATCAAATCTCTCTTCTTTAAGTATCAAAATGTGAGTCTTGGCATAGTGGCAGCATTCCTTCTCTTACTCCAAGAATTTGCCTACCTTTTCTTACTCTCAGATCTGGGGTTAACAGTTCTCTCTTGTGTTTTCAGAATGCTTTCTTGTCCTGTGCTGCTTTAGGGAGGAGAGCCCTCCCAGTGGCTTGAGGTGGCAGAACAGTTCCTGTGGGAGCTTGTGACCATTTCATCATGGTTGCAGCATAATGTACACAAAAGCAAGAAAGATTCCAGCCAGGAACTGGGATGCTGAGAAACATCCTCAAAAATCTCTAACCCAGCAGTCATTGGTCAAAGCAAACATTGCAGGAGTTAACATGAATTTGGGTGTTAGGGCAAACAAAATGCTTTGGGTTTGGGCCTGGACTAATGTTTTGAGCTGTGTCTCCTGGTTGCAGTGTGAGAGGGGGATGCAGGGATGCCACTCTCCTGTCCATCAAAGAGCTCTGTCAGTTTGGACACACCTTCACACAGGGAGCAGCCAAATTTGTGGTTCAGACATGCCTGGTTCAGAAATACCAGTGGCTGACAACAGTAACAATTCACTTCTCTGCACCAACCTGTTCAGTTTTAGAACACAGACAAGGATCTCAGGCTGCTTTTTTTTTCTCTGTGTAAGTTTCCCCTTTGCCTTGTTACAGTACATTTCCATCCTTAATTTTAATTCAGCACTGCATGGTCCTGATGGCAACAGCACTTTGCCATAACCTTAATGGCTCTTCAGAAAGCCCCACTTTCTTCCTTTGTACAGAGACAGGGGACTCCAGAACAAGAAAAGGGTAATTTTTTATTGGTTTTTCCTGGGGTTGTTTTGTTTTGTTTGTTTGTTTGTTTTACTCAAGGGAAAGGAGATCCAAGACCTGAATGTTGTTTTGCTTGGAATCGTGGCAAAGGGCCAGGAGATGGATTGCATGCACTGTGAGGGCTTGGAGTGATGAATCAGCATTAAAATTAAAATAGGGAAGTGGCAGGTTACCAGTAGGTAGCACAAAAATTCCTGTCCGTCTTGAAGAGCCAGTGAGGTAGGAGGAAAAATAATCTATTTGGTATCCCAGGTTGTGATTCCAAGCTGTGGGATGCTCCCCATGGTTAGGGGTTTCTCTGTCACGTGCCATCTTACATCTCCTGCATTCAGATCTCTGGCTTTTACAGTTGTTCTAGATGGATTTGGGGAGCCACAAAACATCTGTATTGGCCTGCATTTAGAATAGTAGAAAATGCCTAAAAAAAAAAAAAAAGAGAAGGAACCCACTCACTTTTTTTTTTTTAAATGAGTTTTCTGTGCTATGTGGCAAGAGAATCAGTTGCACAACAGTGATTTAACAATTGACCTGGAATTCTAGATGGGGAGGATAAGATGATCATTCATTTCAGCACCTGAACAGGCATCAAATCCTTTAGGCATTTCTGACATTGCAGATCTGGATCTAAAAACTCCTAGAAGATCAGTGTATCAGAGGAGAAGCAAAAGCCCCAAAACACTGTGTTACAAATGGCCTGTAATTATGTTTGAAAGTTTTCTGTATTTTTAAAATGTTGATGGACTATCTAGAAATTTCATTTAATAGAAGATCGAAGTTCTACCTATGCAAAAGGAGAATTCCTGACCAGCATGTCTGGGAGAACACACAGCTCTCCAGGGAGTACCTGGCTTTTGCTTTCTTTAATAACTCTTTAGCCACCGGATCCTTTCTCAAAACTCAGTTTTTGGTGGATGAATGCATGCTTGGGTTTTTTAGATAGTAGTTCCAGGATGTTTAATACTAGGGAAGTTCGGAGGATACCAGAAGGAGTGTTTAAGCTCAGTTATCCTGCAGAGTGATTCACTCTGGTGGCACAGACATTCCTGTAGCCCCATGGGTGAGGGAGAGTTTGGATCCAGTTCAGGGCACCACAGACATCGCCGCGTTCAGCGCTTGGCATCCCTGGGGCAGTTCCAGGGCAGGTTGTTTACTGTGCTAATCCCACTCACTTTGTTTCCCCTGTGCTAATTATCACTTGGGTGAGGCAGAGATGTCCCAATGTTCTTTGTTCTTCCCCTGGATACTCAGCTGAGCTCAAGACTGGCAGTGACTCTGGATCTGGATCAGCAGCTCACCGCCAGCTGCTCCGTGTGCCACAAAAAGCCTTTTCCGAGTGCTCCGAGGGGCTTTAGCGTGACCTGTTCTAATTTTCCAGGTGAGAAGCCGCACAGGTGCCATCTGTGCCCCTTTGCCTCGGCCTATGAGCGTCACCTGGAGGCCCACATGCGATCCCACACCGGGGAGAAGCCCTACAAGTGTGAACTGTGCTCCTTCCGCTGCAGCGACAGGAGCAACCTGTCCCACCACCGGCGGCGCAAGCACAAGATGGTGCCGATCAAGGGTACGAGGTCTTCCCTGAGCAGCAAGAAAATGTGGGGGGTTTTGCAGAAGAAGACCAGCAATTTGGGGTACAGCAGAAGAGCGTTAATTAATTTGAGCCCGCCTTCCATGGTGGTGCAGAAACCAGACTACCTTAATGACTTCACCCACGAGATCCCAAATATCCAGACTGAGGCGTACGAGGGCATGGCAAAAACGACCCAGAGCGGAGGGTTGCCGAGAGATCCACAAGACCTCATGGTGGATAATCCTTTGAACCAGCTCTCCACCTTGGCTGGACAGTTGTCCAGCTTGCCACCTGAAAACCAAAATCCAGCCTCTCCTGACGTTGTTTCCTGTCAGGATGAAAAGCCTTTCATGATCCAGCAGCCTGCTGCACCTGCGGTAGTTTCAGCTGTGTCAGCCAATATTCCTCAGAACTCATCTCCAACCAGCCCAGACCCTCGGCCTCCACAAAATCAAAGGAACTATAGCCCCGTGGCCGGGCCCAGCAGCGACCGCAGCGCCCACACCAGTACTCCCAGTATAAGTAACAGCCAGCCGAGCACTCCGGCTCCAACCCTCCCAGTCCAGGACCCTCAGCTTCTGCATCACTGCCCACACTGTGACATGTACTTTGCAGACAATATCCTTTACACAATTCACATGGGGTGTCATGGGTTTGAAAATCCTTTCCAGTGCAACATCTGTGGGTGTAAGTGTAAAAACAAGTACGACTTCGCTTGCCACTTTGCAAGAGGCCAACATAATCAACATTGACTGAGACGTGCTTTGGTTTAGTTTTTTAACATATTACAGTCTATTTTTCATACTTGCTGATGGAAAGCTTGCACATTCCCATATGGAATAGTCACATTAGTCAATTTGACAAAGGAGGCGAATTTATTTCCATGTTGTTGTAAAACTTGCCAGGGAAATTTCGTGTAGGATTTGGTTGTTATTTTATACGTAGCCTTTCCAAAAAAGCCAAGAGTGCTGTCAGGATTGGAATGCATTTACATGCCATGGTTGCTAAATTTAAGTTGCTTGCACTTAAATCCCAATAAACATTCTGCAAATGGAGAAGCAGAGCACGTGTCCTGAACCATAGGATGTCATTACCAGCGTATTTACTAGGCTGGACAAGCCACATTATCCATAAATTATGAAAGGTTAATGCAGTGACAAATCAAGTAGTGACAGGACAAAGACTGAGAGAGGACAGGGTTAGATTGGATATTTGGAAGAAATTCTTCCCTATGAGGGTGGGCAGGCCCTGGCACAGGTTGCCCAGAGAAGCTGTGGCTGCCCCATCCCTGGAAGTGTCCAAGGCCAGGTTGGATGGGGCTTGGAGCAACCTGGGCTGGTGGAAGGTGTGTCCCTTTGGAATTAAATTATCTTTAAGGTCCCTTCCAACCCAAACCATTCTATGATTCTATATGGCTACTTTGGAGACATCCTTATCCTTAAAAACTTGGCTACTCTAAACCTGGAAAGCAAACAGAAGCAACTTTCACATACAGATTCAATTTGATGTAAAAGTTGCTTTAATCCAATGAAGGTTTATAATAATTTTCTCTTTAGTAGCCTACATTCTTCATTCTAGGGCTCAAACACTAACTATTTTAAAAAGTCATCACAAAACTAGAAGGTTTTTGTGGGTTATTGTGAATAAAACTCTGGTAGGAAAAAAAAGGAGTTAAAAGCTTGTCATTCATGAGTTATACAAACAAAAAAATTAAACAGGATACCTTATTTTAACCTACACTTACCAAAATTTACATCTTTTTCAGAGGAGGTAATTTTTAAACAGACATAATAAAGAGCTTGTAGAGCTAATATATATTCTGTGAGACACTTCTAGCTGCCTTAAACTAATTTGTACAGATATTTAAAATTTGCACAATTAGGCTTCTGTCTTGCTGACAGGAGTGCTAATAGGAACAAGCAAGAGGTTTACAAATTAAAACTCCTTTGTTCAGTTTGATGTTGGGCCAGGCTACAACTGAGAGGTTGCCTGTGTGTTTTGAGAGTTGTATGATCAAGTTTATGGTAAATTCAGCTGACTTGGAGGTCTCTTTTATTCCCTCTCCCAGATTTAATGTCTTTTTGGGTGTGCTGGAAATAAGGGGAAGGGCCTCTGGCTTTTCTGAGCTGTCTGTGTAGGAGGCAAAGGAACTACACTGGGCTTAGGGACTTTAGGTAGCAAATGATAACTGAAAATGATTATTTTGTTTCATACTGTACATCTTATTTTAGAAGCCCCCAGGGTACTGGACAGGCACTTTAATATAAACCAAAATAAAACATCTGAGCAAAATTAATAATAACCCTTAATAGGCTAGATAGGCATTTCAGGCATTAAAAAGAAAAAAAGGAGGAACTGTTACTTTCCCCATATTTAGATGTGCACTTTTACCTTGGTTTGTCTTACTTGAGACAAATTTAAGCTTCCCTTTCCTATCAGCAAATTGGTTGGAATCTGAATAGCAAATGTTTGGCTTATTCAAATTTATGTTGTTATGGGAGCTAAAACTTCCTGGAGCCAATGGAGAAACTAACAGTGACTTCAGTGTAAGGTCAATGCAGGAAAACCCACCTGTTTGTAAAACAGGATGTAATTCCATTTTTCATCATTACACTCTTCGTGATTCCAAAACATCTCTTTGTTGCTTTATGCTTTTAAAATTTATTTTATCAGTAAAACTGCAGTTCCTTGTGCATGGAGAGTCCTTTATTTTAAGGACTAAAAGCTGACTGAACTGGAACCCAGTTGGAAGTTACTGCTCCTGAACGGGTTTTGTAAGATGCCTGTTTCAATCAAAGAGGAGAGGAAAGGTGTGGATCACGTACTGGCAGATTCTAAAACCTCCGTTTGGCTAAAAATACAGCATTAGGATGAGAGAATTAACTGTTGAAGACCTTTAAGATTAGTAATTTATAGAAGTGGTTTTCCTTGTCTTTTTGATAGATAATGCAGTCTGCTATTCTGAGGCTCCAGCAGCTCCAAGGAAGCTTCTGGAATGGTGGTGCTCCAGGGAGCACCTGACAGTGCTGAATGGCACCAGTCACAACAGGCAAGTTCTCCTTGGTTTGTGGCTCCAACCTTTCTCCCTCCTCAGCAGGGAGATTTGCACACCTCCCATCTTCCATGTGCACAAATGTTTAGGATTCCCTCCCTCCATCCCACTGACGTGGTTTCTAATCCTGTAGGACTTTGGTTGGCAGTGCCTGTGAGCAGTTACAGAGTTTTCTGTGTGTGACAGCTCATGGTTTGGTGATTTAGAAACATGACTTCTGAACCACGATGCCCTTGGACAAAAGTCAGGATAGGAAGCTGGCCAGGTCATTGGGAGTAAGAGGAAGCCTGCAGGATCTGATGGAAAAGGGGCCCTCATTTAGCAGAGGATCCTCAGTTGTGGAGAAAATATGTTTGTAATGACAGAACTCAGTGTGGGGGGAAAAAAAAAATCTAACCCCAAATCTTGCAAATTGTTGTTTGGAAGGATTTTAACGCTGCTGCCTGGATAGCATTGTTTCTGCTTTGGAATTCCAAGGGAAAAGGTTATCTTGGACATTTAAGAACAGCAGGACAGTGCTAGGAACACTTCCCTGTTTCCTCCTCTCTGCAGGGGGTTCCTGGGCAGCAGCAGCTTTGGTGTTTGTCCCTTGGCTCTTTGCACCCACATCCCTGGGGTGGATCCCTGCATCCTTCACAGAGGGGCACACCAGGAATAGGATTCTTTGTGTTTTATCCTCGTGCTGTTGTGCCAAACAACTCCCTGACACTGCTGTTCCCTTCTCCACTGAGGAGCCTTGCAAGGTGTATTTGTCCTGGTTTTTTCCTAAATTGCACATCCTATTGACGACAATCTGAAGACTGGCAAATTGTTTGAGAGTTTGGTCCTGATGTTTGCCTTGCACAAGCAGGCCTTACCCAGTCAGTGAGGGATACTTGGCCAGGATTCTGGGACCGAGTTCTCAGTCAGAGGGACTTTTCATATCAAGTTCTCCACGTGCTACAATGCATTAACTTGTTTCTTTTTAAAAAGCAAAAACAAATCCTCAAATTATAAGGCGGTGGGTGATTAGCATTTTATAAACAGGGAAGTTTTGGAAGGAAATGGAATTTTTCCATAGCTTGGTTCTGTTAGGTTCTGTCGTTGCAAAACATGAATTTTGTGAGGTTTTTGTTTTTGATTGTAAGAAAGAGATTATTTTATAGCTTTGTGGACATTTCAACGTGCACTTGAAACTTGTAGCAACTTGTAGCACTCAGTACAGACTTACTGAGACTGAATATTCCCATAAATATTTGAACATCTTAATTATCTCGGTTAATACTTAAACCAACTGCAAAGCAGCTAATGGGGAAAAATAGTTGTTTTTTCACAGACACATGTTTAGATGAAGAGGATTTTGACATAAAATGGTGGTTGGCATTTTAATATAAAACTCAGTGCTGGGTGACATGTTCCAGCAGTGTTCTCCAGCCAAATAATCTCTTGCTGTTTGTTTTGTTCCGGACTGTTTGGGAGAGGGGTTGATTTTTTTGTTTCTTTTTGACGAAGGGAATGTAATTTAGAAGTCTTCACTGGCAAGTTTTCTATTAATTTTAAGCTTCTTTGAAAATCTACAGCAAATGGATGTTCTGCTGCAGGAAATCTCTCTCCTGCTGAAGCATTTTTCATTGAGCAATCTTGGTGTACGTGCTTCAGAGTACCTACTTTGTTAATAATATGTATTTCAGTGTAAAGAGCACATTTTATGCAAAAATTAAACCTGTTAAGAGTTGTAAAATAAATTCTAATGTTAGTGAATGTTTTGGAGATGACAAGGTTAATTCTGGAATAACTCTTTATCTGGTGTAGTTCATGTTGTGAAGCTTTGCTTTTGTAAGATACGAATAAAATAACACTTTCTAATTAGGTCTCCTGTTAATTCTTCATTGCATGTGCTTCCACAGGTGGAGCTGGTGATCTGCTCAGGACTAAAAGGGATCTAGGGATGGTGAGGAGGATAAACACCCCTGGGATTGCTGAGGTAATGCTGGACAGAGCAGAGCAGGTCACCAGCCAAGTCACTGCTCCTCAGAATCTCAGCTGGAGGAGGCTGTGGGTCGAGGTCAGTGCCATGGTAAGCAGGAAGCAGGACTAGATGACTTCCAAGTGCTCTTCCCAGGCTAAATTCTATCTGTGATCCCATGACATTTAAATTTAAGGATAGTTTGCTCTTGGCTTGATGTCCAGTCTGTTTAGACTGTGTTTCTCTTCCATACCATGGAGAGAGGAGTCAGAGAAGGGATCTCTCAGCAGCAGTGCTCAGAGTACTGCAATTTAAACACTCTTAAACACCCAACATTCTCTATGTCATTATTTTAAAATATATTTATTGACCACATTGGTTGCCTCTTGTTGGAATGAAGAAACTACGCTCGTAGCAGGGTCAGAATTCTGGGTTTTCAAAGTCTCTCCTTGCCTCAAGTCATCCAAAAATTCTGCTTTCAGTTTGTTGAGTTCTTCCGCCAGGCTCTTCATCTCACTTGGGAGAACGTTTTTGTCTAAAGAAAATTAAAGTTGAACTTTAAACTTCATCTTAAGGACAAAATCATAGAACTGTAGAGTCACAGAATATGCTGAGTTGGGAGGGACCCACAAGGACCATCCAGTCCAACCCCTGGCCCTGCACAGACACCCCAACAATCCCCCCTTGTCCTATGAACTGTAATCCTCTAAAATGTTGGTCTGGAACTAAATGGTTCTGGGATAGGTAGGATGGGTAGGACAGGTAGAAGATGTACCTCTGGCATCCTTCATGGCCTGGGAGATGACCCTCCTGCATGCCTGGTCAGCCTGGTGGACAGCACTGGCTGCACAGATGGCTCGGTCTGTGTCCTGCCCAGGGCCGGCAGAAAGGGAGGAGACAAGCAAAACACTTTAAATTTACCTAACTTTGGAAACAAGTAACACAGCAGCAGCAGCTCCATCACCACCTGAAGGCAAGCAGTGCTACCTTTTGCTCCGTGTCCTCCTCGTTTGGCCTCGCTGGGTTTTCCAGAGCAGTGGCCAGCAGGTTCATTATCTGCTCACTGAGAAAACAAACAACAGAGTAAAACACATCCACCAAACAGGTTCACTGACGTTTTTCTTCCATTTTGAAATGGTACCACAGAAAAAAAAGAAAGAGCAAGTTTCCAGTTAAATTTACGAGGCAATCAGTGAAATAACCTGAGATGAAAAAAAAAAATTACAGCTCAATTATTTCCAGTCTTAATGTTTCAGGCAATTTACATGGATTTTCAACGTCAGGGTAGGAATGCAGGGAATGAGTTTTGGGGTTAACTCTGCAAAGGATGGTGGCTGTGAGCTCCCAACAACCAGCCAGTGTCTTGTTTAACTGACTGGCTTCCAAAAATCCCCACTGGGAATATCTTTTCCACACTGTTTAGATACAATAAGGAGCTTTTACACACTCATTTATGAAAACTGCACTTAGGGAAAACTCTAGGATCAATCCAGTAGCATACTTGTCCTCTGAGATGCAATCAGAGCTGCTCAGAATGAGGCTGTGCTGCTCCCAAGCGTTTTTCTTGAGGTCTGGCATTTCTATTTTCCTTGCCATTAAAAGTATTGTCTGCTCAGGTACAGGATCACTCCTGAGGCGATTCCTCTGCAGGCAGCATTCCAGGGGACAGTCTAAAAACAACTGGCAGAAGCCCAAGGAATCTAAAACAAACACAACCAGACAATTTTAGCTTTAAACAGTTCAACTAACAATTTCTGAGAGCAACACACAAGAGAAAGGCTCTGCATGACTGAGGGGATTCTACACAAGTTCTGAGCCTGATGTGAACACACACCTAGACAGGAACAGCAACAATTTTACCTTCAAGGCAATAACCTTCAAGCAATAACATCTGAGATAACACACAGAAACAATGGTTTGGGGTTGGAGGGACCTTAAAGCTCATCTCATCCCACCACCCTGCCATGGGCAGGGACACCTTCCACTAGCCTGGGTTGCTCCAAGCCCTGTCCAACCTGGCCTTGGACACTTCCAGGGATCCAGGGGCACCCACAGCTTCTCTGGGCAACCTGTACCAGGGCCTGCCCACTCTCACAGGGAAGAATTCCTTCCAAATATCCCGTCTAACCCTGCCCTGTGGCAGTGGGAAGCCATTCCCCCTTGTCCTGTCACTCCATGCCTTGTCCAAAGTCTCTCTCCAGCTCTCTTGGAGCCCCCTTACGTATGGAAAGTGCTCTAAGGCTGCTCTAAGAAGGGTTTTAAGTGTCCTGCCAATTTCTAATAACACAGTAACAAGGCTCAGTTGCTCCTCACCGTACCGCAGGAACCCAGCAATTAAGAATGACCCAAAGTTCCACGAGAGCACTCAGAGCAGCTGCAGTGCCCCGGATCTCCTACGAGCCCCCTCCCGCCGCCGAAGGAGGAGCGCTCACATTTCCTGGCCAGCTGGTACACCTCGTACCGCATGCTCTGGTAGTAGAAGTTGTCGTCCAGGAGGAGGCAGAGCGGCCGTGCCGCGGCCCCGCCGTCCCCCCGCGCCGCCTCCAGCAGCCCCTCCCGGCGGCAGCACCGCAGGAACCGCTCCCAGCCGGGCTGAGCGGGGCCGGGCAGCGGCGCCCCGGTGAGCAGGGCCCGCAGGAGACCCTCCAGGCACTGCAGCAGCTCCCGGCGGCTCCGCTTCCAGCCGGGCACCTGCGGGGACACGGAGGGATCAGGGAGCCCGCACAGCCCCCGCCCGGCCAAGGGGGGGCCCGGCCCTGACCCCAGAGCCAGTCCTAGTCCCAGACACACTCCCAGTTCCGCTCCCAATCCCAGGCCCAGTGCCGGTCCCGTTCCCCATTCCCAATCCCATTCCCAATCCCGGTCCCGGCCGGACGCGTCCCGTTGCCTGGCAACAGCGGGCGCGCGGCGTTGACGCAACGGCACCGACCAATGGGAGCGGCTCTGGCGGCCCCGCCCCCGCGGCGCGCGGGCGGAAGGCCTCGGGCGGGATGAGCTCGTCGTAGTGCAGGAGCGCGCAGGCCCAGCCCGGGCGCTGCCGCAGCCGGCGGCGCAGGGCGCGGGCCAGGCTGGACTTGCCGGCCGCGGGGAGCCCGCACAGCAGGCACAGCCCCACCCGGGCGCCGCTGCCGCTCCCGCCGCGCCGCCGCTCCTGCCGCTGCTGCTGCTGTTCCGCCAGCGCTGCCGCCGCCGCTCCCGCCCGGGCTCTGTGCGCATGCGCCGCGGGGGCGCCCCCTGGCGGGCGCGGCGCCACAAGGCCCGGCCCACAGAACCGGCCCCTTTTACACAAAACTGGTTTTACCCCTTTTCTCACCCAGTTCTCGCCTCGCAATACACTGAATTATTCGCTTTGGTGACCCCCAGGAGCGCCAAATGGTTGAGCCTTCACTGTGTACCCAGCGGTGGCTTTCAAGATCTTTGAACAAAGACGCCACCGAGAGCGCTGCCCCGCGGTGATTGAGGCCTAAATTACGGGAATATTTCATAACAAAAATCTTTATTAAGTTATTTAATTATAATAACAATTTAAGATCCTGAGTGAGCAAGGAAGAGGACACTCCTTTGGCAGACGCTCCTTGCCAGTGCAGATTTTTGCCTGCGACACGTTTTGGGTTCCTTTGTCCAGTTCTTCAGTGATGTGGCCATCTGAGGGCTTAGAAATATTTTATTGGTGAGGCAGTTCTGTAATTTACTCGCTCTTTTCCCTACTTCACACTCCCAAATTGGCATGAACACAGCCAGGCTGCTGGTCACTCCCTGCTGGACAGGTGGATCTGTACTCATAGTTTTGTCCTTCCCAGCGAGTTGGTCTCTGCACAGCAGCTGCTTTTCCATTTTGATGCAGACTTTTTTTTTCCTGGATTTTCTGGATCCCTCTCCTGGATGGAGACCCATTTGGACAAACTCTGTCACTCCATACGTTCCGTTTTAAATCAGTGCCAGTGTCTTTAATTGTCTCATTCAGAATGACCCAAGTTAATCCGTTGCTGTTGTGGCAGACAAAAGCAAAAAAATCCCGAGCTGCAATAACCAGCAGACACTGAACCACTGTTGAGCTGCAGAGTGCATTTCCCAGCATCCCACATTTTCTGTAACTGGATGGTTTCTTTCACACTCAGGCACAGTGTTCCTGGTGCCCCCAGGTATAAGGTCACTTTTATAAACTACCTGAAATGGAAAGGGACGGAGGTGGAGCTGAATAAATCGTGTCTGTAAATAAATGAATTCACTTCTCCTTGGCCCGCACCTCAGGCTCACACACTGTCACAAGTGTAATCCTGTGAGGGCTGAACTTCAGGCTTCTGATTTAAAAAAACCAAGAGGTGAGGTAGAGGAGGCACAAACACAGCCAGCAGCAAGAAGCAAAACACTGGGAGTCACCAAATCTGTGTTCAGTGCCTCTTGCTATCCAGTCTTTCCCAGAGGTACCTGCTTCCCAAGGGCATTTTGGCCACACAAGGAGAGGACTGGAGGATTGAAAATCTTGTGATTTGGGTTTTTTTTTCAGGCCAGTTGGTTGTCAGAATTGGTTGAGGGTCGCCAAGAAGCTTTTCAGACAGCTGGTCTAGGTGGGACTGGGGGTCGTTGAGGTCCTGAGGGAGCTGCAGGAAACTGGGTTTGTACTGGGTGCCTGAAGCGTGGGAAACACGTTGTGTTTAGAATTTCATAACTTGAGACAACTGGCATTTCTAAACTGGTTCTTCACCGTTCTTTAAACAGTTTCTAGCACTTACATTTATACCTAACCCTCTCTGCCCCTTCCTGTAGCATTTACCTGCATTTGTGCTGTTTTCTAAACAAGAAGTAAAACAGCATTTTTCCCTCAGGCATTCAATCTATTACAGCTCATGATGCTGCCTGAAAAATTCATCTTAAACAGGACACAAGACCTCAGGAACTTCATATGCAGTGACAACAGCGATGTAAACCCAGCGAACGTGAAGTGAAGAAGGTTTTGAAGCACTACAAACCTTGTACCAGGAAAATGCAATGTGGTAAAAATATCAGGGCTTGACGTGGCAGGCTGGAAAAGACGTTGCAGAAAATCAGGTTAACAGAAAACACAAAGTGCATGCAATTATCCAGTATTAAGATTTCTGTATTTAAGAACTAGTTTTCTTTTTTTTTTGGGGGACATTCTTCATATTCTCTTGCAACATGTTGTTTTGATAGCAGGCAATAAAGCTCATACCTACCCACACAGAAATCCTCTCTAACACATTCTAAACTCTATTAAACATTTGGAAATACAGGTGGTTTCAATGTATCAAAAAGCCACAGAGTCATAAATAATAATATTAGAGAAAAGGCATTGCAGAGTTTGTATTAACACGAAATAATGCAAGTATGCATCTCTCACCTGATCATTTCTTGTGTCATGACTCGGTTTGTTATCTTGCTTTGCTTCCTGCACATTGTTATCCCTGAAACAGAAACCACGTGGTCAGAAAATTTCCTCAGGGATGCAGCATTTTCCAAGGATGAGGCTACACCTCAGAGGATCTGAGGGTTCTGCTTGTGAGCCCAGCCCTGTCTGGACTTGGCAAGCCCTTTCAGTGTGCTCTGTCCCCATGTGCAATACAATTATCAATAACAATGAGGCAAGTGCAATGTTTTTTGGGGAAAACACCCAAGAACTGACAACTGGAGTGCCTGGATTAAACTACCAAACAGCAGGGGACTGAATTACCTGCTACTGCTGTTGGCAGGGAGGGCTTGTTTTTTTAGGGGGTGTGGAATTCTTTGTGTAGATAAAGCACCTACCTGGCTTGCTAAATTAACCAGGAGCCTGCTCTCCTGTGTTCAAATAGCACCTGTAAGGAGGGAAATACCTGTGCTGTCTTCTGCTCTTCCTGCAAAATTTTCTCCTTATTGCGTCCCTCTTAATGATTGCCAAGGCAGCAACGATGGCGACCGGCAGCACGAGGAAGAAGAAGATGAGCAGCCCATCCCGAAGTGATGTGTCTAGAGAAAAAAGAATTGAAATAATGGCATTTACGATGTTAAAGCATTTTTTTTTCCTGTTGAAAACACTACAACCTTCGAATTATTTTCAGTTGAAACTTCACTGAAATTTATAAAATGCTACGATCAGAAAAGTAGGATTTGGCCTTACGTTATTACAAGTTCTTTCTGCCTTTGACCCCCCTATGTTCCATGATATACAAACTTTTTCCTTTTCCTTATATTTTTTCAACAAACTTGATGATCCTTGTAGGTGCCTTCCAACTCAGCATTTTCTGTGACTCTGTGACTGTGATTTTGTATCTGCTCACCCACAATTGCTCTGCACATCCTCTTTGCCTTCCTAAACTTTTAATAACTACAAAACATTTTTTTTCCCCTCTTTCCCAAAACACAGATTTAGTAAAATCTGGTAATACAAGAATTATTTCTCTCCTCACGAAGCTACAGACTGCAAACTTTGTTTTTTAAACAAAGAGGGAAAACATTTTGCGTGTACAGTGTGAACGCCAGCAAAAGCTACTTCATTACTAGATAATACTGTTTGTTCTTCAAGTCTCATGCAGTAGGAAAAAAAAAAAACAGTTCAAAAGAAACTGAAAAAAACCCCTGCTGTAAGTAGTTTATTTTATGGGGCAGAAGGAAGTCTCAGTGTCCTACCTGTGTGAGCAGGACCGCTGTCAACGCTGCCCCCGTAGCCGGACTGGTTGCAGAACGGAGGGGCCCATCCTGCATTGCAGTGGCAGTTCCCGTTGTTGTTACACACCTACCCCAGGACAACAGGGATTAATGAGTCGGGCAGTGGCAGCTCCCACTGTTGTAACACACCTACAGCCCTTGCACAGGGGTGAGTCAAACGGCAGCACCTCCCTGAGAGCACCTCCACTTGCAGCCTCGGCAGGGATCTGGAGTTCCACGTAGGGAGTGGCATGTGGAAACACGGAATACTGCACAGTATTGCATAGAAATACCTGAAGTGTTAGCTGGGAATAAGCCCTCCCCCTCCATAGCATCCCAAACCACTGAGTGATCCTGATACCTCAAGTGAATTCTCTGTAGAAATTAACATTTGTGTTGTTGTTTGCCTCCACTAAATTGCAGTCCAAGGAACTCCTTTGGACTCCATTTTGATTTTTCACAGAGACATATATAAATCAGGAATTACTAGACCATCTTCCTCAAAGGAATATTTTCCTTTAGCAACTCAACAGCTCAGTAATAATAAAAAAATTCCCAAGAGAAAATCTGAAGAATTGCCTTTCAGTGTTAGTGCTAAGAGGTTTGCCCTGGCAACAGGAATTACAGGTAAAAAAGTGGATTTAACTTTTAATACAGATCAGAAAAAAAAAGGCAAAGTCATCTGGATGGTTGTTGCTTTTATGCAGGGAACTTGCACCAGTCTAGAAACATGAAGCACCGTCTACTCACCCCATTATTATTACACCTCTGCTTTACATCACAGCTGTAGCCCAGAAACATTGCATCAACACATTCAAAACCTACACAGGCCTGGAAGAAATAATTAAGAGTCTTGCAAACACAAAACTAAGGAAAAAAAAAATCCCATCCCTTTATAAATATACCATATAAATGCATCTGTTTACAACAAGGCTACAGCTTTTACTTGTATGTCAAGAAAAAGGGGGTGATAGAACATTCAGTACTTCACAATTTTATAGCTGTATTTTTATCACATTTTCTTAACCCTGTGGGTGCAGTTTGATGGAATAATCTGAATAACTGATTATGGAGTTGACTGATTCGTAGCATCCCAGTTTTTGAAGAGCTAATTAATTGTTTTTGTAGATTTCAAAAAAAAAGCAGGTTTTTCATTGTATTATGGCACACAAACAAGGGAGCTGTGGAATGCCTTTGGAAGTTAAGGACTTTCCACTTGGTGGGATATATTCCATCACGCTGCTGGGATGCCTCTTACCTTGTTTTCTCCACAGGCTGTCCCATCGTGAACTTGAGCAGGATCAGGGATATCTGATCCTAAGTCAAAGTCAGAAGACCAGCATAAAACCCCGGATGCATTATTGACAACACTCCAGGCAGGAAGGTTTTGGAGACTGACAGATGTGCACTGGAGTTTGCCACACAGACTGTGCCTGTATTGAAGGAAGGACACTCAGAGACAAGGTGAACAGAAAAAAACCCACAATATCAGTGAAAATACACCATCCAGTCAAATTTTTTAGCTTGCATTTCAGGGAAATATTCTTTAAATCTCACACTTTTATGGGTTTGTGACGGCATACGTTTTTTGAACATTTTAGGGTTAGTTTTGTTTGCTGGAGACTTACTGGACAGGGCATTTCTTGTACACTCCACCTTTCATCCCACAGTTTCCAAACCTATCTCCTTTAATATTTGCTTTCTCAAAGCATATATCAGGTGCTTTTCGTGCCCCTGTACAAACAAACAAACAAACAAACAGTAAATCTTTGTAAGCTGTCCGAAAAAACACAAGAAAGAAAAACTGGAAAAGGAGAACACCAGTGGATTTACATGAAATAATAAACACACCTTTCCCATATATAGCTTCACACTGTGAATCAAAACTCTGGCACACTCCATAGTAGCAATAGGCCTTGTTGTTGCTGCACGGGTGACCATTCATGATGTAAACGTCCTCTGGGCAGTAGGCACTGCTCCCACTGCAGTATTCAGGGAGATCACAGAAATCCCTTTTTGCTCTGCACTCTGCTCCTGCCACTTTAAACTGGAACCAGAGAGGAAAGGCGCTGTCAGTTTGCAACATCAGAAGTTCCAGGGTGAAACAATCAGTGACAACCTTCAGTGATGTCAAGGGAGACAAATTTCTCTCCTTTCTCAGATTTCAAATGCCCTCTACTGGTGAACGTGGTTTGATAGCGTGAAAATAGGTCAAAGAGGACCAGATCAGCTCTTTTCAAACGTTAAAAAAATCTAGTGAATAGCATCAATTTTGCTCAATAAGGCATTGCCCACCTTGCAATTTTTGCAGCAGAGTCCTTGAGCGCACTGGGATCCAGGCGTGAGTTTGCAGGTTGCAGCATCACAGCAGGGGTTGGAGCACTCCTGAGGAACAGCCACGGACAAGGGGACACTGTTTTTATCTCCTTACATAGCTAGGAAAGCACATCAGCAGTACAAGTGCAAGCCAGGCCTTAAATCCCTGTCTCTGCCACCTTCTGACAGCCGTGTGCTCCAACAGGAACCAGCGGACAGCGTGGCTGTGTCTGCCTAGTACAAGTCATCAGGAAAACACCTGCTCTGATGTGTTGTGGCCAGTTGGAACCAGGAGCTGGTGACAGCCTTTTGAGTTGTTGATGTCTTTTTTGAGACACTTTTGTTTTCTGGAGAACGAGCCAACACCTCCCATCCTTTGAGGGACCTTTTTGGCAATGCAAATAACGACTCACAAAAGTGATTCAGTGTGGGCAAAGTTTAAGGGTTCCTGTTAAGAAACCTGCATGTGCTCTACAGATAAAGTAGCCTCTGTCATGTAACAGAAATGTCTGTGCTAAAACCAGCACAAAACCCAGTTTTATCTGCACATACTCTGCTCTAAAATGCTCTTCTTTCCCAGCAGTGCCTCAGTGTTCTATGAAGACCAATAGCTTTAAACTGAGTCTACGTGAAAATCAAAGTATGATTTTAAGCTTGGATAGAAAGGAAAATTACAAGGAAAACTCCTCAGGTATTAATGCATTCATGTATATCAAAAGGCCAGTATTATATAGAATAATATCATATAGAATAATCCAATATACAACAAGTCTCCAGTTGAATTTCAACCATTACCTGTGGTTTGCCACAGTCACATTCTTCATTGTTGTCAACCACATTATTACCACAGACAGGTTCTCTGTACACATTACTTGTCTTGGGAGGATTTCTAAGGCAGTTTCCTCCTCCATTAAGAATAAGGGTCTCAAAATCATCAGCACTGCAGGTGCTGAAATTCCTGGATCCACTGGAAAACATAGTATTTTATTATTATAAGTATTTTGCTTACAGGAAAATGTACAACTCAAGCTCTTAAATTATTGTCACTCTATAATAAATGTTGCATTTCATAATGCTAGGAGATAATGAGATAGTTAATTTCTGCTTTAGTTTGCATTGAAGTGCAGTACTAGAAGTTAAAAAATACTATTATAATATAAATACATGTACTTTCAGAAATGAGATTATCTGTTCTGGTGTCCTGTATAAAACAGGCTTTAGAAATTCCTTGTGTGTACTGAGTCTAAAAATGTTTGATTAGAAAGACATTCACCTTAGAGTCCCTAAAAACTCAGGAATTCATCTCCTTACAGTGGTTTTGTCCAGTGTTCAATCACCCTGACAAATGTGGATAAATAAATAATATGATCTTTTGCTCTTAAGGGGAAGCCAAAGAACAAATGAACTGAAAGAAACATAAGCCAAAATGTTTTGTTTAAATTAACTGTTAAATATTTGTTGCATGTTTGCAGGAACCCAGTGAGTATATTTAAAGCATTCTCAGCAGGCTAAAAACCAAACCAGAAACACACTATCATTAAAAAAAATATATATATAAAATCAAATTAGGTTTTTAAGAATACTACAAATAAAGAATGATTGGGTCAGAAAACAAGGAAACATTTCAAATAAATTAAGATTATGTGAAATCCTAATTCAGTGACTACAGCTCTCTGCCTAAATTTTTCAAACAACTCCCCATTCACAGAAGTTCTTCCAGACTCCAGAGGAGTTTCACGGCTTGCAAGGCACAGTCGTGCAAACAAAAGGAGTTCTTGCAACCAAACAAGTGGCAATCTTACTTGTCTGTGCTGTGCATTATGTAGGATGCAGGACACCTCTTATCGTCGTGTTTCATGCCGAGGTTGTGCCCCAACTCGTGTGCAACCACCGTGGCGTGACGTAACATATTGTTGTGGTTCAACTAACAGAGAGAATCAGTGTCAAAAAAAGACAAAAAAACAACAACAAAAAGGTGACATCAAGAAAACACTGTTTGTGCCTCGTGTTTCATTCCCACCACCAAGCTCTGGAGACCCATGAAGGCAGAATACTAAACTATATCTCAAGGCAGAAGCAGCAGGAAAGGACAGTTTGTCACTTTTATTTTCAGGCAGGGCCAGATTCTGCCACTCCTTCTGTTGCTTCCATGAGGATCATATTCTGAATAATAAATAGAGTTGGCAGCTGGACTAGATGGTCACTGTAGGTTCCTCCCAGCTGAAATTAGTCTATTTATTCTGTTCTAACACAGTTAATCACTCATGAGACTGATTTCAGTGGAGCCTTCAATGACAAATGTACTGTTGGAGTACCAAAGCTGCTTCTGAGATTATCCACAGTGTTGTGGCATCCCTGCTTTAAGAACAGAAACCTCTGGTTCTGCCCCAAGGGTGGAGAAAAACCCAGTTTCTTACTAATTTTCCCACACTTCAAATTTTTGCAAGCTTACAGCCTTCCTGTGGGGAATTCCAGATGCTTGGGAACGTGGTGCATTATGTTCAGTATTTATTTAAAGAGTAAAAAACCCCACACATTGTTTTGTGCTTCGTGCCCATCCCAAAACCACTCTAGTTATGAACTTTAATCCTATGAGGATGGGCTTTTTCATGCAATATTGAGTTAGATGAATTACAAAAGGGGAACAAAAGAATTATTTGAGGAGTAAATCTGCCAGGTGGGCTGGAATTTGACAAGGAGAGAAATTGAGAAGTACTTAAAAGGAGTTGTAAAATATACAAGAATCTTTACGTAATAAAGCCCATGAAAGAAACCATACAACTGCAAGCCTGGTCTCCAAGACCAGGGTGACTTGGTCCAGGGCTAATTTCTTCCATCACCCACAAAATGATGTACTTACAGTGCTGATTGACCCTCCCTGCACTTGTGAGCAGACAGTACCCACAAAAGCCATTCCAATGGATCCCCTGAAAGAGCTTCTCCCTCTGCAACAAAAGCAGTTTGAAGGGGGTGCTGAAAGATGGGCTGAAAGTTCGTGATTTCTACTGAAAGACAATGATGAGTTTGAAAGAAATTCTGCAAGGCAAGATTTGGTCTTGCTGAAGTCAAGAAGAAATTCATCACCACATCAGGATTTCGCTGTAGTTAATAATGCTAATTGCAATAACAGCTTGAAAATAATGTCAGTGCTTATACATTGTAATATATTTACATTATAATTATATACTGTACATTAACACTGGCAGCATGGCCAGTTTTCCCACTGAATGAAAACTTACATTATGAGATGACTGACATCGTTTCTTGATCGCTTAAGAAGATCTTTCTGCCTCCAAGAAACAAATCTGCCCAGAACATCCCCAGCTGAACCATCCATTACAGAGATGTGGTTTGCATCTGTCCAAATCTCTAACCCAACCAATACAATCTGGATGTTTAATGGTCTATACATCTGAAAAAAAATGTAATGATAATTAATGTCCATCGCTCTGTTTTGATGAGGAATTTGAGGAATTCTGAAAGATGACTTCACTATTACTGAGTAAAAATAAGCTGAACTTAGTGACTAAGACAGAACTTTAGTTTCTTTGAAACTAAAGGTATATTTGTATTTATAAATGAAAATATAAAATGTTTATAAACTATAAAGCAAATAAAATTGTTTAGACTATAAAGCTAAATATAACTGAAGAAAATCTACTTTATGAAGATACCTAAACATATCTTTCAGTTGGAGAAGTTGGAAAGACCACATTCATTCATTTCCTTTGCTAATTGTCTCGAGGAGAAACTGGGAGCAGCTGATCAGAGAGCTTATGGAATTGTTCACAGTGCTGAGAGTTTTCTTAAAAAAACCCTACAAACATGAGAAATACTCTTCCTAGAAATGTAAAACACATGGAGACTGAAGCAGTCAAACCACAGAAGTGATTTGAAAACATCTTGGATCTCTCCCCCTGCTTGCAATTCCACAAGACTTGAGCAGAGATTCGTGATGTGCCTTAACTGTGTTACAGATTGTTGTATAACTTCCAAATACAGTTTCAGAACTGCATGAGCTGTACTTCTGAAACCTATGATAAGGTAGAAATTACTCAACCCAGGCAACTTATCTGACCTACCCCATCAACGTAATTAATCAGCTCGACCGTTTCCTTTTGCACCGCAGCAGGATCAGAATTCTTCAGCAAAAACTGTAAAATACCACAAGAATGTCAGAGAAAGAAAACTAACCAAATAATAAAATGCATTTAGGGTTGGATGAAATAATTACCCTCTTGTTATCCACCACCACAAACAATTCTACATAGCTTTTCTGAGGCAGGACAGCTCGCTTCTCCTGCCAATTAGAAAGGACAGAAAGTTAACATAACAAGTTCAAGGCTTTTTACTTCTGTTTCTCACGATTTTTATTTTGTGTGTTCATAAGGCAATGTGGCCATTCTTATAAATTGCATCTTCTAATTAGTGGCCTTAGTTTTGCCACACAAATATCTCTAGGTATCAGTAATTCACAGCAGGTCAGGCACTGGGGTGGATCAGCTGTCTTGGGCAGCCTCTGCTCTTCCACTGCAGGATTGCTTCAAGCTATGTTAAATTCCCAATGAGGTCTTCTGCTCCAGGATTTCCTCAGCAGCATTCCCACCAGTCTGGCTTGGCATGCATGGAAAAGGAAGGCCCCAGGGAAGTGGCCTCCAGGTCCAGTGATATTGTTCCAAAGCAAGAGCTCTGGAGGCCCCTTGGCTGCTGGGACGGGCTGAGGGGATGGCCTGGACTGCAGCTCAGCAGAGAAATGGGAATATATTTACCCTCAAAAGCTTCTCCCTGCCAGAGGTAGTGTTTGATGAAAATGTGTACTCCACAGCCTGCTCCACAAACATCTGCTCAAGCTGAAGGCTGCCATTCAGCACCCCACAGTGGAAGGGCACGTCCTGCTCGTCCTCTAATTCATAAAACACATGTTCAAATGTGCTGGATGTGTGGAGAGGCTCCATTCCATACCACTTGCCACCAATGTAGAGGACTCCCCTAAAAATCAGTTAAGAATGAAAAATTATTCCATAGTTTTTCCCTCGTGGTTAATGTCTAGGTGGGTGAATGAGAGCTGGATGCTTAAAAAAACCTAGAACTGTTCACACCACTACATTGAGATAGATTATTGTCTTAAATTATCTCAGTATGGGGGGTAAGGTCAAATGTCCAACAAAAGACAAAATAGAACTTAATAAAAAAGTTGTACACAAGTGGGGGCTCCTTGAATCAGAGAGAAAAGAAAGAAAAAAAAAAAAAGAGAGAAGGGAGGCAAATTGTTACTAAATGAGTCTGGATCATGGGTAAAAAGCTGATGCAAAAGGTCTCTCTTAATCCTTATCTCTGGTCTCACTTTCAGCCCCATGCAGCTAAAGCAATTTAAAAAATATATCTTGTAAGACAGAAGGAGAGGCTAAAAACAATCACCAGGGTGTTTGTGAGGACAAGAGCAACACTGCACTGCTGAGTGCAGCTAAGTACAAATATTTTGCATTTGTCCCCGGCTCAGAAACCCCTGGTAAATGCCTTTGTGCATTGCCTGAAATACCACAACACAGACCTTTTATCCTTCCTTTACAGGAATGCCAGGATATGCCATGATTTACTGTGAGTGGCATCTCACTGTGATCTCGCATGAAAGTTGTGTGCATGAATTTTATCCCACTTGTAATTTTACTGCACTTGAAACACACACAAAAAAATTGTTCCAAATTCCAATTTGGTCAAAATTTTTTCCATGGAAACAGTTTGTGTTTTGAAACGTGCTCATTTATAAGACAGAAATGTTTTCAGGAGTGTTTTTTAAGTGCATCAAAAGCTTAATTAGGTAACATTTCTCCTACATAAGTATTTCTGGTCAAAATATTCACATCAAGTCCTAGAAGCCTCAGGTCATGCCCAGGTTCTGCCTATAAACCAGGTTATGGTTTCTGTCATGTTTCATTATTTTTTTTTCTGTGAAGGAATCTTAGAAAAGAGGGAAAAAAAAGTGGGAGTTGATGGAAACTACAAAACCTGTAAAGAGTTTCAGCTTCATCAGAAGGTGAAAATATTAAAAAAAATATTTGCAAGACAGGATGGTGGGGTTTTTTTCCAGCTGTAAGATGAATAGCAACTGGGTTTTTTGCTGTTTTTACTTTGGTACTGCACAAGGAATTATCCTTAAAAAAGCAAGAGAGGATACCTCAGGCCATCACAGGTGCTGAGAGCAACTGTTGAGTCAGCAATTCCTTCGACAATGCCATGATAATAACAGTGTGTCTGAAAGGCAACAAACCCACATAATTAGTGACAAAACAAGGTGGCTGCCTCCAACTGCAAACTTATTTTCTAACTGACCATATTATTTGCATGACATTAAGGCTGCATGTTGTGGAGTTCCCTATTCTGAAAATAATCCCAGCCTTCTTGGAGTAAAATATCACTTGCTGTGTTGGGATTACTTGTTTAACCCATCACCATCTTTTGTAAAAATCCTCTCATCTGCATTGCTCATCCTGTTCTCAGAGTCCTCTCAAGGGCTGACCTGAGAAGATGTCCCATGCACAAACCACCCAGTGAAGTCTCACTGAGCTCACACGCAGTTTAAAGTTGAAATTAAATTTAGAAGAATTTAGAAGGCTCGTTTGATACAGCACCTAAAAATTATAGTGCTTTGGATGCTGCCACTGCACCTTTAATTGCACACTGTGCAAGGGTGACCTAATCAGGCAGCTCAAATTCAGCCTTGGCATCATCTCCTGGCATCTCCTTTCACACCTCAGGAAACAGGGATGCTCTCCTACCACAAACAGCCAAATCCCTCGTGAACCTTTTGTTTATTATCACTGGCAATTGTTAAACAGAAGTGCTACAACTGTGAAAATTCACAAAAGCTGCATCCCCAGAAAATATTTTTTTTTTCTCGGTTTCCCTGGTTTGAGGAAATTCTGACACAAAGAGGGGGGAGGGGATTTTATCAGGTACAGTACCTCATTTTTGGATTGTGTTGCCTCCAGTTTCCCATTTTCCCCATATGTAAACAGCATAAAGTCTTCACTAACAAGCTTTCTGGAAACAAAAATAAACCACTGCTCTTTTAAAGGTCTAGAAAGCAAGAAGTGGGTCAAGAATCCTGGCAAATGCTACATTCTGTTAGCATGACACTCATGCTAAATTATTATTAAAATGGAGGCACACCAAGCAAAATACCTTAAAATGAGCTGGAGTCTTTGGAAAATAAGTTATTTTAAAATATTTTAACTACAAAACCCATAGAGAAGCATCTAAGCAGATTCATTTGCATAAGGGCCTGGACTGCTCCAGGCTCAGGAATGAGGAACAACAGAAACAGAAATTTCTTCAAATACAACACAGCTAAGAACCCTCCCCCCAGCTAATAAAAAGCTAATGCTGAACAGAACTCTGATTTCCCCTAAGGATTTTCTGAAATGTACAATCTTGTGTTGCTAAATTGCTATTATTAAAAAAAAAATAAAAATCAAAGTAAATTTCTTCACAACTAGAGAAGTTATTATTCCTTTCTGTTTGCAAGATAGTACCATAAAAGAGAGACTATTGAACAGAATAATTTTCTAATTACTGCAATCTGACTTTTAAATGGTTTCTTCTGAATTTTTTCAGTATAAAAATGCTTGTCTGGATACAACTAACCCCAGGACAGTGTGATTCCTTAGAACACTATCACATACTTATTTTTCTTCAGTTTTAGGAGGTATGTTCCATTTCTGGTTTTCACTGAGTAAGAAAGGTTGTCATCTGAATGCTCCTGAAAACGGGACAAAAGATACCACTTAATTAGGTGATTTTCTACTTGGTTTTGTCATACCCATGTTCTACCCAACTTCTGTGTGTGTGAAGGGTGTGCCAAAACACAGATCCCAAACCTTCTCCCTCTGTAATTTCAGAGCCTCAGCAGCACACTGTGCATTCTTTCCTGTGTAAAGTTTTAAGTTCTATTAATCTGCACATTTTCTCTCAGAGGACAGGAGGGCACAGCCCATGTGTGCACTCTTTGCCAAGCACCACGCCAGGTTTTGTGACCCTCCTTATGTAAATCAGATAAGCCACTCGCCGAGTCTCTCGTTCCTTAATCGGTTTGCTCAAAGATGACTAATGCTACTTCATTAACAGTAAATGAACTCAGTATCTAGCACAAAGGGAAGTTACCTCAGAACTGGAGAATTAAGGCTCAGATCTTTCTCTTTTAACTCATTCCTTTAAACTATGTGACTCTAGGGGACCGTTTTTACCTATCAGGGGCTCCGTGGCTGAAGTCCTCTGGTTATCCAAAACCAGAAGGCAGAAAGCATGAACATCAGTGCAAGTTCAACATCTGACTCAGAAAATGGAAATATTCTTCGTGTTCCTTCTCACTTCTGCCTTACAAGGTTGTTAACAAAACCAGAAGTTTGGACGGCGCTAACTTGGAGCACAATCACAGGAATTTGTGGGAACAAATTTGCTCAAAATTAGTTGAAAACACTAAGAATCTGAAGAAATATAGAAATCTGGCACATTTCTTCACAAAAATCTCTATATACTTATACATTGTGTGTGTGTAATGTAGGACAGTGTTGGGAAAAACAGCAGCATCAGAAGAAAAAAAATCAGGATCACAAACCTCATGAAAAAATGGGTGATGTTTCTCTCTGCCCGTCAGACTCTGAGGAATGATTATTTCTAATGTAGAAAATCTGGGTGTCTGTTCAGAAGATACACCTGAAGATGAAGTTTGAAAGTGGTAAATAATCAGAAGGCATAAGGCATTATGTTGGCACCTGCACAGTGGGCGTTGCCAAAAGACCGTTCTAATCCAGCCAGAAATGGGGAAAGAGCGACTTCACCAGTCCAGAACCTGACTGCCCCTGCTCAGCTTGGGCTGTTCTGTCTCTTTCAGAGCTCTTGGATCATGCTGGGAAGTTGAAGAAATCAACAGTTTCAGTCATGGCCAAGTTATTTTTAATTTCGGAGTGTTGAAATAGATATTGCCTCGTTTTTCTGCAGAAATGCTGGTTTGACTGTATTCAAGGGTGATGACTGCACCACCCCAAACACAACTGCTGTAAAGTGCTACAAACTGCAAATTCAAGCCAAAGTTTCCTTAAACAGGGTGTCCAAAACTGGTTGGTAGTCTTGGCTTTAACTCTTGGGTTTAGTTACCTGCATTATAAACTGCGATAATAGCTCAAATTTTAATTTTCCCTTCATATGGACAATACCAAACCATCCTTTTCCCGGTGCCCTGAATGAGGAATACTTGCAGTTGTCCTCTGGATATAATTCTTCCACCTCCTGTGTGTATAATCTTGGCTCCTGCCATTGCCTAACGCTGCATTTTGTTTGTTCTAGCAACAGTCAAACCTTTGCAAAACATTTGTAGCCTTTTACATGATATCAGAATTATCTGCAGAACAACATGCTAATGCAGGAAGCTAAAGATAAGAAGCCTGGTTTCAGGTAAATGGTTAAAGACAAAACCAATATCCTCTAACTTTCTTTAAAACTGTGAGAACTTGAATTCATCTTCCTTTTTCTTGTCTGCACATCAGTCTGGTTTGATCAACAGAGACACAACCATTGCTTTTAAACAGGTAACAGAATCAAGAGTAACATGGGTTTTAACAATGAAAGTGGGTTCTTCCTTCTTAAATTGTTCCTTCATAAGGAAATAGAGAGATTTCTTCACACTTATAGTAATACAAAGTCACCCTCAGCCTCCCACGTTTCTGTGAATGGAATTCAGGATTGCAAAGAAGCCACACAACCAGTCATTCAAAGTGAGGAGGAGGGCTTTGCAGTGTAATCATGATCTCTACCTGTTAGATAACATCAGGGTTTTTAAAAGCTAGGTGCAGGTAGCTGTATGTTTAACATTACAGGCTGTCATTGCCATCAAAATGTGGAAGCTGCTGTTAGGAAACAGGTCTGAAAAGAGTATCAGCACTCGATATTTACTTCTGACTTTGCTCTCAGTCTTCAATAATTTTATTATCTAAATCACAAAACTCATTCTCTTTCACGAGTAAAAGTGTATGTTGAACTGACAACGGAGATGCTCTTTTAACAACTGAAATTTTCACACCTGAAAGCAGGAAACCATCTTCGATGCACATCACAAAAATACCACTGTCTAAGAAATATTTCAGGTGTTACATTTAAATCTAAAGAGTGAAGCCAAATCATAAATGGAAATGAGTTAATGAGGAACCATAATGAAGCTGTAGGAATTCCCCTCACATTACTAAAGAAGAAATCTTTTCCTGCAGTCTTTACTATTGATGAGAGTGACAGTAAATGCAGTTGTCACAGTGTCCTACATGGAAGATGATATATTTCCATACTTACCACATCCTGGAGGGAAAAACCCCACAAACAGCTCAGCAATAAAACCTTTCAACCTGCAATCTTTTCCAGACACCCTTTTTCTTGCACAAGATTTTCTCAATGAGCAGGTGCTGTGACTCGATGTGAAAAGGGAGCATCATTATGCTCAGGATCAGAGAGCGCAAGAAGAAGAAGAAACTTTCTGAATATTTAAAAAGAAAGCAAACTTACCTTTCATCCAAAAGGGTTTCCCAGTAAAAGTTAGCCCAAAAGTGAACCAAAATAGGCAGTGCTTTAACATGACTGGACTTCCCGGAGAAACCACTCCGGTGTCCCAGCAGACTGAGCGTACCTGGCTCCGGCTGCTCCCCACAGGAACCAGAAGAGCAAGAACCGTCTGCTCCCAAGGCAAACAACAGAAAAAAGCACCCTGACACTGCATCTCTGCTCAGGGAACGGGAAGTAAAATTTAATCCACTGGGCTTGCGAGGAAACTGGTCAGACGGCTTAATGCAAATAAAAAGCAGCACGTCCTGAAATGCTGATTGGAGAAGGAGCAACTGAGCCGTGCCGGGATCAAACTGGTTTTATTCTAAAGGGCTTTCATTCCACTGTGAGATCTTATGAGATTACAAACAGAAAATATCACTAGTAACAAATACAGTGTTTAGGATGTTTATCCTGGCTATTCCAGCTCAGCAAAAAAAAAACTCCAGTGTGAAACAATCTACTCTTTGAAATTTCAGCTTGTTGCTTTCTGTTTCTTCATCTTTGCTTTAAAAATATGGAATATACAGTGCATATGAACACATGGAAACCCTATAAACACATGGAAATCCCACAAACACACGGAAATCCCCAAAACAGGGATTTTGCCCAGTCCCTCCTGTGTTAAACGCAGTTCTCCTCGCTAAAAGTCCATAATTTTGTGCAGATCATTGCTCTCCCAGGATCACAATGATCTTCCATGCTACCACATTGTCACAAAAGCAAAAATAAATGCTTCAAAACCGTATGAAGCTGCAGCACATTTTGGAACAATCAAGCACATTTAGAAACACAAAAAAAGGAGACTGAGACAACACAGTTTTTCACGCTAAAGCATTTGCATTAATTAATTTTAATTAATTCTTTAATTCAAACAGAGCAAATCCACTTTTCCATTGCTGGTAAATCCCACAAAACAATGGCTTGGATGACAAAACGCTGAGGTGCTGGCTGTATTTTTAATTACAGCTTGTGCAAAGCCTGCTCAGGTCCATCTCCCGACAGTCACACACCCAGTGAACGTTCCTGTGCTGAGCCCTGGGTGGAAGCAGAACTCGATACCCCTGTTCTTTGGCTCTGTGTCTGTGCCACAGCCTCAGGAGCAGTCTTCCCCGACTCCAGAAGCCAGGATCCTACTGAAAATTAAATGAACCCCATCTTTTATTTATAGCCTCTTTTATTCACAGCCTCTCTCCTGTGTGGCACACCATCAGCACACAACTTGGGAAAGAGAATCCAGTAGTTCTGAATTTTGTCATATTACCGAATTTCACAGAATCACAGGGTCAGTTTGGTTTGAAAAGACCTCTGAGATCATGGAGTCCAACCTGTGACCCAACATCACCTTGTCAACCAGACCATGGTAGCCCATCCACGGACCCTGGGCAGAGGCACCAAAAGGGGTTTGTAGCCAGGTGGCCGTCACAGAGTCACAGAGTATGCTGAGTTGGAAGGGACCCACAAGGATCATCGAGTCCAACTCCTGGCCCTGCACAGACACCCCAACAATCCCACCCTGTCCCTGAGAGCATCACCCAAACCCTCCTGGAGCTCTGTCGGCCTTGGGGCTGTGCCCACTGCCCTGGGGAGCCTGTTCAGTGCCAGCCACCCTCTGGGGGAAGAACCTTTCCCTGAGATCCACCCTGAGCCTGCCCTGGCACAGCTCCAGGGTTGGCTTCTTCTCCCAGGTAACCTCCGACAGGAAGAGAGGGCATTGTCCCAACCTCTCCAGGGGAGGTTCAGGTCGGGCATTGGAATGGGGTGCCCAGGGCGCTCAAGGAAGGACAGGACGTGTCTCTCAGTGCCACGGTCTGGGTGCCAAGGTGCTGCAGGGGCCCAACGCTGAACCCGATGAACTCAAAGGTCCTTCCCAAGGGCTCCGATCCCGGGATTCCGCATCCAAGGGCTCCGATCCCGGGATTTTGTGACCGCCCCCCCACATCCCGGGATTCCCTGACCGGCCCCGCCCTCCAGGGCTGCCTCTCCCGGCGCGCAGGCGCGGGGCCCGCGGGTGGCGCAGGCGCGTGCCCGCTGAGGGCCGGCCGGCGCTCGGTGCTCGCTCCCCGCCGCTCCCGCCGCCCCGGGCCCCGCGATGTGGAGCGGCCGAGCGGCCCCGCCGGGCCCGGAGGAGCCCGAGGAGGAGGAGGAGGAGGAGGGAGCATCGCGGGGCCCGCGCTGCGTGTGGGCGCGGTGCTCGTGGCCCTGCGCGCCGCCGGGCGGGCTGTCCCGGGCGCTGTGCGTGCGGCGGGGCCCCGCGGACGGCGAGCCCGGGTGAGGGCGGCGGGCGGGCGGGCTGAGGGGGCGCCGGGCGAGGCCGGGCGGTGCGGGCTGGCGGGACGACGCCTGTGGTTTCTGTGTGGTTTTCCCCCCTCCCCGCAGCGGAGAGCCCGTGGTGGTGGAGCGGCGGGAGCGCGGGCGGGAGCCCTGCGAGGTGCGGCTGGAGTGCCGGCCCGGCGCCGCGATGGTGTCCGTGGGGATCCTGAGCCAGGCCCGCAACATGGAGGTGTACGTGGGAGAGGAGTACTGCGGCACCGGCCGGGGACAGAGCCGCGGACACCGCCGGGACACGGGGTGAGAGCGGGGCACGGGGGGACAGGGGCGCTCACGGCCCCCAGGCAGCCTCGTGTTTTGTGTGAGTGTATCTCTCTCAGGGGCTCCTGCTGTCATAGACCCGATGTTTTTAAAAAGAGTGAGGGAATTGGGGTTGTTCAGCCTGCAAAAGGGAAGGCTTGGGGTGACCTAATTGTGCCTTTCGGTGCCTGAAAGGAGCCGTCAAGAGAGATGAAGAGAGGCCATAAAAGCACGGAGTTGGCAGGACAAAGGGGAGTGGCTTCCCAGCCACAGAGAACAGGTTTAGATTAGGTATGAGGAAGAAATCCTTCGTGTGAAAGTGCTGAGACTCTGGCACAGGGTGGCCAGAGAAGCTGTGGCTGCCCCATCCCTGGAAGTGTCCAAGGCCAGGCTGGACGGGGCTTGGAGTGACCTGGAATAGTGGAAGGTGTCCCTGCCTATGTCAAGGGAGCTGGAACGAGATGGTCTTCAAGGTCCCTTCCAACCCAAACCATTCGGTGATTTCGGGAAAGATCTCTTGTGTCTTTAATTAAAGTGGTCATCCCATACTTAAAGGAAAAAGAGAGAAAATTGAAAAAAAAAAGATGGTTTTGTTTTCCCCTTCGATACTTCCTTCCATATTTTGCCGGGGGAAATAAAACAACGTTTCTGTTTTGTTTGTAAGTCATTACATGGCACGTCTTAATTAGCTAAATAGAAACCAGAGGACTCAGAGCCTCAGGGAAGGTGTGTGAAGAACGTAGTGAGCCTCAAAAGCTTCTCTAGTACATAGTGTATGTACACATACAACTAAATTTTTTATGTACATATTCCATAAGATTCATTGCAAGTTGCCTATAAGCATTAAAACTGCCATTGGAAATAAAAAAGTGCTCAAAACTAGAAATTAAAACTATTAAAATATTAAAACAGCATTAGAAATATGTTGGGTCAGTCTTGTTTCTTACCTGAATGTTTACCAATATAGTGTATTTCTACAAATAATGGTGGTACTTTGTGTATTGATGTCACAGCTTATCTATTTTACTTCTGTAGTGAAGCTGAAGAGGTTGCTTTATACCACAAGTACCATAAGTTTGAATGCCCTGCAACCTCCTGTAGAATTAAGGTAAGGAATTAAACACCATTGTTTTATTTTCCTTGGTGTTTTTAGTCCCTGAATTGACTAAATTGCATTGCTCTTCATCAAATTATTGGCTTTTGTGCCCTTCATCACTTCATATAACAACCTAAAAATCTGTTAATTGGTACTTTGTCTTGATAGCAGAGTTCTTTTAAATTTGTATCTCAGTTTTCATGAAGACTTTTTATGAGATACAGGTAATTTAGAGGAAAAAAATAATAAACCAGGTAAACTGCAGATCTGTGATTATAACTGTTAACTCTGATGTGGTTAGATAAGCTTTTGAAAATCATGTGGCCACTACTCTTACATGCTTAGAAAATCAAGGCCTGATTTATCTTTAGGGCACTCAGGCACCTCCGTTCCAGTCAGAATTTTCTGGGGAATGGCAGCAAGGAGAAATGGGCTGAATTTCCCTGGAAAAGAGTTCAGCATAATTTCCCCCAAGACTCAAGTGCACTGTCCCCTACGTACAAAGAAATTGAAACTGTCGGGGTTTTTTTTTCCTAACCAAAATATTTTTTGTTTCTTCTTGCAATAGCTGCTCTCCTTTGGTGAGACACAGAGAGTACTCATCAGTAAAATAATTATAGAAGTGAAAGCAGTGTCTGCAAAACTAGCAACTGATTTTCCTTCACTAGGCTCGAGCATAGATCTAGACAGAGTGCAAACTATAATGGAATCCATGGGATCTAAGTTGTCTCCAGGTGCTCAGCAGCTCATGGACATGGTCCGATGTCAGCAGAAGGTAAACCACTGTGCTTTTCTGTGAGCATGAACAGTACTCACCTGACACCTTTCCAGCTTAAGGATGTTCTAAATTGATTAATTAAAAAAGATTTTATGTTTGGTTTTTTTTGGTTTTTTTTCTTTTACCCCACACTTTCTGCCATTTTAATCCTGGTTTAGCTGTTGCCACTCGCGTGAGTGCAGTGAGGGGAGATTGTGTACTCCAGGAATCACTGTGCACACACCGAGGCCAGAGTTAATAACTCTTCGTTATTATTTTAAACTTCACTGTCACTGCTTGTCAAGGATGGTGGGCACATTCCCTGGAATGATTGGGATGTAGGTAGGTGGGCTGGTTTTGACCTTTATGGTCATTATGTCACCTTCAATTAAAGAGAACATGCTCTTACAGAGCATTTGCTTGACTGAGATCCTGATCCTGTGGAGTGAACTGTTCCAACAGAATCCTGAATCCATCTGCAGTTAAAAATATTCAGTCCTGGGGACATGGTGTGGTAAAAAGCCAGTAAAGCTGTTTTCTTAGAGAATGACAAGATAACTAACACATCATATGTACAGGGAAAACATCTTCCTGTGCTTTTCCATAAGCATGTAATTCAGAACTACTTTTAAAATCTTTATATCACACTAGTAGAATGCTGTTAAATCTGTTGATATTACTGTATAATTTCCAGTCTATTTCAATATTATTAATTGTGTTATTTTTTGTTCCCATCAGAACAGTTTACCTCTTGGAGACAAACTTAGTTGGATCTTGGGGAAGAATTCCGACTTCGGAGGTGACCGTGCAATAGATGGACTGCGCAGTGCGGCTCTTCAGTCATCCCCGAGTCACTCAGCCAGTGAACCTCTGCCCCTTAAAAATCATTTAACAAGTGAAACAGTCTATAAAGACCTAAAAATAAGTCGTGATCTGAACACAGAGGTACCTGAGAGAGGGAACTCTTTTGACTCTGAAATCAGACTTGCTACCCAGCAAAACGCAGTTGACCTCAGAAACGATTTGAAAGTCGTGGGATCTTTGCATGTGCAGGAACAAGCGGGTGAACCCCCAAATGTAGCCAACCCACAGGTGCTTCTTCCCTTTCTTCAAAACTTATGCAGTCAGGTGAGTCACCTCCGGCTAAAAGATGGAGAGAGGCAGCTCAGGAAAAACTCAGTGGCTAAAGAGGAAGGCGTTCAGTGTGTTGGGTGAGTTGAGTTTGTGATACTTCTGAAAGTAGTGGCTTCACTGTATTTATTGACTAGTTTAAGCAAAATGAGTAATTTTATTCTCATTAACAGCAGCAAATCTGAGATGGTGTGGTTTTAAAGGCTGTGTGGCAATGAGTGTGGTTACAATTAATTTTTCAGATGGGCTGCTTGAATGTGGGAGTTTTTTCAGAACAAATCACATCGTTTGTTGCTACTAAACTGTTTGTCTTTTACCTCCATTTCACCTCTTACAATTTTTAAAAAGTATGTTCCTGCATTTCCATACACATGTAGTTTGCCTTTCTTGTCTTTTACCACATTTACATTTTGACTCTTTCTACCTCCCAAATCCCTGTGTCTTCCTTTTCCCCCACAATGTGACCCAGCCTTTTTGCTGTACTTGATGTGTGCCTGTTCCTGCTCGTTTGTTGGCATTTCTGGAGCAGACTTTGATACCTAAGGAACAATGGTGGAAATTGTGAGATGTGGGAATGTTGTGTAGGAATTGGGATTGCAATAGAGCCTGAATATCTCCAGCTCCTGAAAGAATGCAGTGTTTTTGAAGAATGCAGTGCCAAACCAAAGAGTTGCATAGCTTGGATAATTCTTGAAGCACTTCTGCTGAGAAGGACAAAGTCTGCCATGCTGACAGAATTTGAACTCTGTGTGTACTGTCGAGTTGTGTGGGTTTTGTTTTATCTAACTAAGCTCTCTAATGCATCCTTGAGCCTTTGAAAAAATAAGGGTGAAGAAAGATGACTATATACTGTAGAATGTTTATGAAAAAAAAAAAAGAAATTTAAAATGTGGTAGGCAGGGTATTTTATTGTGCTAAAAGCCTAATACCTTCCACAGTTCATTGCCTAATAAATGAGATTTTGCATTTAAAAGAAGTTCAAGTGCCCAAATTTCTAATATGCTCCTTGTCATTAAGAAACAGCTTATACTTAACTCTTATATTTGCTCTTTTTGCAGAGTGGAACAACAGCCTATTTGCTCCTATTTGGAAAAGATCATCTCCAAAAATATGGATCTGATGGAGAAAAAGCTAATGGACTATATTGATCAACAAATCCAGGCTCTTCAGACACACATAGACAATAAAATGGTTCTCTTGATGGACTTGGTTCGGAACTCAAAGCCAAACAAAATTTCACAAGCACACTATGATTCTAATGAAGGGTTTTCCAATGGAGAGAGATGAACAGAGATGTAGGATTTCAGTGTAAATATTTTAAGGGCAATTACATTTACAAAGCTTAGTATTTATGGATTTACAGCTGTAAGGAAACCTCAGTGTTGTTAGCTTGCATTTTGTTACTGTAATTCTACCCACTGTTGCACGCAGTTGTCAGTTTTATGAAAGATCTTAGGGAATGTGTGTTTTTTCCTAAATATGAGAGTTTTGTATGCCCTTTGTGGCTTATTTATTTCAAGAACACGTGCTGAAAGCCATATGAACAGTCCCCCAGTTTCAGTTTGAACTCTGAATAAACTGAGTTACTGCATTATCTTTTTACCTGCACAGAATCAGTTCGCTTTGTTTTTGGAAGGTCAACCTTCAGACTTCCTTCTGTTTGTTGCTCTTTGATTCTGGGGTACAGCATTTAACTTGGACTCTGGGAGGGGCTTTGTTGTAAAGCCCTAAGTTGGGTGCATGCAAAGACATTTTGGGAAAAAAAATACCTATGGGGATATTTTGAGTCAACAAACAGCGCAGATGTGTAGAATCCGTATCTTTATTAAGTCTGCCTAATATTTTCTTCTCCAGGAAAACTGATGTCTTTTAAGGAGACTGTCACATCTTGATGGTTGTAACTCACAGGAGCAGGTTGGGAAGAGAGGACAATTTGCTTTGAACAGAAATCTTGCAGTTGTCCCTCAGCTAAACTCCTGCCAGGAGCGGTTTCAAAGTGATTTCAAAAGATTAAAAGTTTTGGGTTTTTTTTTAAAGAAAAAAGGATCTTAATTTCTTGTCCTTTATACCTGTAAAAATTTGGTTTTACGTGCTTTTAGGAAACACCCTGAGGTAGACACATACTCTTTTTCAACTCAGAGTTGACTTAAGACAGAGTACTAAGTTGAGAGGTTTTTATATTTGGTGTTTATTGGTTGCTTTTTTATTACAAAAGAAGTTGAAATATTTTCCCAAGTGGTGTTGGGTTCCAGTGCTGGTAATTTGTAGATGTTTTTTTCTCTCATAATTTTTATTTATCCCCTCTTCAGGTGACAGATCTGCATAGGAGTTGACACAAATACCAAATCTCCTCAAGTAGTTAAAATGAGCTCTGGATTTTTTGGTAACTGCATCCTGCTTGGTGTTTGTGATGTTTCAGTATCACAACTACCACAGTGAGAATATTTGAAACCAAAACCACAAGTGCAAAAGCGTAGAAATTGTATTGTTGCAGGCTTGGGGTTTCTTCAGTGTCTGCTTTAGTGAGGGATTCTGTGTAGAGGAAAAAAAAAAAGTGTTTAAAGTTTTGAATACCATTGCATTTCCAGGGAAATGTTATAAACATTTTTTCAGGTATTTTTGTTCTGAGGAGTTGACCCACCCAGTGTGCAAATTCTGAATATGTAGCACTGAAGAGTTGTAAAAATTGGTAATAAAACAGTTGTTGCAGAGGAGCATCACGATGTTCTTTGGGATTGCTGCAGCCAAGGTTCTGCCGAGCTGTGCTGTCACTGTGTTTACAACCAGACAGATTGAAGACATTTGCTGAAGCAAAGCTGGGCAAAAAAAGGACCTTGTGGTTCTAACCCTGAGCCTTCTAGTGGTTTATTAACTTGGCCTCAGTAAAACTCGTTCTGTGCTTTACAGGACTTGGGGTGTGATCTCATGACACCTGAACCCCGTTCCCATTACAGATGTGTCCAGTTTCATGCACCTGGGTGCAGAATCTTTCACTATGGAAATAAATGGGAACTTAAATAAAACTGGGTGGAATTGAGTGCGGCGTCAGAAGACACGCAGGTCCTAACAAAACCTGAATATGATTTGGAACGTGGTTTTTAAGCAGTCTGTGGCTCGAGAAGTGAGCTTAATGTTTTGCCATTCATAACCCTTTCTGATTGAACACAGATCCTGCAGACACTGCTGCAACCAGGAGTGAAGGCTGCTCTTTCTGCTTCAAGAGCACATCTTAAGCCAAAAGGCCCCCAGTCTGCCCGTGTGAAAAGTGCTGCTGTGACTTCACAAAACGCAAACTTTGTTGAACCCCTCGCTCTGATGCCTCGTTAGGTTTGAACTGGTCTCATTCAGTTATTTCATTAGAGGGATGAAGGTAACTGATTTACGCTGTGGAAGTGCTAAATGAGGTTTTAAATATCCATATATTCCTCTTACCTGAGTGCTGAGCAGACCTGAGATCTCTCTTCAGGCGGATGGGACCCACTGCAGTGTTAGTTTTCCACGTGTGAGGAGAAATGGCTCTCTTTTGCCTGGAGATACAGCCTTTGGAGCAGCGAGAGTCTGAGCTGTTGCTGTCACAAATGACAACATCACACTGGAGATAAACCGATGGGAAGCTCCTCAGGAACCTGAAGGCATTAAATTTGAACCTTCCACGGTGCTCAAGGGGCGGGTAGGTCACCACAGTGTCATCTTTATTGCAGCTGCAATGGGATTTACAGATCTATTAGAGTAGTCCCTTTGCAATCATCGTTCTTGCTAAGTCCTGTTGTCTGTAACTGCAGCATTTAATTAGGGCATTGTTTTTATGTGTGTGCACACAATGATGTGGTGAATGTTTCTCCTGCCTCTGTTTATGTAATGACTTTAAATTTCTCTGAAACTCAGCTTCCAAGCACAGCCTACTAAAGAAGGTAAGTGGAGGACATATAAAACCTTTGAAATTTAGATTGTATTAGAAGAATATAATAAAATTAGAGTCTCACCCACTTCTGATTAAGTCATATGTCGGCGATCCAAAATCAGGTTGTGGAGATGCTGTGCAGGTATCAACAAACACCACGAGGTTTGGGTCAGTGGATTGAAGACTGACTTGAGCAAAGAGAGTTTGGTTCAAGTCTACATAGTATGGGGACTGATGAATGGGCTCAGAGAACGAATCTGAGCTGTAGAAGGCCATGCTGACATTGTATCTCCCCATGGCAGTTATGTTTTGGATGACGTTATTTCTCGTTACGTAAAAGACTTCTAAAGTTGAGTTGTTTTCCATTTTGCATTTCACAATAATCTCTGTGTTCTTCTGACGGGTGATGATGTTCCCAGTTGAAGAGAGAGAGATGATGTTGGTGTAAGTGATGCTGTGACCTTCCTCCTGCAGAAGGAACCGTCGGAGGAGGTTGTAGGAGCAGAGCAGTTGAAAGCAATTGCACTTAAATTACAAAGCTGCCCAGCTGTGCTTGTCAGAGACTTGAGATTCACCTTAGAAATGTGGAACAGGCTGCAACCAAAAATATTATCAATCCTACTCCTGTTTTTTCAAAAGACTGAACCAACCCATGCAGCAAAAAGGTGAAGGAATGCTGCATGGAGTGTGGAAAGTACCAAAGCTGCACTTCAGTCACCCTTATCAGAACAATGCTAGGAACTAGCTCTTAGAGATTTTTTGGGGGTTAATTTGTATGGATTCTCCTGGACTTCCTTTAAAGGGCTCATTGATCATCAGGTTCTTAAAAAGGGAAACCATTCTTCCTACTTGAAGACAGGAAACATGAAACAGGATGAGCTAATTGAAAGTAAATCAACTTAAATCATAAACTGCTTTTACAATATTTCTCATTCATGAGCTGTTATTAACTTAATCAAAAGTTGCAACTTTTCTTTCCCCCTTTACCTTTTTAATTGTTCCACAGCTGGTCAATGGGAAGGAAAAGGCCACCAAATCTGTCACAACTGGTCTGCAAGATGGATCAATCAGCTGCAGTTGAGATTCATTATAGCCAAAGGAGGCCAGGTAAGACTTGCTCAAGACAATTTTCATGCTGTCTGAAGAGCATGTCAGGAATGCTGCCATTGGAAGAGAAATTAAAAAAAAACAAACCCAAAAATACATGAGCAACAAACTGCCATGGTCATTTCTCATTTGGTAGCTCAGGTACATTTGAGGTCATGCAGAAGTTGCAACAAAATTTCATGCTCAACTTCAAAACTGTAAGCAAAGCCACGTAAAACTCACACTAAAAGTTTAATTTTAAACCCAGTAACAGAATGAACCTCTGCCTTTATAAAAGGGAAAAGGAATCAGTGCTAGTGCAGAATGATGGGTGAGGAAATTGATTTTTTTTTAGGCTTTAGAGCCTCTCTTTCCACCAGAGTTAATAGGAAGTTAATGCAAACTTTTAGAACCAATAAGGAAAATGGTCTAGCTCTGGAGAAAGAAAATTATGACACAACTAAACCCTGTTTGACCAACCAGTGCAGGTCCTTTTCCTGAACATCTCAGGAAACAAAACCATTTAAACCAACCAGTCAATAAGAGTTTATCTTAGCATCTCTAGGATAGTAACTATGCCTGCTTTGTCCAAAAAAGAGGAAAAACTCAGATTTTCAGCAGTGCCAACCAGAAAAGAAGGACCCAAAAGTGAAAGAACAGGTTTTGTTTTGCAGATGGGTCAGGTAGTTTTGCTCTGTGGGTGAGACTAATAAGGGATTTTTGTGTGTGAAGAAGATGAACAACTACCAGGCTTAACTCCTTAGTGTCAACCATCAGTTATTTTCGATGTCTTTAAGGGAAAAAGCAGATGTGAGAATAAGAATCAGCATCCTCCTGAGGTAGCAAGTGCACTCACTGTCGGGCTCCACGGGACCTGGCAGTGGAACACTGGAATACTGAGCTGAGAATCCTCTGTAGGAGCTGGAAGAGTCTGTGACCAACACAACTGTCATCACATTGGAAGAAGATTCAAACGTGGGCTGGGCACGGCCACACACTTTCCCTATCAAGCCAGTGGTGGTGGTGAGGCCATCATAGACTGCTGTGAAGTCCAGCTGGCAGTTTTTGTCTGGTTCCAGGCTGTAAACAGAGGAAAAATTATTACAGGGAGATCAGAGTGTAGATAATTTTGCTCATACTGGGTAGGGCATCCAGTGCAGATAAAGTGTCTGGTGAATTCCTCTCAGCTGAAATAAAAGAATGGAGAACAGCAGAAAGCACCAACAGGCCTTGTTAAAACCAAACAAAAGATGAAAGACATACAAAAATTACTATATTCCTTAGAAGGAATAATTTTTCTTAAATGCCTTTAAACAGAATGGGTGAAGAGTAATAGAGCATGAGGGTGTTTACTCACAAAAAATCCAGGAACTGTAGGTTTATCCTGGAGTTTTTTGGTGTTTGTATGTGCCAGACACAGTATGTGAACGCAGGGTAAGGTGCTGGGTAGTTGGGGCTGCTAAATGTTCCATTGGGACCAGTCAATTGTCCCCCACAATTCACAGGCTCTGAAAAGAAGAGCAGATGTATTGATAACTGAATAGGTCATTAAAAAAATAAAGATCTAAAGTTACGTAGGTAGAAGGACTGTTTCTTTAGGATTCCATTCTTTTGGAAATGGTTAAAGGTACTACTAAACATGGAAGTTCTGTAGGGAATTTGAGGTCAGGTGGACGTTACAAAATGGAGCCTGAGGTCACTGTTCTATTTCATCAGCACAGTGTGATGACATCTGAGATGGCTGTAGATGAGTTAGCTTTGGTACCAGGAGCAATTTAGTTATAACCACACTGAGGGTAAATTAGGTGCCCTCTTGGAAAACTGATAATAGAGATGCTACACCAACCCTGAGAGACTGTGTATTACAGAAATCTATAAAACCTTGGTCATGATCTGTATGGAAGTGAAAAATCTGCAAGTTTGAGAGATTTTGCTTGATAGACAAAGGCAAAAAAAAAAATCAAGGCAGTGGAAACCTCAGAAAGACAAATGTGGACTGGAAATAGGGCGCAATTTTTCAGCAGCAAAGTTAAAAGCAGGAGCAGCATGAACTGCTGGGATGTGGTGACTACTCTGTAAAACTGAAGATTTTAAGGGATTAATTCCATGTCACCAGGTCAGCAGAAGCAAAGGGACTGAGTCACAAGCTGAGATCAATTTTGTCCAAGCTATTCTTATCTTCTAAGCAAAAAAGTAAGGAGCTTGTTGAGTGAAAGCCCTTTCTGAGTTCTGTGACCTGTACTCAGCAGGAGTTCTGACTGGATGATCAAATTCTCTTTCTGGGTAAATGCTACAATATTTGCAAACTGAGTAGATTTAGTAGAAGTCTGTAAGTAAAAGTTCCATAATGCTGCCTTTGCCATCATTTTTCTGAGCAAAATTTAACCTTTTAGTATCTCTGCAAGTGCACTGTTTGTGACCTCTTTCACTGCTTTTTTTTGCCCCACACTAAAGACCTGAGTGAGACTAATTAAAGATTCTATTAATGGTCTCCAATCGCAGTCCTAAACTTTCCCTTAATGGTGCAGTTCAAGGGGTATTTACTGACTTACTTGATTCTGGTGAAAAGAAGTAGTAGAAGGCAAAGAAGTTTCGTGTGAAATCGGCGGAGTTTGTTGTTATGAGGAAAGTTAAACTGCCTGAGGATGATTCAAGCACTGGGACTGCATCAGTGTTGTTACACACTTGCCCAAGAAGAGGTGAATGAGTCGAGGGACCATCATACACTTTAATGCTTTCTGTTTCACAGCTCGAAGAAGGAGCAAATCTATTGGGAAAAAAAAACCATGGTGAGAAGCACCTGAGCTCACTGATAGATAAATAGGATTACAGATAAATATATGCACATGGGCTGGGGCAATCCCACAGATACAGGCTGGGAAGGGAAAGAACTGAGAGCAGCCTCGGAGAGAAGGACCTGCAGGTGCATGAGAAGCTCAACAAGACATGAAGATGTGCATCCTAGAAAATGAAATAATTTTGAATGAGATGATCTTTAATGTCCCTTCCAACCCAAACCATTCTCCACATCACAGATTCAGTACAGAGAAATACTTGGAGGCAGTACATTTCTGTGCCATATTCCAGTGAAATGAAACAGTACAAAAGCATCTGTAGGAAATACTTACTTAAAATAGGAGAAAATGAGCCTAATTGTTTGGTTTCCATTCCTCTGAATTTGCCAGGTGCAGCTTGCATTTGCATTCAGTTCAATCCTAAGGGCTTTGTTGAGCTCATGAAGTGAAGCCCCACAGCGAGGTGTGCCTGGTGAAGAACAGCAGTCACAAAAAACAGCTTGCAAGGATCTCTCAAGTTTTCTTCTGCAATAATATCTCATCCTTCGTTATGAAAAGACTCTGGGACAGCTCATCATGGAACAGATAAGAATAATTTTCTGCTATATTTATTTATTTATTTATATTTCTGCAATTTATGAAACCTGGTGAATCAAATGGTAAAAGAATATTAGAAAATATGTTTTGAACTGATTTTATTAGTAGCAGAGGAAAGGGCAGTTAGGAAAGCACACAGATCAAGCCACCAGCAAAGCTGGAAATACCAAGTGATGCAGGACACCTCAGCAACTCTCTTCAGCAAGGTTTATCACCACAAGCACTTTAAGGATGTTTCCCCTACACTGAATTCCTAAAGATCCTTGGATCGGGTCCTGAGGTTCAGCCCTTGACCTAAAAGAATTTGGGAACCTACACTTGGGCAACCAAAATGCTTTTTTTTGGTTTGAGCTTTTCAGACTTGAACTGTAGGATCATTTTGTGTTTACTGCTGCACACGATCCTGATCCTCATCTCTGAAAGGACAGCTGCCAAACAGGGAAAGCTTCAGAGAACAGCAACAAAAATGATCAGGAGATTAGAATACCTTCCAGACGAGGAATAAGTAAATGAACTGAAGCATTTCAGTTCAGCATTTGAGCAAGGGGAAGAAGGAGGTGCCAGAGGTCTATAAATTGATAATACAAGATATTCTCTTCCAATACAACAACGAAGTGGCCTGGAATGAAACCAGTAAGTTGTAGGTTTTTTTTTTTCTTTGCACATGAATCTTTGGTGCAGGGTGATGGGGAAGGTAAAAGTAAAATATAAACCAGGTCAAATCTCAGAAAGAGAAAGCCATTGTTACCTATTAAACACAAATACAGCATTTTCTCTGTTTCAGAAGTCCTGAGCCACGTTTGCTGGTGACTGGGAGAGTATTCTAAGGAAGTATTATGCAGGTTTGTATCCATATTCTTGCCTGAGCATTGTCTCTTGACTGTTTCTGGGTTCAGGATATGGAGCTACCTGGAATTAACCTAGTTCTCTTATGAAAAAAAGCATAACCCAGCTATGTCTGACATCACTGACATCACTTAATAAGTCATGAAGGAGTTCAGTAATTCTGCAATTTCCTATACCATTGTATAGGAAACTTTAGAGAAAGCTTGTAATCCAATTTGAGCATAAGATCACCTTTCTACTTTAATATTAATCTAAAAATAATTGTCTAAAACAGCCAGAAGAATTTTCCATGCAGTCCCAGATAAAAAGGTTCAGGGTTTCTGATGGACTCCAGAGGGAAAAGAGGTATTTAGGAGAGACTTTTAGATACTTTTTTCACCACATGTGGAACCTCCTGATTGTAAGAGCATTACAAGGCCAGTCCTACCCTTCTGCATCCCTCTGGGGTTCTGTAGACAGCCACCACTGGAGCAGCTCTGCAGAAATGCTTCCTCATCCTGCAGTAGCCACCCACCTTTAATCAGCTAAACTGCTGACCTGAGCACAGAACGGTGATCCCAAATCAAACAACAAACAACTCTTCATTGCTTCTGATTGAACAAGGGAAAAATGAACAAATCTCCTTTTAAAAACAAACATTTCCCAGTTAGTCACCTGGTTCCACGTTACTCCAATGTAGTGTTAGTTTATAAAAGCAAATTTCCATTCCAGACTGAAGCACCTTCAAAATCATTAAAAGTTATTACATTAAAAATTTGCCATAAGGAGTACTAGATTGATTTTTTTTTTAAATCATTATTTAATATTTTTAATGCTTGTTGGAACATTTAGGTCTTACAAGTTGCATCAATACATTAAAACAAGATGCACTTTTAGAGATATGTTTAATGTTTCCCCTTTCAGTTGCCTATAAAATACCAATTGTGCAAAACCCAATAAAATTTCCCAGAGAACAAAAGACTAATTTCCATACCTATGGATTCTATTGAATTGCCTTCAGTGAGAGCCAGAGCAGTGAAGAGAGGAAGGAGGAGGAACTGTCTGAGCCCCTGCATTTTGAGGGCAGCTGGGGAGGGTAGGTTTTGGCTTTTTGAACTTTTATACCTCCTGCTATTTCATAATCATCCTCCAGTACGTGGTATCGTGGAGGGAGGGCTTAATCTCTCAGTTACTGTTCTTTTTAACAGATATAAATGGGAAAGTAGCAGGTGTGCCCGTTTTTAAACTGGGCACTGTGTGGAGTAAGTTGAGCTGTGCTTCTGTCAGCTCTCCTGGGTTCAAAGCACATTTTCCAGCTGATTTCGTGGAGCGTCTGTTTGAGTGTGTTGACATGAGCAGGAATGTTGCAGAAAGGATTGACAGACTCCCTTGGGAGACACATTTCCTCTCAGCAAACTGGTCAGCAGGAGCTTGGTTTTCCCACCTTCATTCCCACCTATCCCCTTAGGTTATGCTGGGCACATCATTCCCTGCCCTTGAGGATTCCTCAGGTTGTAAAGTGTGACTGCCACAATAGAGCTGTCATGAGTGATATATTGGAGGAACAAGGTTGAATTCATGTTCATCACAGATTAAAAGAAGATTGCACTGCAACTACTTTGCAGACAGAAGTTTCTTAGTCCCACAGTAAAAGCTACAAAAAGAGGAATCAACCTTTCCTTCCTGGAGCAAGGAGACAAGCACAGTCCCAAGAGCTTCAACTCCTTTTAGCACAACTCCGGTGAGCAGCTGTTCCAAAATGTTTACCCTGCTTTTGTCTGTCTTTTCATAAGGAGCAAAGCTCTTGAAATCCAGAGTATTTCCCCCTGCAGCAGTGGATTCCCAGTTTTTAAAGCTTCTAGAGGGTGCCAGTGGCACAGGTGTGCTGTTACCTGACCTTGGGAAGCCAGGCTTCCCACACTACCTGCCTGTCCCACTCCAGCATGGAACACATTCTAACACTTTTGCTCCACAGCTGAGCAAACAGGGATGCTTTCAACTTTCCTAGGAAGGTCAAACTGCAACGCAGATCTGCTTGAAACACATCCAGGTACCTTTCTTTCATACGTTTTGTTTTTTTTTTTCCCTACAAACCCATTTTGTTTTATAAACAAACTGAAACAGTATGTATCTGTAATGATCCTATATTTCTAATCTCAGGCATAGGCCTTTAAAACAATTCTCTCTGATTTTTAAATCACTTAGAGGATTTTGAATGCAACTGTCTCTTCATTGTGACAAAGTACTTACACTTTCCTTTAAGCATGGGGGCATTGAACACGTGTATGAAGATGTTGCATGGCAAGGCTGGATATTAGGAAGAAATTCTTTACAGAGAGGGTGATCAGACATTGGAATGGGCTGCCCAGGGAGGGGGTGGATCCTCTGTCCCTGGAGGTTTTTAAGATGAGATTGGATGTGGCATCAGTGCCATGGTCTGGTAACCAGGGGTGTTGGATCAAAGGCTGGACTTGATGATATCGGAGGTCTTTTCCAACCTGGCTGATTCTGTGATTCTATGAGTGTATGATTTGAATTCTCTTTCACTTCTGGAAATGCTCTCCCTCATCCTCTACAAATCTGAGTGTTCAAAATGTTTTCAGATCTTGTGTGTTAAAGCCCCTGTTCAGGTAGTGTGATGTTTTCAGGTATCAGGTGATGCTAAATTATCAATGGCCCACTTTGAACTTCCTCTCCCACCTCAAAAGAAAAGGGCCATCAAGACTTCATGAAAGTCCTTAAAATGAGAACAGAATGACTGTAGGGAAGGGGTTTTACAATAGCAGCTCCTCAGAAGAAAGCAGCATGCATTTTAGTTCAGAGGAACAAGGAATCACTGTTGTGACAATTTTATTTATTTACAGATGCTTTTTCTCACTGCCTGCACCCAGGAACACAACAGTGGGGAAAATGTGATTTCAGGCACTTGAAATCTTCACCTTTGAGAAGCAGAGCAACAGGGCTGTGAGTGTGATGGAGTTCTGTACGAGCTAAGTGTGATCAGGAAACGCTTTGGCTCAGGATGAGCATCCTGCAGGATGGGGACTTTGGCAGTGAACCCGCTCAGCCGATGCCAAGGCTCAAGCACCAGGTAGGAGATTAGACCTTGAACCTTCATAGGAGACCTGTGAGATCTGGGCTTTTGAGAGCTGGCCAAGTTATTCATGGAGAAGCCAAGTTTCAGAATGACTCTGCTCCCTTTTTTGAAGGGATGAAGCATAAAAGGAAAAGTTGCCGAAAAAAAGTGGACTTTTTTTTTCTCTTGTATGGCACAGCCTCTGGGCTCCAGGCAGCCTTATTCAGTACAGGGCAGCTTGTGATATTTATCATATGAAAATTGAATATTGGCCTTTAAAAGGCTTTTCACAGTCAGGCCAAATTCACCAGATTGTCAACATTTAATCCATCTCTATCTCTGAGATGACTGCTGTGCTCCTGTACAATTCTGCAGTCAACAAGGTATTTTTCTCTATTATGAACTCAAAATTATTAATTTCCACTTTTTCCCCACTGAGTCCCTCCAAGTTGGACAATTTAACATTGAAGTGCAGAAACACTTTCTTGGCTCAAAGTGATATAATCTGAAGATACATTGAAAGAAAAAGAATGAAGCAAATGCTTATAATGAAGTAAATTTCAACGTACAATTTTCTTTTCATACTTCTAATCTTCCCTAACAAAACCTGACCTATGGAAAGATTATGACAGTTCATATGTATTGCAGAGATGATACTTCAGCACATGTAAAATATTTTTTCCAAATATTTTTGGGTTCCTATTCAAGGGAAGTGCTCAGCATTACTGATTACAAGGGATATTTATCCTTTGGTTTATCTCTCTTGGTGAGCTCAGGAAGCAGAACTGTGATGTGTGCACCTGTAAGGCAGGTTAATCTTCCTGAAAGGCCCAATATTTGAATTATTTGGCACAATGGGGAGAACTGGAAGGAAACTTTGAGAGGGAAACAAAGTCTTGATGAGATTAAAAACCAGCAGCTGATCCAGTTATTCTTTGAGAGAATTTATTGAAGCTTAGGGTTTTGCAAATCTGCAATTAAGGATCTTAAGGACAGTTAAGATTAAATACGTTTAGATTCACACTGCCTAGTGCAGTGTAATGTTAGAAATTAGAAATCAGCAGCAGATCCTGCAATGCAGCGATCACACAGAGGAGTGATCAGCGTTGTTCTGGGCAGAAGGAGCGTTTTTTGGGGCTGTTCTTATTGGGGGACAATGACAATATCGATGCTGTCATCTGTGCTTCTTTTGCCTCTTGTCCTGTAGCTCGGGAGGGAGCCCTGGGGAGGGTGAGGGACTCCATTGCCTGGGAAGGGCCGGGGAAACTGGTGGGGTCTGTGTCCTGGGAAGGGATGGAGAGGACGAGGAGGGGGTCTGTGTCCTGGGAAGGGTTGGAGAGGACGAGCAGGGGGTCTGTGTCCTGGGAAGGGTTGGAGAGGACGAGCAGGGGGTCTGTGTCCTGGGAAGGGTCGGGGAGGAGGAGGGAGTGCCCCGCCCGGAGGGTGATGGGGACGGTCGGTGCGCACGATGCACCCGGACACTTTGCACCGCAGGCAAACCCTCGGGGAGGCAGGACCTCTGTAGTGGAACTGGACAGACCTCTGGGCTGATGAACTCCCACAGGTTGGGTCCCTCACACAGCTGAGAAAGGCAAAAAGAAAAAAAACACAACATATAAATTGTCATATAGAAGTTGTGACGGGCTCACTAAGCCCCTTTGAGGGGGAGTTACAAGAAACCTTCCTTCAAAAATTTCCGCCTGTCACCTTAATCACAGTTCACAGCACAGAACTCCTGAATGCAGGTGCAAACATTTGGAATTTAAGTGTCTGTTGATATAGTATGAACCACAAAATCTATAAATACCACGCATGTAAACGTGTAAATGTAAAGCACCTCATGGAATTTTAAATGCACGAGAAAGAATTATTGCATGGGCCTGTTAGCTTTCCAAAGTTATTCTTCCTTTTAACCTCAGAATTTCTGAACAGCTATGCAGAAATGATTCCACATCCCAAATCCACCAAAACCCCTTTAATCAGATGTGTCATTCTTCTCTAAATTTTTTTTGCATCATTTGTGAAATGCCTTCTGAGAATTTCTATCAATTCTTCTTCCCCACCAGAACATTATATTGAATTAAACATAAAAAGCCAGCAAATGAACCATAATAGCTGGTTCATTTAAAATCCTGCTTCTTCTAGCATGTCCTGTGTTTCAGGGCTCTGTGTCTTTGGTGTATATGTTCATTGTTGTCCCTGTACATTTTCCTAAATGGTTTTGATAACGTCTTGGCATGTTAATAATTTCAAACCTGTGTGTTCCTAAGACATTTCTTGTGGCACAGTCTTGGTATGGCACGTGAAATATGGCACAGGAGTTGATCCCAGGCCTGCACTGAGCACTGCTCAGGTGTCTGTCCCTGCACAGGAGTCTCTGGCATTGGTGTGGGGTCTGCTGGTGGTCACTGTTATACAAATTCCCTTCCCTGACTTTTATCCTAATCAGTCCTTAGGGGATGAAAGTGTATTAATTTGTTTAATATATGCTAATTCACATTATAAACTGTAATATAGTGGTAACTGGTAGGGTGGGTGTGACTGACAAGTCCAATTGAATTGTACCTGAGTGTTTGAAGGGTGTAAGAACGTGGTGTAAAACCCCATTTGGGGTAGCACAGCTTGGCTGGGACACCCCATTAGGGTGCATGGATAAATATTTACCCTTCTACTGTTATACTTGGCATCCCAGGTCTCCTTGGTTGGCACAGGCCACTTAAGTATCTTAGTAACAACACCCTCATGTAGACTGGCAGGTCATTGAGGTTTGCTGGAGAGGAAGAAATTTAATGTTAATAATGTTTAATAAACCATATGTAAGCACAGAGCAAACTGCAGCACCTATTAAACAGTAGCATGGTTTGAAAATTTAATTGTGGGCCTGGCTGCCAGTGCCTGGAAAGAGCAGCTGAGTGAAATGTTATTAGGAACAGTTCTGAGGAACAGCATTGTCGTGCACAAAGGGCTTATATTAAGAAAATTGTAGGGGTTTTAATACTAAATATGACATATTACTGGCATTAATGGGAACAAGATTTAATTCTGCTTATTCCTCTGTGTAGGGAGATAGTCCCACACTTAAATGTATCTCAAGTTTAGTTTCCTGTATGTTGTCAACACAAGGCAACTGAGTGTCCTTTACCAAGGATAGGGCCATACTTTAAAAGAAACCCTTAGGCTGCTCTCTAAGCATCTGAAGCAGAATGTTACCAGTTAATGAGTGGGATTTGCAATTAGATTTTTTTTTCTAAAGATAAAGCCCATTGTAGAAAACAAGTTCAAACCAAATACCACTGAGTATGTCAAAAGGATTCCCACTGAGTCAACTTTGAAGCAACTTTAAAAGTGCAGGGAGGATGGCTTTCTACCAGTGAGATGACCTAGAGCAAATTCTTATTGGTTTAGTGTGTCTACCCCAGTGAATTCCCCTTCCTCAGTATTTCTCCCCTATCATTATCAACAGCATTTTCAATCCTCTGATTTGTATAGAAGCCAAAAGAATTATCCTGAAAATTAAATACTAGATCCATGAGTTGTGCACAGTGGAGACAGTGGATGCTAGCACATCATCAGATCACAGCTTTGATGGAGGACTAGGGATATAAAATCAGAGTAAATATGCATTACTTACTGGTGGTAATGGCTGTTGTTGTTTCAGCAGCTGGAGAGACTGATGGAGCAGCTGAACCTGTCACTGTGAGAAGAGAAAATATGGAGTTAAACATTGTCCATGTTCCCAATACATTGATGATTCATGTGAAAAATAACAAACCTCTCACCACAGCTGAAGAAATAAATACCTGGTTTTTCAGCTGTGGTGGACTCGGTCGTGACTGTCAAAGAGAAAACAAAAGCCACACTTCAGTAACTGTTCCTTGCAAAGCAAGGGCTGCCAATGGGAAGGGCAGCAGTTCACTCCCTGGATCGTGCTTGATCCAGGAATTCTGACCAATATGCCAGAGCCACACATACCTGCTGCTCCAGGTGTTGTGCTTCCTGCAGGGGCTGAGAGAAAACAAAACTGCAGGTTAAAAACTCTTTTCCCAGCACTGGGAAAAGTGAGAGATACCTGAACCACAGGATTGTTGTAGGTCTCCCTGGAGTGGCTGGATGATGGTGCTGCTGCCCAGGGCAGGCATTACCAAATTACCCAGAGCAAGAGCAGCCTCAGTGGGAGGAAAACACATCCCTGTGCAGGCTGGCTCTGCCATGGCCTCAGCCAGGCTCTGACCTGCCATGGGAAAGGCCCTTAACTGTGTATGGAAGCCAAGGGAGAGACAACTGGGATTGTCTCTGATTCCAGTGGCTAAACCCATGATATTGTACACAGGGAGACAGTCCATACATGATCAGGGCATGGGTAGACAGCTAAAGATGTAAACCAGAATAACACTGTATTACTCACAGGTGGTGATGTCTGCTGGTGCAGCAGTAGGAGAGACTGTTGCTGTGAGAAAGAAAAGGTGAAATTAGATATTGTCTGCATTTTGAATGTATACTTGTGGTCTGAGACCTGTAGTAAGTAAGCCAGAGAAACACTATTACTCACAAGCAGTAGTATCTGCTGGTGCAGCACTAGGAGGGACTGTTGCTGTGAGAAAGAAAAGATGAAATTCAATTTGCATTTTAAATGGATTTTTTTTCACCAAGACCCACAGTATATAAGTCAGAGTAACGTTGTATTACGTAACACAGAAAAAAAGGTGAAATTAAGTATTGTCTGCCTTTTAAGAAATACTTTTGCTCTGAGACCTGTAACATGTTAAGTTGGAGTGACACTGTATTACTTACAGGCAGGAGCATCTGTGGGTGGAGCTGTAGGAGAGACTGTTGCTGTGAGAAAGAAAAGGTGGCATTAAATTTTATGTGCATACTAAATGTATATTTTTTTTCCCTGAGACTCACAGCATGTAAGCCACAGTAACGCTATTCTACTTACAAGTGCTAACTTCTGCTGGCACAGCAGTAGTGGAGACTATTGCTGTGAGGAAGAAAAGACTAAATTAAGTATTGTGTGCGTTTTAAGTGCATATTTTTTGCCACGAGACACGTAGCATATAAGACAGAATAACACTGCAGGACTTACCAGCAGTAGTGTCTGCTGGTGCTGCACTGGGAGAGAGTGTTGCTGTGGAAAAGAGAAGGTGAAATTTAAACACTGGGTGCATGTGTGATAACACCAGTGTATTTTTCTGTGTGTGTGTAATGCCCAGCCCCCTGTGAGAGCACTGCTCCAGGAAGGATTTGTCCCCTCTGCACACCACACTGGCTGTAAATACTTCATAAAATACGTCAGCTGTGGAGGCTCTGCAAGAGCCACGCGGGGAGAACTCACCGGCTGGAGTGGGCTGTGTCGTGGCTGGGGTGGGAGTAGGTGGCTCTAGGGAACAAAACAGAAAAGTGAATTTCTAGTTTTACTACAGAGGATGCTTGATAGAGACTTTCACTTACCATGTGAAGAGCAAGAAAGCAGTAGGGGTGTAGAACAACCCTGAGTGTCATCACCAAAAGGGATAAGGTGGCAAACCCTGTTTCAAATGTCAGGTGGTAATGGTTGCAGTTACCTTGCAGGGGAAACCTTTAATGTTTTTTTTAGGTGTGGTAATTTTTGGGGGGCCAGTTCTCCCACACAGCCTGTTTCAGCCAGCTGTGTCACACCTCCCTCATCCCAGGTTCATGGGGTGCCTGCTTTCACGTGGATGAGCTTTGTCCATGCACCACACAGGGGCTGTGGTGACTCTGGTTCTCCAACTGCACGTGTTTCCAGCCAGAATACAGAACTGCTGGAAAACTGGGAGTGGGTTTGGAAAAACCCTAAAGGGAGTTACTAAAAATAATTCCCACTAACTACAAGAAAAGCGAATTTTTTTTGTCTAGTCATAGTTTATAATTTATGGGAAATCAGGGGTAGGAGGACTGAGATACACCAGTGGTGATGTAAAATTATGAATCAAATAGCCATGCATAAAGCAGACAGGTAACAGAGCAGGAAGTGGCATCAGATAAGGTTGACAACTATATTCCAGGTAGACAAAGGATTTGAGAATTAAAATAAAAAACTAAAAAGCAAAGCTGTGAGAATGAACTGCACGAGTCAGCAAAAAGAAAAAAATGTGGTAAACCCCAGCAATTTTCACAGAGCTTGGCTTCATGCCTGAAATGATTCCGCTGGTGGAAACAAGTTGTTCATAAAAATATTAGCAGCAAGAATGCTTTATTTGCTTAGTAGGCAAAAGCTTATGAGAGAACACAGAATATTCTGAGTTGGAAAGGACTCAGAAGGATCACTGAAATCCAACTCCTGGCCCTGCCCAGGACACCCCAGCAATCCCACCACGTGCCTGAAACTGTTGTCCAAACTCTTCTTCACCTCTGTCAGCCTTGGGGCCGTGACCACTGCCCTGGGGAGCCTGTTCAGTGCCAACCACCCTCTGGGGGATACCTAACTTAGAGGTGGCAGTGTACCTGCACAGATGACACCGGCATCCTCTTTGTGCTGGCATTTATGGACACCGATCCCTGCGTTTGAGCACTGCAGCAGGTTCTCCTCGTCCCCTCTGCACTGCACGTCATCGAGCAGGATGCTCCCAGAGCCTGGGCCAAACTGGGCTTCAGACAGAGCTAGCAGGGCTTCTCCACACCCCAGGCTCCTGCACACCACCTGGGCGTCCTCCAGATCCCAGGAGTCGTCGCAGACCGTCCCCCAGCTCCCGTTGTAGTAGAGTTCCACGCGGCCGGCGCACTCGTCACCACCTGCCAGTCGCAGGGACAGGGCAGCGGGAAGAGCTGTGGAGGAAGAGCCCGTGCCATGTGTCAGTGGTGTGTTCCCAAGGCAGTGGCACTGCTGCTCTCAGGCCAAGGGTCACCCCAGAGGAGGCAGGAACAGTCAGCCCACGCTGTGGCTCCTCCCCGGGATTTCAGTGCTGCTCTGGGACAGTTATTACAAATTCTCCAACCCAGCTTTACACCCTGTGGGCACTGGCAGGGTCCTCTCCCAGTGTGCTGATCTCTGGGGAAAACGCTCCTCTCCTGTGCAGCCAGGCACCTTTCCCCACTGTGTGCATCAAAGGGAAGCTTTCCCCCCTTTTCTTCACCATCATCTACCCCACAGTGCTGCCTAAAGGACAAATGCCCATCTTTTTCCCGGGATACTGTGCAATCTAAGGGATGTGGTTTGGGTTTGGTTTTTTCCATCCTTTAAATAGTGCCTGGTTCAGCCTCTTTCCCCATCCTTTCTGACCCCCTGGCATAACAGATGGCTGGCACAGCACCATTTCCCCAGAACGGTGGCAGAGCTATTTCTTCAGGCCACGCTCATTTCTGAGAGCTGGGTACTTACAGAGCACTCCACACATTTATCTCCCTTTCAGAGGGAAAGGCTTTTAGAAACCTGAAGTTCCGAATTAGTTTTATGGGCCTGGAGTGTATTTTTCTTTCAGAGAAAGAAATCAGAGGCGCTGCCAACACCGTAATTGAGTTCCTCCTGGTTTGTGGCCATCATAAACTGCACCAAGTACACACACCTGTCTTACTCCTTGGTGGGTCAGCAATTACGAGGTTTTCATTTTGGGACATTCTGCTGTCACCTGGCAGCCATTTGTCACCACCTAATGCACATCCCTTCTGGATGAGGGCCATGTTTCCTGGGACTCCTTGCCCTTAATTCCATTTTGCTGTCTGTGATCAAAGCTCCTTCCATCTGAGCACCAGGCTAAGCATTTACTCCTGCAAAAGCTGGCTGTGAAGAACTGCCAGCAGCACTGTGCTTGGCTCACTTCCCAAGATCTGCGTCTAAACTTCCACAAGAATGCCAAACACAAGTTCAGGGAGAAAAACAGATAATTGGGAAAAAAGCTAATTAACCTGTTGATCCAGGCACTGAGTATTTGCCAAAGATGGTGAAAGGAGTTAAACAGGAAGTTTAGGACTACTTTAGGATTAAATTAGCTGTGTAAATCCAGGTGGGAATAGGGGGAGAAAGGCAGATTAAAAATTCTCTATTCAGATTCAGATCTTGACTTGAATTACAGGCAGAAATGAATTTGTCATTTTTCAGCTGATATTTAGAATGACTTAATGGGAAGGAAGCACCTATAAAGTTCATAGGTAAATGAAGTATTTAATTAATCTGAAATATGATCATCAATCTAAAATTTTCATGGGCACTTTTTTTCAGAAAATAAGGGACCGATTAGGTTGCCGTCTCAAAAATCTTTAGGGTATTATCGTGGGGTGTCTACAGGCAGCTGAACTGCAACTTTGCACTTTCAGCAAATTAATAAAGGAAAATCATTGATATATTTGCATCTTTTCAAAATCAATTTAAAAATATCTGTCAGGTTCAGAGGAAAAGTACAGAGTCATTTCTCTGGGGCAGGTTTGCATAGGGATTTAAAGGTCCTAATACTATCAATTTCTCCTTCACTGGAACAGGAGGTAGGACACCATGTGGGGGATAGGAAGGTGCCAGCTCAGCTGATGGCTGATGAAAAAATGGCCCTGTCTGGTGAAATTCTGGGTTTTTAAAGACTTTTTTTTTTTTTTAATACCTAAGAAGTTATTTCATAAATTTGTTAAAGCAGCCCTTTCATTAAAAACTCGCAAAGTGTGTTCTGAAATAGATGCCAGAGTAAGAGTTGCCCCAACAAAGAGAGTGGGGAAAGGTGGGACTTTGCAGCACTGTCAGCACTGAGGAAGGGCTGGACCCAAGCTCTGGATTTTCCCAATCCAAGTTGATTTTCCCCCCCAAAAGTGGGCACCACTAAGAGGTGCTGAGGAGGAGCATGAGAGTGGGACAAGATAACAAGTGATGCCCAGGATTGTCTCTTTGGCACCCCTTGGCAGCTCAGGGACTTTCTGAGCCCCAAATGGTGCCTTGCACGGTGATGAGGACAGAGATATTTTCTGCTCCTAAAGCACAGAGGTTGTACCTGGCTGGTCCTTACCTTCAGTCACTGTAGGCAGCGGTGCTGGGGTTGTTGGTGCCACAGCTTTGGCTTTAGCTCGGGCAGCTGCCACCAAAGCCTGTATTCCTGTGACAAAATAACCTCTTGAGGTTTGGAAGAAAAAAACCAGTAGGAACAACGAGCAGTAATGACCAGCATAGATATGAACCAGAATTAAATTTGGATTAAAGCATCTGGATTTGTCATTTTGCTAAAGAAAAGTGTGAAGTCTCCATCGACATGTAACACCACAATGAATAAATGTGTAAAAGTTGGATTTTGAAGCCTCTTGGCTACTGGAGAATAAAGCAATAGGTTCTTAGCCCCCTTTATTAAACTTAATTTCATACTTTTTCCATAGAGTATGGCTTTTTCTTAGCTTACTTTCGCTCCGAGTGTCTCTTGCCACTCTAGCTTTGCCTTCAGAAGCTGTGCTTTGGGCTCCTGGTGTAGATGCTGCCTCTCCCTCTTCATTTACTGAAGTGGATGCAAAGGAGGAGTTCAGGGATGTTGCAGTGACTGTGAAAGTATTGAGGAAATACATTATTGCAGAAAAACATCAATCAGTGATAGAAACTGGAGCTGATGATTGCTGAGATGATTTTGATTATGCCCTCGAAGGAAAAGTGACTTGGATTGTAGCCTCTGAAATCTGATCATTTGAGTCAAAACTTCTAGTAAATATTTACTCAAGTGAGGTGGTACTTTGTTAATATTGACTATAAGCTGAATTTTTCTTCACTGAGAAAATGAATTAGCAGTTGACTGATTTTAATCTTCATGCAGTTATTTTGATCCCTCCAATATAATCTATTTTGAACAAACTCAAGCACTACTGTTACTAGATTTTACGGCACAGTGTCTTTATCTTACCTTCAGCAACTGTGGAAAGGATTTCTGGAGCTGAGGTACTGCCATCTGTAAGGGGGACAGGTGAAAAGTTTGACTCTGGAGAAATTTCAGAGTATGTGAGAAAGAGGAAGAGACACGGAAACAAGAGGCAAAGAGATGCAGGTAAGGCTGGATGACTGAAATCAGCTCTTGATGAATTTTATTGCCTTCAGGCTTTCTGGAAAAGGGAGCCTGTGTATTACTTGTCTTTCACATCCACTGCCATCTCAGAAATGTTCATGTTAATGCTTTGCATTTCAAGCATCAAAATAGTTTCAGAGTTCTTTCACCAAGAGTGAGAAAAGCGAAAAGAGAGTGAGAAGCAAAAGTAAAAATGGGTGTTTTGACTTGGCAGTAACACTGATTGGTATATAATGTCCCAACGCTGCAAACAGGGTATGTTTTGTCAGCCTGAGGGGATTCAATAAGAAAGCCCAAGCCTGCAGGGTTATGGATTGTTTAGAACCCAGACAGGTAAGTTTACAAACAGTGAGCAACGCAGACTGAGTGGCTTTTTCCCCCCGAGTCATGTTTCATAAAGGAATAAAAACAAAAATAATGATTTCCTTCAGATTCCGTGGTTCAAACTGTGCAACATCCAGCTTCCCTCGGGGCAGGCTCTGCGTGCAGCACTCCCAGCTCCCCCCTGGGTGGTGGAAGCCTGCCCTCCCTGCCAGAAATCCAGCAATTTCTTGGACAAACATCACCTGAACTGAGAGATGCTGATTTTGCAACTCTTGGCACCTCCACTGAGGTCTCCCCCTAACTGGAACTTGTAACCACATTTTTCTAACGTGCTGCAGGTTGCACAAATGCCCTGTACCTGTCTGCAGCGTGGTCAGGATTTCTGATGTCTTGCTTTCCTCTGTGACAGCGGTGGAAGGAAGGGAGGCAGCTCTGCTGGCAGGGGAGGCTGGAAGGACGAGAAATTAAAGAGTTTTAAGCAGCAATTAAAAGCAAAAGAGTGATTTGGAGAGCTTGTGACTTGCTTTAGGTCTCAGGCTTGATAAAAAACTGATCTAGTGGGTGACAATCCTGCCAAGGGCTGAGGATCAGAACTAAATGATCTTTAAAGTCCCTTCCAGCTCAAACCATTCCATGATTATCAGAGTCTGCCAAATAACTCATCTACCAGCTGAGGAACATGACTGCAAATGCCTGGCTGTGCTCCTTAACATTTCTGGAGTTTTTATGAATCTTGGACACCCAAAATTACAATTTGGACAGCTTTGCTTTGTAAATTTCTAAGTGTGTTATTTATACCTACGAGCTCAGAGGTATAAGTCACATATCCTTGCTGTGTCTTGACAGCCAATATTTGTCAAGTGAAGGTGTTGTAAGGGGGTTGTTCCTTCACAAAGAGTTTTTATTTATTCTGCTGTGACTATTCACAGATTTACATCTTAATTCAGCTGAAAAACCCCAAATTAACAGAATATTTGTTTTAAATAGCACTTGCTAAACAGCTGTTCTTACCTTCATAAACTGTGGTTGGGATTTCAGGAGGGGATGTGGCAACTTCCTCTGTGACAGCAGTGGATGCAGAAGACACAGCTGGGGGCAGTTGAGGAAAAAAAAGGGTAGAGATTGGCAGGAATTAGGAATGAACACGTGAATGGAAGCCTTGATGAAGGTAAGTAGATTTGGGCTTTGCAGGACAGTGAGTCATTGCACAGCCTTTTATTTTTTGATGAAAAAAAAAGATTTTCACCTTCAGTTAATATTTAATAATAATTAAGTAGTTGATACTTATGTTGTTTCTGTCTGTATTCCCTCCCTACTAGAGGTGCTGTACTTATCTGGAAAGATGCAAAAATAATGCTGGACATTTGGCTCTTCCAAGGCTAATTACACACAGTGCTATTCATTGTTTTTGCTGCATTCCCAAAGCATTCCTCCTGCCTCCTCTAAACAAATTTCATGTATTGCTCAAAACTTCCGCACGTGACGTTTGCAGTTTGTTTTTTAACCTCACCTTTTCCAGCAGAAGTTGGGGGTTCTGGGGCAGATGTCACAGCAGGGCTCTCTGTGGCAAGTGTTGATGTAGAGATGGAAGTTTGGGCCTTTGTTGAGGGTGCTGGAAGTGAGAGGAAATAAATTGTTGGAGAGATAAAAGAACAGTCGTGAGAACTGAGACACCTGTGAGATAATTTGAATGGCAGGTTTTGTGCAGCACCAGGTCAATGCACCAGACTTTCACTTTTGGTAAACTGAGATTTCTGGCAATTAATGGCAGTTCTAAATGAGCTCCAGAGATATTTGCCAGTGGTGCCACCAGTGCAGAAATGGCTGGGGAAAAATATGCATCACCAGCTCAGTGTTACTGCAATGTGGTTTTGTGGGTTAAAGCCTTAAGGGTGAATGATTTTGGGAGCCATTTTTTCATTTCTGTGTTACTTATAATGTAATAAACCATATAACAATGATTCTATTATTCTATATGATAGAAAACTGCATTTTGGCATCTTCTCCTCTGTGTCTGTGTGTTACAAAGGGCATAATTAACACTTAAAAACCCCAGGAAACATGAGGAGGGTCTGTACTTTAGGATTTCCAGGGTGATATGATTATTTCAGGAACAGGTGAAAAAAAAATTAGTCAGAAACTTAGACCTGAAGTGTTAAGACTTGCCTTGTGTTTTCCCTAATTATTAGTAGATAAATGGCAAATACAGTTTGTATTAGGGATGCAAAGAACAGAAATAATGTTGCAGTAGATGAATAAATGGTAATTTGAAGCAATAACTGGTAATTCAGACAATGAGCTTTTCCAGAAAACTGTCTTCTAGGGAGGTGTAATCACATGACTTTTTTGAGCTAAAAATTAGTGTCTGTGAAGAGCTGCTGGGCTCATGTCTCAAAAGCCTTGCCTTACCTGAGGGTGCAGCTGTGGAGTGTATCACACCTGTGAACATCAAAAAAAAGGCAAAAATTTGCTTTGTTGTGCAGTTATTTATAGTGCTCCAAAACAGGCTGCTCCTAATGATGCAATCTCTGATTTCAGTTATGTTTACGACAGGAGTTATTTTTATTTCCAACCAGACATGCCTGGTTCATTACCTGGATGTGCCTCTACCTTCTCCTAACTATCTGCCTTTCTTTTCTTGGGAATGGGGTGTGATCAGATGTTGACTAAAGTGGTCCTGAAGTACCTGCTTTTCACCACTTTCATACTCAGTGCTTGCTGCTACCAATCCTGCTATGTTGTCCGGGACACCCTTCTTTTCCTCGATCCCACTGTGAGCCTCCACACTCCCATTTCAGCCCTAGTCTGATTTCCAGGCCCTACTCTGATGTTCCATGCATTTATGGTCAACGGGAAAGTCCAAAGGGGTTTTTAGGAGTGCATGACTTCTCTATTCACCTGAGCAGATGACACCAACATGCTCGTCGTGCCCGCAGTTGTGTCTGCCCCAGCCGGCGTGCGGGCAGTCCCACAGGTGAGACTCCATCCCCTTGCACCGCACGTCATCCAGATGGATGCCTTTCCTACCGGGGCCAAAGTAGGACCCTCCCAAGACAGAGAGAGCTTCACCACACTTCAGCTGCCTGCACACGACGTTGGCGCCGTTCATGTTGAAATAATCGTCGCAGACCACGCCCCATTTACCACCGTGGAAAACTTCGACCCTGCCGGCGCATCGGTGCCACCCGGCCGCCAGCTGCAGCTGTGGTGGCTGTGGACCTGAAGCAAAATTCGACAGGTGAATCTCAATTTGTTTATTTATGCCTGTTTATTCTTATGTCTAGTGGTGGATCTCCGTGGCTCTGCTGTGTGCAGGGCCTACCTCGGTCGGTTGTTGCTGAGGTTCCCAGCTCACCCAGGGAACTCTGAGGATCTGCCCAGTACGTTCACACCCATCTTACCCTCTTACATCTCACCCTCTTACCTTTGGGTTTAAATTTCTCTTTAAACCAGTCCGAAACTTTGTCCCATGGTGATTTGTGGTGTCCAGGTGGTCGGAACAACCATGAGCCACTTGCTGTGGTAGAGAAGAGAACAGATTGGCACTGAAGTAACGCATCACAATTCCGTGTGTGTTTTATGTTTTGCTGCGCATCAACACACAACCTGTAGTGTATTGATTCAGAGTTACAGAATCATGTAAAGTGGAGAACGCCTCTAAGCTCACTGAGTCCAACCTCTGATCACCACCTGTCAACCAGATGGGAGTTATAAGTGCCATGTCCAGCCATTCCCTGAACACCTCCAGGGATGATGGCTCCACCACCTCCCTGGGCAGCCCCTTCCAATGCTCGACAAACCTCTCTGTGAAAAAATTCCTCCTGTTGCATACAGTGAGTGCTGGCATGTGGTGTGTTTTCAAGGCAATCCTGTGGCTGAATGAGAAGCTCTGAGCTCGAACGCTGTGAAAAAATATTGCCGTTCCCTTATGAAAAGAGGCAGGAGAGGTGGAAAGGAGTTTGTTCCCTCATCTCATGGCTCAGGCAAATGCCTGCTCAGGTCTGCCTGTGAAACCCAGATTGGCCTAACTCTGCAGTGAAGACTATTCTATATAATATAGTATATTACAGAACAAAATGTATGGTTGATTAAACCAGCCCGTGGCATCATGGTTCAGGTACCAGAGGATGAAATGGTCTTCCAAAAGAGGATACAAACCTGTGGTGTGATTTGATAGTCAGATGTGTGGATTTGATAATCTGTAGTCTTAGTCACATAAATACCTTAGAAACCCTACTAGTATCCACGACAGAAAAAGAGGATTTAGGCTGCCAGGGGTCAGAGCAATGTTTTCAAACAGCAGCTTTTAAAAATAATGTACTTGCTCTTTCAGAATTGGCATGCTCTGAAAACCTGATGCATTCACTAAAATCAAGGGAAATTTCACTTGGGGATTTTTTTAATTCCTATTCAAATTGGCATTTGATCTCCAGATGTTCACTTTCACAGACTTTAATTTTAGTGATACTAAAGTCTTAGGTTTGCAAGACAAGGTCCTAAGGGGTTTTTCCAGTCAAAATTAATCAGTCTACATAAGGTCAAATCAAAGACAAAAAGGAACTTATGGAATAAGGACCAAGATTATATTATTGCTGAAGTGTTGGGATTTGATCACATTCTTGAAATGCAGCTTTGTACTCTCTGATGCTGACCTTCCCTCTGGGCTGTCTTTGCTCTTGTTTTTTGAATAATTCATTATAGCCAACACTTAATCCACAAACTCTATCAAATTACCTCTTTTTGTAAGGAGTTTTTCTTGGTGCTCAGGCTGATAATTAAAGCTCAAGCTATCTCATTTAAACTAACAATATTATAGGGGAGGTTTGAGGTTATTGTTTGAAGTTTAAAAGAAGATGTCACTGCAGTAAAGTATAATTCCATCTATGTCTGGTAGACTGCTCTGTGTTTCTTCTTCTCTCTTTCTCTAAATTTGAAAATGTACAGTGCAGAAGAAATTTAATTAAAGTTAGGATATTAGAAGGTGAGTGATTAGAGAACAACTTCCACAAACTATTCTCATCACAGAGGAGAGACAAAGAAATATTCTTCATCCTTCTCCAGTCCATCACCTTCGTAGGTTATATTTTTTAATACCATATCTTAATATAATATCATAAATGTTGTATATAATATATTATGCATATTATATATGATATATATTATATTTTGCATTTTAAAATACATGCGTTTTTGAATATAATCTATGCATTTGGACTGAATCTTTAAATCAGAAGTCAAATGAAACCATCAATTCTATGGTACACGGCTCACCAGCGATATTCTAGGAGAATCTTTGCCACACTTCCCAGCAAGCCAGCCTGTATTAGTAAATGATTCTGTCTGTGACATTGCCCTGCAAGCATGAAAAAACTGTAGAGGCAGTACCTGGTCCAGAGAGAAGAGTGGTGCTTAGCAGAAGCAGCCAGGTGAGACGCACCTGAGGGTCCATTGTGCTTGTGGTGGTCTGGTCTAACCCAGCACAGCTGCCAAATTTATACTAAATGGGCTCTGGCCTGCATCAAAGAGGGGTGTATGTGTGTGTGTTGTGCAACTTGATCTCTCCTCCTGAACTTCCAGAGCGATGCCAAGGAAGTGATTTACTGGGTATTTTCGTTTCTCAGGGTACATCCAGACACCCGGATGAGGAGATCCAGATCACGGAGCTGCTCCGGACTGGCTGTAGAGACCTCCCCAAACACTCCCCGGGCACCTCTGTGGCCCTGTGCTGATGATGTGGTTGTTCCAGGAAGCTGTGATTTGCTTTTGGAGATTAGGCTGTTTGGTAAGGACTCTCGTGCTACCCATTAAGACAGTTTTCCAGTTTACAACCATACTAAACCAGATTAAACTGGTGCAAGAATTGTGCCAAAGGATTAGCACCCTAAAAATGTCAGGGAAGTCTCAAACAAATTCTCTTTGTGTGCCACAAATTGCTCCTGTAAGAAGCAGTTTCTATGTTTTTTTTTCTTACTTTTCTGACTCCTCTTTAACCTGGGAGTGGATCCCTTCAGTGTGGTTCAGATCTGCAGTTGTCTCCCTGTTACTTGCAGCCCCCAGATCAATAAAATAGGTGTGAGAGATACTGGAAAAGGTAAGGTTGGGTAAGAAGAACTACAGCAACCAAAGAAAATGGACCAAGACAGGGCTAGAAGGTGCTATTAACACATTTTTCACTAGTAACAAGGTTTTATACAGGGATATGTTATCAAAAGATATGAGGCAGAAGAGATTGTAATGCCATTATAAATACAAATGAATAAAGGACTAAGAGAATGAATGAAATAAAGTCATCATGGAGAGGAAATGCACACTAGGTCACGCTGGATATACTTTGCCACCTGTTTTTGTGGCATCTTTTCAGATTAGGTGACTTGTACAGAAAAAGGGAATCCTACCCAGGAAGGCCATCCAATTTAGCTGGATAAGATTGTCCTCTGTCAAACCCCTGGATGTAGCAGGATCCCTCCAAGCACTCAGTCTTCTCCCTGGCATGAGGGGGTGGTGTCAGCACCACCATGGCCTCTGATACCCCTGAGGATGCCTCCTGCTCTGCCTCACTCTGTGCTGTCAGGGGGGAGATGAGTCACATCTGCAGTAAAAAAACAGAACTAAATTTTCTTTTCTGAATTAAAAGTGAACACCAATTTTTTTTTCCATGAGCACTTTTCTTAAACTCCCAATTGTCTCCTTGTATATTGTTTGAATTCAGCATAAATTCCTGCAGCGACTCAGTGGGTTTATGGTAGATTTTTATCAATATATTTCTCTCCATGTAGCTCTAAGCTGGGCTGGAACATTGTGGTGGGTAGTAATTTCCTTGGAATAATATTCTCCCTAGGAAGTGGTAGATTCCTGTGGAAATAGCTGTGCCTCTCTGCTGACTCAGCCAAAAGTGTGCTCAGCAGTAAAGTTACTTGCCCAAGAAATCCCATGCAGCAGGAGAATGGATGTTAATGGAAAGTGGGGAAGTAATTCACATTATCTAGTTGTAGGCAGCCAATCTATTCATAAACTAAGCCCTTAATCAGTGGCATTTCAGTGCAGCTCTATTTGAAGCCTCGATATAGGAAGGGAAGGTTTGGGGAATATGACTGACTGCAAGTATCTTGAATAAGGAGCAGCATCAATATTTGCTTTTTCAGCATTCCTCAGTCTCTTTTATGAAGCAGGTCCGAAAGGAGTCATTATTCCCACCAAACATGCAGAGGGCTGAGGATTCTACCACCCAGCTCTTGCCTAATGAGGCTGGATCTCACCTCAGGCTGTTTTACACCCTGTCAAGCAGTAATGGTGGCAGGTACTAGAGGGGGCAGAGGGTCTGTACAGCAAACCTGTGGTGACAGGTGTCAGTGTGACAGCATGAGCTGGAGTTGATCAGCTTGGAGAAGAGAAGGCTCCAGGGGAACCTTAGAGCCCCTTCCAGTGCCTAAAGGAGCTCCAAGAGAGCTGGAGAGGGACTTTAGACGAGGCCCTGGAGGACAGGACAAGGGGGAATGGCTTTAAACTATCAGAGAGCAGGGTTAGATGGGATAGTGGGAAGAAATTGTTCCCTGTGAGGGTGGGGAGGCCCTGGCACAGGTTGCCCAGAGGAGCTGTGGCTGCCCCATCCCTGGAAGTGTCCGAGGCCAGGTTGGATGGAGCTCTGAGAAGCCTGGGACAGTGGAAGGTGTCCCTGCCCACCACAGGGGTCAGAACTACAGGAGCTTTAAGAGCCCTTTCAACCCAAATAATTGTATAATTCTATGACTAGAAAGGAAGGGGTGAGATTTCAGTCCACAGGTAAGCAAGCAGACTAATCCTGTGTGGCAGGAACCAGCAGTGATGACAGTAGGGCTGACCTTTGTGGTCTTGGAAGAGCAAAGCTGTTTCCCAGAACATCTTCTTAGAGGAAATCTATCAAAATCTGCTCACGGAAAACAAGCAGCATTTGTCTGTCATGAAGTAGCTTTATGCTGGTGGTTGGGTGTTAATCTTTCTTCATGGAGTGAAGTTCTGTTGCAGTGGCAAAACTACTTCTCTCTGCAAATAGCTCTCTTTTTTTCAGCTCTTTCTGACTATGTATGTATTTTAGTGTGTATTTTGTATTGTGAAATGCAGCATCTGAACACTGGGGAAATAGCCTGCATGAAGTGTGGGATATCTGTGTGCACACACAGACAGGGGTACACGTTTGTACACCCTGCTCTGCAGCTCCTCCAGCATTTACAAACAGAAGTGAGCTCACCAAAGGCGTTTAAACATCCTGTTTTTATGGAAAATGAGTGGTATAATTTCCACAAGGGTCTGGGGCTGAACGGGGCTAAAAGCAGAGGGAAAATGAGGCTGTTCTGGGGGCTGCTGCCACCGGAGGGCAGCGAGGCACCGTCCTTGGGAATCGTGCACAGGGCTGGGAAAGATGCTCTGACACCACACTGCTGTTGTGGCCTCGACTTCAGCAAATACCTTTAAAAGCAAGGAGAGGGGGAGACAAACACAGGCAGAAGAGACAGCTAGAAAGAGCAGGACATCCACCTGTTTCATCTGCCCTTGCAGCTCTTCCCTCATCATCCCTTACTGAGATTATAATCCAGGACACCTAGCAGCTCTCCTGTCTAACAGTTGTGAAAAATTTCACTGTGGTACTTTTGAAGGAACAAACCAGGGCTGACTGCCTTTCTCCTGTAGGTGTATTTCTCACACAAATACTTTGGTTTGGAGAAAGGGAGGGAGAGGCCATTGCTCACAGCCTATTCTCATGCCAGTAGCAGAACCATCAGCTTCTGATCTTTGTATTTTCTCTTCCTGGAAAGAAAGGATTCACTAATGTGTGTGAACTCACAACATGGGGCTCTTTTTTTTTCCCCCATGACATAGCAATATATTTGTTTTTTTTTTAGATGTACCTTCTGCACTTTTAGTAGATTTCTTAGACAGAAAATCCTGTTTTTTACTGAACCCTTTTTTGTTTCCTACAGCCAGGTGCTGGCCATGATCAGTGCCCTGCCACAAGTGGAAGTCCAGGATGTTCTGAAGTGAAAGGTATTTTTGCATGCTGAAGAACGATTGGAGGAAAGGGCAAATCCCAGATGAAGTGAATCACATCTGTGATAACATAACCTGCAGGCAGGTTCCCCCTGTTTAGGGTTAATTTACTGCAAAAGTGGAAACCTTCCCTCTGCAGCCACCTTCTTTGGACAAAACTGAGTATTGGGTGGGTCTGGCTTTCCAGTCCCAGAGCAGAGCTGGCCTTGGGGTGAGGATTCACCATCCTGTCTCTGGAAGCCTCAGTCCACCCCTGGGAGGGAAAAATCTTTGCCAGAGGTGCAGGTTATGCCAAAGTCAAGGAGTATTGGTGACCTTGGCTGCACCCATGGTGGGACAGGCCATTTCATCCTGCTGCCCAGCTAAGGCTTCGTGTCAACACACCTTGCTTGCCTTGGCAGGTGCTGCATTCTTGCAGCTCTTCCTGCTTTTTCCACTTCCATGTGGACAATGGTCTTAGTGGGAAGGTTTTCTCAGCTCCTAACAAATCCCTTTGACCTCAGCAGGTACCACGGGCTGGGGTCACACAGAGTACCACCAGCACCAGTGACATTCTCCAGCAGCCTTTAAACATTTGTCATTGCAAACCTTTTAGTGGCTTTTTAGTGCACTGGGGGGGTGCCAGGGATGGAGGTGTCACCAGTACTGCCTTTACATTGAAGTAGATTTTGACAGTAAAATCAGTGCAGTAAGACACGTGGACTGAAGTGCACAAGTCTGATTCTTGTGAAGAAAAAAATTCATTTTTGAAAGATACATTTCTATTTAGAGCTTTTTCTCTGGAGAAATTGGGGAGACCATAACAAATGTTCAGGATTTTAATTCAGAGGCATCTCTACATAAGATTAATCACTGCATTGTTGATTAAAAATTGCACAGAGATAACACATAAACCAGCACTTAAACGGGCAACCCCCAACCCAATCAACTCCCAAATTAAAGTTAAAAAAAAGCTCAAATCACAGTAGAGGAGAGAGGAGAACCCTGAGCCAGTGCTTCCACTGATTTGGATTAATTGACTCCTCCTGATGCTCCTTCTCATGAGGAATGTTTAACTCAGGAAACAAAGCTGATTAGATAAATTCACTAATGTTTCTCTGGAGAAAACCCTGGGAGTTGTGGCAGCATGAAACTCAAGGATTTTTTTTATTTTTTTTTTAATGCAGTACTAGAGGGCTTCAGCAGGACCCTTGCATGATTCCTGCTGACTTTTTGACTTTGTAATAGATAAAATTAGTTGGCAAAAAGCTTTCTTCATTATTCCTCATTGAGAACTCCAGAGAGGCCAAACAGGCACATGTGAAGGACACTTTACTCTTCTGTGATAAATTTCTGAAAGTGCATCCAAGACTTCCATCGGCTTGCAGTGTGATTTGCTGAGCAGTGAGAGGGGCTGAGGGAGTCTGATTTTCACTCTGTGGTAAGTTCTGATCACCTTGCACTCTTTTTCGAGGTGGTTTCTCAACCTTTGAGTCCTCCACAATCATCCACAGCATTTGAAGGACTACAGCATGGCACTTTTCTGTCTTCTTTGAATAACTGTTTTTCTTTCACCCTTTGCATCAGACAAATGCAAAATGTAGTTACCAGTAAATGCCCAATTCTTAAACTTGATCAAGCAAAGGAATGGAACTCAGCAGTTCTCCTGTCTCCTCTAGAAGCTGTGGGTTAAAAACAGGAAAATATGAACAACAGGAAAATTGTTTTCTTAGCAGCTTCAGCTGCATTTCAGAAGAAATTAATTAATGAATTGTCAGCAGGGGAACAAACACTATGACAGACCTTTGTGGTACCTGTTGGCAGGTGATGAGGACTTTATACCTCATTATCTGTAAGTGGTGAAGACAATTACAAGGTTGGCAATTTACACAATTCAAAATTTTATATTAAAGAAAGAAAATCATGCCAAAGGTACCTGAGAAAAGCGCACCCTCATCTTCCCTCTGCCCACCATCAGTCACCCTCCAGGAGAGCATTTCCCACAGGGAACTAAACATCATCCAGGGAAGTGCTTCCTGATGCTGGAATGAAAAGTGCATTTCCCTGTGCAGAGAAGGAGGTAGGGCTTTATAGGTTGCCAAACCACTAAATTAAAATTCTGGAATATTCTGAAGCTGATTTAGTGTATCGTGGGGGCTACTGGATTTTCTCTGGGGAGGGTGGAGACAGTAATTTCATTAGTGCCAGCAGACCTACAGTGTCATTGTGGGCAATTTGAGATCCCTTGGTTTTTCCTGGGTCACTGTTTGACCCAAAGATCCCTGGCTTGGGCCAGGCAGATGTTCACAGTTACCTAAATCAGGTTTTCAAGGCCAGGTTGAGTGAGGCTCTGAGCAACCTGGTTTAGTGGAAAGTGTCCCTGCCTGTGTCAGGGAGTTGGAACAAGAGGATTTTTAAGGTCCTTTCCAAACCAAACCGTTCCATGATTCTCTGTATACTGATTTATTCCCAGCTGAATACTGGTTGTGAAATTAGTAGTAGGGAAATAAATTACCTGTGTTAGACAAATGCTGTTGGGTGTTTATCTATTGATATATTTGCAATGAAGTATTTAAATTAGTAGAGGAAAATCAAAGTTCCATTCACTGAGGCAAAGGTGACCAAGAGAGGAGGTTAATCAAGCCAAAGCAACACAGTGTGACCATGACTTACTTGTAACTGAATTTTCTTTTCTCCTTGCATTTTAAGGTCACTGAAGGGCCCTGGAGTTTCATTATGAAGTGGGAAGAGTCTCTTAGGCCTCTTTTGTGTGTGGGGTAATTCTACCAACAGATAAAATGCTGTTTTATGCAATGCTTTTCATTTTTTTAAGACTTGGGACTTTTAGCGACCTGATCCACAGAACAAATTTTTCACACACAGAAAGTCCCATCCTTTCCATATGTTTCAAACCAGATATACACATTTCAGTTTCATTTATTTATTCTCTTTAAAGTTTAAAAATCCATGGTTAGCCTCATGAAAACTATGCAAAGCAATATTAGTGCTTTCATTCTGATCAAAACAAACTATATTTTAAGAAGGTTTCCATATGCAGAAACTACCAAATAAACTCAATATGTAAATCAGTAATAATTTAAAGAGGAAGTTCATGCTAGGGAAAATTATTTCAAGACAGAAATGTCTGAATAAATATGAAATTGAAATTGCAAGTTATTTCAGGTCCCACAGAAGCTGAGAGAGGAGGAAATAGACAAAATATACGCCTTGGAAATTACAGGTTTTGTAAAATTAACTATATTTTTAGAACTGTTTCTTCACTGAGTGATTGGACCCTGGAAGAGATTCCCCAGGGCAGTGGTCACAGCACCAAGCCTGACAGAGCTCAGAGAGCACCTGGACTGTGCTCTTAGACGTAGGTGGTCCTGTGAGGAGCAGGGAGTTTGACTCAATCCTTGTGATTCTCCTCCAGCTCAAAATATCCTGTGAATCTGTGATAATAATTCACCTCTCTTTGCAAACCCTGTTTTGTTTCAGAAAATGTCCAACAGCTGCATAATTGAGCTCTTAGCAGTGCATGTGTTCTGAAGGAGACAAAAATGATGACATGTGACATGATGAGCTGCCTTTCCTTGCTAACAACTCGGAAAATCAACAGAAAACGGGACAACTTTGCAGCTTTCTTACCAGTAAAAAGAGTTGCCAGGGTTAAATTTGGGTAAGGACCTAGAATGGCCAGAGGATCACGGCATGTCCTTCTTCAGAGGGATCTGACACAGCCCTGGCTCCTTCTCGTTGACTCCTGCCCCTGGACTGCCAAGGAGTCTGTGACTCAAAACCTTTGGATTTGGCTTATCCTGATTATCTGACTCAAATAAACCATCTGCAGGCATTCAATAGGAGCTTTGTCGAGGTGAGATGGGTGGGATTAGGGCCTTAAGTTCGTGAAGAGTGTCCTGTGTGAAAGCTTGTTGGTGCTGTAAGGGCAGAATGTGCCTCGGGATTGCTTTTGGGTGCTCCTCCCCAGCCTGGGCAGTGAGCAAATAGAACTGGTTAGCAGAGATTACAGGTGATTAAAAGAGTGTGATAGTATTGGATGGACTCTGAGTGACACTGGCTAAAATGCTCTAAAAGGTTTTGAATCTTGGACAGATGGCCATCAATATTTGACATGTCAAATATTGATTTAAAAAAAAAAAAAAAGAGGGAAGCGCTCTGAGCAGGACAGGATTTGGCAACAGTCTGGCTGTGAAGAGGGGCACAGTGCTCCTGAGAAATGAGTTTTCTGGTTCAGGGGAGCATTTCTCAGCTTGACAAAACTATAAAATTCATTGGGACCTGTTGCTTCAGATCCTGTGCCAGCTGTGAACGTAAAAGGGTCAGTCATTTCTGGGTGGAGTTTTCAGTCACTGCAGTAACTACAACATCTATCTAGGAAATGGGGCATTGCACATTGTGCTAAAAATGTTATTGGAACAGTAAGATGCAGATTATTGCACCTTGTTTCAAGACTATTACACGCCTACAACAGAAGTCACACCGGTTTTGAAACAAATCAGTTTATGGCTGAAGGGGAAAATATGAATTTTTGTAGTGTTAGTGATAAAAAATTGTGTAAATGAGACCACACGTTGTCACTGAAATAAAAATCCAAGGTAAATCAAAATAAAATCAAGGGATGTTTGAATGCTACAGAGGAAATGTTACTGGAAGGCAAGAACCTGAAAGAGCAGCCATGGCCAATGTAATTTCATGAAGTGGAATTACTTTTAACTTCTAAAAGCATTCTAGATTTTTTTTCTTTTTTGTTTGAGAGTTTATTTCTAATACCTTTTTTTTTTTTTGAGTAATTACTGTTTGGAGCCCTTCTCTTCTGTGGGACTTTGGGACTGTTAAACCTTCCCCTTGGAATATCCAAAGGCAGCCAGGGAGAAAGCATTTCCAGGGCAATGGACTGCCTTTTCTGCTGGGAAACAAAATACTATATTTTTTTTTCAAAATGCAATGCCAGAAACTCCTGAAGACTGTACAAATTATAACTTGTATTTCAAACGGTTAATTTTCAGCTTGATCTGCAAGTGTCACCCCAGCTGCCAGACTTCACTGCCCTTGGGAAGCATCTCATGTGATGCCTGGATGAATCCTTGCGGTGTTGGCAGAGGGCACCCCGCTTGTCTTCCTCGACAATGCGTTCCTTGCCGAAATCCAGTGAACTTCTGGAACAAAGAAGGCTTGTTTCCCACTGGCAAGGCTCAGATCAAGTGTTTACTCTACATGCTGAGAGTGCAGCTCTCCAATGAACGCTGCCCCTGCCCAAGAGCTTGAAAAGAAGCTGAAGCAACAGGTTTTGGCCACCCTTCTGCAACTGGGGCTACACAGGTGGCTTTCTGAGCCTGCAACAAGGGATGGAAGGATCCAGCATTTTGGAAAGAAGGCCTGGCTTTGCCACAGGGAATCATTTAGGTTGGAAAAGCTCTCTAAGACCATCAAGTACAACTGTTTATCCAGCCCTGCCAAGGCCACCACTAACCCATGTCCCCAGGTGCCACATCTACACGGCTTTTAAATCCCTCCAGGGATGGGGACTCCTACCACTGCCCTGGGCAGTTTGTTCCAGCTTGACCATCCCTTTCTGTGAAGAAATTTTCCGTGATATCCACTCTAAAACTCCCCTGGCACAACCTGAGGCTTCTTCCTCTTGTCCTGTTGCTCATTACTCAGGAGAAGAGACTCCATCTGGTTGCAACCTCCTTTCAGGTTGTTGTATGAAGTCATGGTCCCTCACACCTCCCTTCGTGGGAGAACAGAGCCCTCATATCAACACAACTCAGTGTTCATCATATCTCGTGGAACAAAGCCCTGCTTGAATCCAGGATTAAAAGTGGAAGATGGTGACAACTAAAGCCAAATGTTTCAGAAACACCTCAGTATGGATCACCAGGAGGAAAGAGAGAACTCATCTCTTTCAAACTATAGTTCCTGAGAACAGGGAAAAAAAACTAAGAAAAGAGGTGGCAGTCATTCAGAGTTTAGAACAGCAACAGTACAATTAATTTCTACATTACACCCTCTGACTAATCCACTTATTTGAGAAAGAAGAAGAAAAAAATTCTGCTTGGATGGGTACCCAGTAATTGAGAGCAAAAGAGGTGATCCAAGTGTTGTTCTAGGAAAGGAAAACAAATCTCGCTCCCAGTGACGCAGATGGGTCACTGACGAGTTTCCTCAGCCAGGAGGGATCTCATTAAAATAGACTTTTTGTGTCGTGGTTCTTGAGTCTGAGAGAGAAAATCTGAGGTACACAAGTGCTATAAGAATTTTAATGTCTCCTTCATTTTTCACATTTAAATAAAACCAGATAAAAATAAAGTAAAAACCTCATGAAAATAGAATGCTAGAATAGTTTGGGTCGGAAAGCACCTTAAAGATCATCTCATTCCACCCCTTGCCATGGGTAGGGACACCTTCCACTAGCCCAGGTTGCTCCAAGCCCCGTCCAGCCTGGCCTTGGACACTTCCAGGGATGGGGCAGCCACAGCTTCTCTGGACAACAATGTTCCAGGTTAATAAATAATACATAAAATAATAATTATAAACATAACCCCACAAATAAATAGCAACATAAATAAATACATGATAAATAAACTACCAAAATAACAAAAAGCAAATAAAAAAGGAAATACATTCTGCTTGTAACAAAAGGCATTTAACAGAAAGTATGGGGGGGAAAAAAATTGGGCTTGGGCTTGGGGTGCTGGAGAGCAAAGGACTGCAATAGTTTTTATGTGGCTGTGGTGGGTCAGTCTCAAGAAATTCATGTGCTGTTTCTCTCTGCCTCATTTCCCTTTCAAGGTAGAGCCTGTAGCAACCCTGTTAAAACTGTGTGGTGAGTTGGTGAGTCTGAAGAACTTAATTAAAAAAAATCAAATTATGAGTCAACTGAAGTGATTTCCAGAGTGTATTCCTCTAGTCATTTAACTGGAATTTGGTGCAAGATTTTGGGCTCAGGCATTTAGGGACCCCTAAGCCCAAACTATGGGCAGAAGATAATGCTTAGCTGCTTCATTCAGCTTAGTATCAATGAATATCTGTAGGGTTCTATGGGAAAGGATGGGGGAAAATAATGAAAGCAAGAAAAAAATCATGTTTCTTGCACATACCCTGCAAACCCTAATTGGCTTTTTTGAATCTCAGTCTGCGTGAGGATTTGTTGTTAACAACTGAAAGATTAATCTGCTTTTTAGCTACGAGATGCAGAAACAAAACAATGTTTATTTATACCCAATTATAAATATTTTCCTAATGGGTTCCTGGGAAGGAGGACTGCAGAGTTGAATTATCTGCTTCATAATCCAAAATTAGAGTGGGAAGATAAACAGGACAGCAAAGCACGGGAAATTCAGCAGACAAACAAGCAAACAAGGACTTTGCTTCTGAGCTTTGCTTCAAACCCAGTGCTGGCCAAATAGGTGCTCTGGTAACACTGGGAACAGCAAAACTTTGGGAACTCATAGACCCTGTGCAATTATTTCCTAAAAAAATATGGGTGTATTTGAAACCAAATTGCTAGGGGTTCAAACACAGCACTGTGCCAGCCACTGGGAAGAAAATTAACTCTATCCCAGCCAAAACTTGCTGGTTTTTGCCTGCTGGTACTTGCAGGCACCAGGCTTCTCTGTGAGACTGGCATAACACTGATCCCACACAAAATAAACAAAAAACCAAAACAAAAGGCCAAGTAAACAAATTCAGTTTACATTTTGGCTTTAATTCTTTGTATTTTTAACCAGGACATGAAAGGCAAAAAACCTCAGGTCTTGCTTTTCATGTTTTCATGCACCAGTGATAAATGTTTATGTGGGATTTGGGTGTTTGCATTTCCAGCATATTTCAGTCTGATCTGTGAATGCACACAAGACATTCTGAAAGGCTGGGTAAGCCCTGAGAAGCCAAACTCCTCACAACCACAAAGCATACCATCATGTAAGGGGAAAAAAAGTTAAATAATTTTGTGATCAGCAGCCAAAAGTAGTAAAAATTGAACAAAAACCCTTCTGGAGAGCAGATATTAAATGTCTTTCAACTTTTAAACGACATTTCGGTGAGAGCTGAGATGTCTTCTGGCTGAGAATTGATCTTTTGGGTGAGATTTATGGTTTTACCTGGTTCAGGATGTGTGTCAGTGGAAAGGAACATCTTTAACACACACAGAGGGCTGTGTCCAACACTTACACACAACAGAGGTACCTCACACCTCTTCAAAACATCATGTAGAAGTGTTTAAAAAAAATGATGGGCAGAATGTCAAACACTGGAAAGTCAAATACTCCATCACTTGGAATTTTTAATCCAAGAGGTCACACTCTTCAGCACAGTAAAACATCTGTTTGTTTCTTTAAGCACAGAGACATTAATTTGAAAGACAAACTAGATTTATTTCTTTGTAAACATTCCTTCTTTTGATTGTAAATTACACTGCTCACAAAACAGATTACTTTTAGCTTGGAAATCTCTGCATTAGATAAGCACAGTCCCATTATTATTTCAACAAGAATTTTAGCTTTAAAAGCAATGCTCAAATTAATTAGAATATTGCATAGCCACAATTCCAGTTGCTGTGGTAAGATCAGTTTTTACATTTCCTTTCCAGACATGACCCATTCTCCCCAAATTAAATTTTCCTTCCTTTTAATAAGCCTTGAAGTATTTATTGGTACCTCATTCACATTTTCAGTCCAGCTCACAAAATTCTGAGGCATTGGATAAATGGTTTTAGATTGATGTGAGAAGAGAACTGAAGAGGAGAAAAATGATAAAATGGTTGTATCAAACAGCTTGTGGCACGGCTATTGAAATTATTTGAGACTGATTATTTAAGAGATGTTAGGATTACAAAGCTGTTCTAAAGCACTGTAGCAGGCCAGGATTCATTGTAGGTAAAGATATCATGGTTTCCTACAAATGGCACGTGTGTGACTGTCAGCAGTGAGGCATTTTGGTGGCTGGTGAATACGTGACGCTTGTGGTCATTTGGTGGGTGGTGCTGACCTTGGATCTGATGCTGTCCCACGTGAAAGCAGTTTCTTCAGTGCTGCTCTTGCAATAAAACCATCAAGAACAAAAAACTGCAGCTGCCAGGATGGCAACAGCACTAACAGCCAGTGTGAAGGAGCTGTCAGCAGCAGTGGGGACTGCCTGGGGAGGAGGCACAGAGGAGCCCAGCCCTACGAGTGAAAGTTGGTGCAGTTTGATCTCAGAATATTAAAGATCAGGGCACAAAGAGCCTCCTGTATTAAAGGGATGGTTCCCAGGCTGAAATCAGAGGTAAGTGATCTTCTCACAGATTCATTGCTTTCAACTTTTCTGACAGGCTTTACATTGGCAGGGATGACAACTTAAAGTCAGCTTCATAAGCAGAAGACAACTGAGGGAATGAAATGTTTCTCAGGGAGGCTGGGTGTTAGCTTCCAGCTGGCCATCATGGAATCATGGATTATTTAGGTTAGGAAAGACCTTTAAGATCATTGAGTCCAACCATTAAACCAGCACAGACAAGTCCATCACCAAACCATGTCCCCAGGTGCCATTACACCAGCAGATTGGAACTAATTGGCTCAATTCAAGGAGTTACAGCACCAAAATGGGTTACAGGCAATCTCTCCTTTCGGACAGCCAAAGCAGTTACACATTTTAAATATGCAGGTAAGAACAGGGGGCTTGCAAAGAGTCGATTGCTTCCTTTTCACGGAGAAGTTGGCAAAAGCAGATTTGAGTGACAGGTGTCAGCAACGCAAGAGCTACGGCTTTTCTTGGGGCCTGAAGTCACCTCAGAGCAGATGTGAGAGGAATTTATCTGGCTTTAGTGGTATTCCCACTCTGAGCAGCCCCTTCTCGGCGCCGAATCGGCCCCACAACCACGTCCACTTTTTCCTCGGCAGGACTCGTGTCTCTCTTGGCCCTGCCGGCGCAGCCCCGGTAGCAGTGGGAGGAGTAGTCCCCGAGCCTGCAGACCATCAGCTCACACTTCAGGTACACCGAGGGGTGGCGGCTGATGAACTCAAAGGCGTTGAATTTGAACCGGGCAAAGTGGCTGGAAGGGGAGTGGAACGTGGCGTAGGAAGGGTCTCTGGGACACCTAGAAAGGAACCAAAAAAAAGGTGGTTAGTCTTCAAGGATGCACAGGGGCACATTCCTGCAAAAACACAATAGATTAAAACTAAACTGTATCGTAGTCTGATACTAAAAAGAAAGAGCTACAAATGCAACTTGCACAGCAGATAGACTTTAAAAATATAAACTTATTTAACTCCTATGAAGGAGCTAGAGCATTGACAACTCTTTTTTTCCCCAGAAGGAAGAACAGACTCTTACTAATATCTGTGCTATGCAAGGCATAAAAAAGCTAGTCTAATGCTTGACCTGGCTATACTAAAAACATTAAACTCCTAGGATTACAGGTTCCTGCTGCCAGTTTTCACTGTCTCATTTACGTCGCTCCCACTACTTTGAATTTTGCTCATAGGACAAAGATGAAGTAATTGAAATGAAATGTTAGTAAGGTGGAAGCGTAATTTCTTATTTCCAGGCTCATGCTGTTAAAAAAAAAAAAAACAAACAAAAAATCAAAGGCCCCTTTTAACAGTCTATTGATAATGAGTTCTAACCCAACTCAGATTGGCTCTGTTCTTTTAAATGAATGCAGATCACAGGTGTGGTTCTAACAGCTTGAAGAAAGCTCTTACCCGTTCCTGACTATGTCATAGGCCAGAGTGTTAAAGTCCCGAGGATCAGGTGATGCCACACACGTGTCCACAAACACCTTCAGGTTCGGGTCTGAGCTGTGAAGACAGGCCTGGAGGTACAAATTTTGGTTCAAGTCGATGAAGTAGGGCGAGCTGCGCACTTGCCGCGAGAAGGCTGAGGAATCATAAAAGGTGATGTTCATGTCGTATCTTCCAAACTGATATTCATTCAGGTCTACAGTGTCCTCAGCAGTGTACATTACTTGCATCCACGTCTTCTGCAGCATTTTGCAACTGATATGTAAGTTGATATTCTTTTTCCTCTTGATTATGTGCCCAGAAGATGCAACTCTGATCGTGTTGGAATAGTTGATTGTATCGTTGTTCTCCTGTTTAATGTGCAATTCAAAATGAGGAATTGCTTTTTTGTCACATTCCGTGAAAGTTCTAAGATTTTATAAGCTTAAATACGAATTTTAAAAATGTAGGTTTGTCTTACACACTTTAAATCAAAGGGAGCTTGATGTTGGTCTTTTCTGCTCACACAGTGTAAATTGTATGTAATTAGACAGAATTCAGCAGAGAAAAACCCTGTTAAATCCAAGGCAGAGCCAACTCATTGACCATCAGTACAAACAGCAGTTGTGTAGAACACAGGCATCCCAATCCTGTGCACTTAGAGGACCACATCTATTTTAAATCACAGAAAATTCTTATAGCTTGCTCCCATGCTTTCCTCCCTAGAAGCTCTTTCTAATTAAGCACAGATATTCCCTGAGGCTTGGAAAGCTAAAGCACTAAACCCTCCAGCTCTCACTGGCCACAATGGCCTTTTTTGTGACTCTTCTCACAGTGGGTCCTGCAATTCAGAGCCCGCCCTGGTGAACGCACCTCTCGTATCGTCCCGCAGCCGTCGTAGGGAATGTTGAACACAACCTCCTGTGAGGTGATTGTTGGCCTGCAGCGATTGTCATTCAGGGTGACCATCTGGGCTGAGTAGCCCTGAGACTGGAGGTGGTCCCTGCTCACCACTGCGTGCATGTAGTCTGGCAGGCACTGAAGGGCTGGCAGAAGAAGGAGGTACAATATATTAGTGACTTCAGGAGTTTGTTAAAGATTAAAGGTTGTAATTGAGGCAAGTGTTGTTTTCTTAATTTAGAAGTCAGGCAGTTCACACCCCAACCCGTCATGTTTCATCATTCAATTTCAGTAAACATCTTTAAATTTACACAAATACTTATTTTGCAAACAAAAGCAATAAATAAGCTTGTCTGTTGAGAAACACCAGCTGAGGACTTACTGGTGTTGTGATCTGCTGGGATGGAGGAGTAGTGAGCCTGAAAGCCTCTGAAGGAGCCTCTAGAATCACTGTGAAAGCGAAGGGTCATCATGTTTGAAGAGGACACGAATGTGGGGAAGGAACCAGAACAAACTCTCCCAAGAAGCGGGGAAGAGCGTCGAGGCCCGTCATAGACTTCAATGTAGTCGTGCTGGCATGTGCTGCTTTGCATCCTGGTGAACAAAACATCAGCACCTTGTTAAATCTGTTCCAGAAACTCTGATTTCACTGCCTAACATGTGATAAAATCCTTCAGGAGAGGTCTCATTTGGTTTGTATGCAGCCACAGCAGAAAACTGTGAGCAAAAAATACTACAGTAGTCTAGATTTTGATCTGGTCTTCCAGATATTATTGAAAGTATCTTTAAAATTAGGAAGGTTGCCTGTTTTAGATAAGTTTTCAAACTTCTCAAGTAAGTTCTGACTTTGTTATTTGCACAGGGAATCGGTGTTTTACTTACGCAATATCTCTAAATGTGAGTGTAACACGGAAATTGCTCTCGACTTGTATTTCCCACTCGCAGTCAGCGTTGTTTGGATAACTTCCAGGGTAGTAGGGACTCTGCACCATCCCAGAGGAATCTGAGATTGAGCCACCACAAAAATAAGGTGCTGCAGAAAGAAACAGAAGAGAATTTACTTACAGTAACTGCAGAAGTGCACTTGAGCTGTGCATCTCATCTGTAGCTGTGGAAAAGCAGGTCCCCTGCTGACTGTGGGTGATATTCTGTATGAGCCAAATCAAAACAAATATTTGTTTTTTTGCTTTAGCCTTTACTTTTGTATTGGATTTGGAATTCCCTGTCACATCTGTGGTGTCAGACTACCCTCTTCAGGATGGGCTGGAAACACCTTGATGCTTTCTGCTCTGGCCTCTTCTTTTTACAGTCAAGGTCTGATTCTGGGAGGTGTCATAACAGTCTAAATGGAAGTACCTTCCTCAGTAAACACCCTCTCCTCAGTTACTCTGCTCCTTCTCTTTATTGCCCTAAGGACTTTGGAGGGTAAATAAGTTGCAAGTCTTCTAGGAAACTCTGTAATTTTATGGTCTCAGACTGAAATAAGCACTCCAGGCTGCTGGAGAAAGTCTTAAATATAACTCATTTCTCCTATGAACATAGCTGCAAAAAGCTTTTGTGTTCCTGCCAGCATGAATGACATAATACTTGTTAAACACACAAATAATCCTAAAAGCTTTTCTGCAGGGAGGAGAACACAAGCTTTGAACCTAAATGCCACAAGATTTGACATGTAGAGGTGACAACCCATGTTATAGTCCTGCACAGAGGCACCCACCAGTGCTATACATGCTTCCCTGCCCCAGGATTTTGGGATTCACAGGCTATTCCAAGCTTGGGAGCATCAGCTGTACCCAGACATGGACTCTTCCTCTGATAACACTAGACAGGCTCTAGTGAAATTCACTTCATATTATTTTCAACTGTGAATGGTCAAGCTCTAAATCTAAAACCTGCTTTCTAAGGCAAAATTATAAAAGAGACCATAACAGCTCTAGTAAGCAGGAGTGCCTCAGACTGCACACTGCCATACTTGAACACCATTCTCCCAATGCTGATGAATGCAGTTAGTTAGAAATTGGAGATTTAGACAATATTTCCAAGGCCCTGACCCAGCTGAATTGCCCAGCAAGGAAATGGTTTGACACAGCCAATCAGTATGGTTGGAAAACAGCATCACTGAAAGGCAAGGGGACATCACAGCCTGTCTAGGAATCACCACACAACTTTAAAGTGATATTGTCACAGAGGCAAAAGACAAATTTTAAAAAATGTGCTAAAGGGACTCAGCACACAAATTAGGAAGGTGAGAAGAGACACAGAAGAGCATTACCTGATGGAGGTGGTGTGGTGGCTGCAGGAGCTGTGGGTGTGAAAGAAGAGACATGAGTGAAATGTGCTGCTCATGAGAAAGGTCCTGGGGCACACAGGGTATCAGGATGGGATTGAAGGGAGGAGGGGATGGGGGCACTGGGGCTAGGCTATAAGCTCCACCAGAGACTCAGCTGCCTTTACTGCCTACCCACCTGCACAGACGACGCTGGCATCCTCCACGTGCCCACAGTTGTGCACTCCCCAGCCGTTGTGCCTGCACATCTGCAGGGAGGGCTCGTCCCCACGGCACTGCACGTCGTCCAGGAAGATGCGCCCCGAGCCCGGGCCAAAGTGGGCAGTGTGTGGGGCCCCCAGGGCCTCCCCACAGCCCAGCTGCCGACACACCACCTGGGCATCCCGCAGGTCCCACTGGTCATCACACACCGTGCCCCACGTGCTGCCGTCGTACAGCTCCACGCGGCCCTCGCAGCCGCTCCTGCCGCCCCACAGGCGCAGGCTGGCACCTGGCAGGGGAACATGCCACGGGTCAGGGTCACTCCAGCATGGTACCCACAGCCCACACCACCTCCCCGATTGTTTTGGTGATTTTTCTGTGGTGACCTTGAACTGGGGTGGTGCAGCCTCAAGGGGACCAGGGGAGGACAGGGATGGAGCAAAGACCCCGGGTGTGCAGATTTGTCCTGTCCGGAGCCCTCCTGTTGGGGTCTGAGGGAGCTGCCTGAGGGCAGAGTAGCTCAAGGCACTGGGTCATTTGCAGAAAAACCCTTTGCAAGCCTTGAGATTGACCCATCCCCTGAGGGGAAAAACTCCCGCCTCCTGGAGATGTCAGGGTCAGAGAGGACCAGCAGTCATGCACTGAGCAGGATCAGACAAGGAGGAAGCCCCTAACCTCCTGTTATGCCAGACTGGGGCCCACTACAAAGCTGAACCTTAGCTGGGTGATCAGGAATTACCTGTTGTGAATGGCCATTGTGCAGGAGGGGTTGGACGGGTGGCTGCAAGAAAGAAGAGGCAGTGAATGAATGGGCAGGGAGATTATGGGAATGGATAGACAGGGATATGGACATGGTCATAGTCATGGACATGGACATAAAAAGCCAGGCTGGAGAACTAAAGCGGAAATGGGGAGTGGATCCTGTCTTTTCCCCACCCATACACCAGCCTGACATGTCTCCAAAAAACAATCCCTCTCCTTCAGAAAACAATCCCACCATCCTGCTCCTTGCCCCAACACTGAGCACCTACACCAGGAAGTGTGCAGAGCCTGCTGTGCCCTGGCTGTGGGAAACAACAGGGCTTTTGCATGACATGGGCTTCAACCCTAAGGAACAGAAGATCCCAATCTCACCTCTCTGCCCTGGCTCTCCCAAGGCAGCTCAGCACGGCTGATCCCAGAGGACAGATCCAGAACCCACTCAGAATGATGTGCAAAAAATCCCGTGGTCTCTGCCACCCACCCACCTGCACAGACGACGCTGGCATCCTCCACGTGCCCACAGTTGTGCACTCCCCAGCCGTTGTGCCTGCACATCTGCAGGGAGGGCTCGTCCCCACGGCACTGCACGTCGTCCAGGAAGATGCGCCCCGAGCCCGGGCCAAAGTGGGCAGTGTGTGGGGCCCCCAGGGCCTCCCCACAGCCCAGCTGCCGACACACCACCTGGGCATCCCGCAGGTCCCACTGGTCATCACACACCGTGCCCCACGTGCTGCCGTCGTACAGCTCCACGCGGCCCTCGCAGCCGCTCCTGCCGCCCCACAGGCGCAGGCTGGAACCTGGCAGGGGAACATGCCACGGGTCAGGGTCACTCCAGCCCGGCATCCACAGCCCACAACACCTCCCCGGTTGTTTTGGTGATTTTACTGTGGTGACCTTGAACTGGGGTGGTGCAGCCTCAAGGGGACCAGGGCAGGACAGGGATGGAGCAAAGAGCCCGGGTGTGCACATGGCCAATTTGTGCTGTCCAGGGCTCTCCTGCTGGGGTCTGAAGGAGCTGCCTGAGGGCAGAGTTGATCAAGGCACTGGGGCATTTTCAGAAAAGCCCTTTGCATCCACTGAGTGTGGCCCATCTCTTAAAGAGGGAAAACTCATGCCCCTTGCAGATGTCAGAGTCAGAGGGGAGCAGCAGTCATGCACTGAGCAGGATCAGACCAGTAGATCCTCTCTCTTCCCTTTCCAGGCTGAGGTTTCTGTAAAACTGTCTATAAGCTGGGTGGTCAGGAATTACCTGTTGTGAATGGCCATTGTGCAGGAGGGGTTGGACGGCTGGCTGCAAGAAAGAGGAGGCAGTGAATGAAAGGGCAGAGAATGCAGCTGGCTTGTGGTAGTGGATGGAGAGGGATATGGCCATGGCCATGGACATGAAAAGCCAATCTGGGGAACTAAAGGGGAAGAGAGAGAATGGGTCCTGCCTTTTCCCTGCCCAGAAAGAAGTTGGAGGTGTCCCCAGTCCTGCCCCACCCTCCCCCAAATATCAATCCCACAATCCTGTTTTTTGCCACTGCAGCAAGCCCTTACACCAGGAGGTGTGGAGAGCCTGCTGTGCCCTCTGTGGGAAACAGTGGGGATTTGCATGACATGGGCTACCAGCCCCAGGCAGCAGAAGACCCCAACCTCGCCTCTGTGCCCTGGGTCTCCCAAGGGAGGTCAGCACCAGTGGGTGCTCCTGGGCAGGGTTACCTGGTGTGCTCTCCTCTGCTCTGGCAGACGTTGTCACTGGAGTGGTCACCTCTGCTGGGCTGGACACGTCTGGTGTGGCTGTGGATGGCTCTGTGGTGGTGATGTCCAGTGGAGAGGATGCCCCTATTAGGGAGGTCATTAGTGCAGTGGCAATGGACATGGCAAAGGACATGACAGGCAGAGCTGGAGGACTAAGGACATAAGGGAGTGTGGAGCTCTGTCCTGCTGTTCTCCCATCCAGACACCAGCCGGACATAACTCCAGTCCTGCCCCATCCTCCCTAAAGAATGATCCCACAGTGCTGCTCTTTGTCACCCCACCAGGAAGTGTGGAGAGCCTGCTGAACCCTGGCTGTGCAAAAATTTGGTTTTCGCATGACATGGGCTACCAGCTCCAGGCAGCAGAAGACCCCAACCTCGCCTCTCTGCCCTGGCTCTCCCAAGGCAGGTCAGCACGGCTGATCCCAGAGGATAAATTCGGAACTCACTGAGAATGTTTGCAAAAAATCATGTGTTCTCTGCCACCCACCCACCTGCACAGACGACACTGGCATCCTCCACGTGCCCACAGTTGTGCACTCCCCAGCCGTTGTGCCTGCACATCTGCAGGGAGGGCTCGTCCCCACGGCACTGCACGTCGTCCAGGAAGATGCGCCCCGAGCCCGGGCCAAAGTGGGCAGCGTGTGGGGCCCCCAGGGCCTCCCCACAGCCCAGCTGCCGACACACCACCTGGGCATCCCGCAGGTCCCACTGGTCATCACACACCGTGCCCCACGTGCTGCCGTCGTACAGCTCCACGCGGCCCTCGCAGCCGCTCCTGCCGCCCCACAGGCGCAGGCTGGCACCTGGCAGGGGAACATGCCACGGGTCAGGGTCACTCCAGCCCGGCATCCACAGCCCACACCACCCCAGTTGTCTTGGACATTGAACCCAGTGACCTGAACCTGTTGTGGTTCAGTCCCAGACGGACCATGGGAGGACAGGGATGGAGCAAAGACCCCGGGTGTGCAGATTTGTCCTGTCCAGGGATCTGCTGCTGGGGCCTGAGGGAACTGCCTGAGGGCAGAGTTGATCAAGGGACTGAGTCATTTGCAGAAAAACCCTTTACAACCGTTGAGATTGATCCATCCCCTGAGGGGGCCAACTCCCACCTCCTGGAGATGTCAGGGTCAGAGAGGACCAGCAGTCATGCACTGAGCAGGATCAGCCAAGGAGGAAGCCCCTAACCTCCTGTTATGCCAGACTGGGGCCCACTACAAAGCTGAACCTTAGCTGGGTGGTCAGGAATTACCTGTTGTGAATGGCCATTGTGCAGGAGGGGTTGGATGAGTGTCTGCAAGAAAGAAGAGGCAGTGAATGAAAGGGCAGAGAATGCAGCTGGCTTGTGGTAGTGGATTGACACGGACATCATCATGGACATAAAAAGCCAGGCTGGAGAACTAAAGGAGGAAGAAAGTATGGGTCCTGCCATTCCTCCAATCCAGACACCAGCCTGATGAGTCTCCAGTCCTGCCCTGTCCTCCCAAAAAGAAATCCCACCATTCTCCTTTTTACCCACATACCAAGCACCTACACCAGGAAGTGTGCAGAGCCTGCTGTGCCCTGGCTGTGGGAAACAACAGGGCTTTTGCATGACATGGGCTTCAGCCCCGGGCAGCAGAAGATCCCAACCTCACCTCTCTGCCCTGGCTCTCCCAAGGCAGGTCACCACGGCTGATCCCAGAGGACAAATTCGGAACTCACTGAGAATGACGGCAAAAAATCCCGTGGCCTCTGCCACCCACCCACCTGCACAGACGACGCTGGCATCCTCCACGTGCCCACAGTTGTGCACTCCCCAGCCGTTGTGCCTGCACATCTGCAGGGAGGGCTCGTCCCCACGGCACTGCACGTCGTCCAGGAAGATGCGCCCCGAGCCCGGGCCAAAGTGGGCAGTGTGTGGGGCCCCCAGGGCCTCCCCACAGCCCAGCTGCCGACACACCACCTGGGCATCCCGCAGGTCCCACTGGTCATCACACACCGTGCCCCACGTGCTGCCGTCGTACAGCTCCACGCGGCCCTCGCAGCCGCTCCTGCCGCCCCACAGGCGCAGGCTGGCACCTGGCAGGGGAACATGCCACGGGTCAGGGTCACTCCAGCCTGGTACCCACAGCCCACATCACCTCCCCGATTGTTTTGGTGATTTTCTGTGGTGACCTTGAACTGGGATGGTGCAGCCTGAAGGGGACCAGGGGAGGACAGGGATGGAGCAAAACCCCGGGTGTGCAGATTTGTCCTGTCCGGAGCCCTCCTGTTGGGGCCTGAGGGAACTGCCTGAGGGCAGAGTTGATCAAGGGACTGGGTCATTTGCAGAAAAGCCCTTTACAACCCTTGAGATTGATCCATCTCCTGAGGGGGCCAACTCCCACCTCCTGGAGATGTCAGGGTCAGAGAGGACCAGCAGTCATGCACTGAGCAGGATCAGCCAAGGAGGAAGCCCCTGTTTCACCTCCTGTTATGCCATCTCAAGACTGGGGCCCACTACAAAGCTGAACCTTAGCTGGGTGGTCAGGAATTACCTGTTGTGAATGGCCATTGTGCAGGAAGGGTTGGACGAGTGGCTGCAAGAAAGAAGAGGCAGTGAATGAATGGGCAGGGAGATTGTGGGAATGGATAGACAGGGATATGGACATGGACATGGACATAGTCATGGACATGGACATAAAAAGTCAGGTTGGAGAACTAAAGCGGAAATGGGGAGTGGATCCTGTCTTTTCTCCACCCATACACCAGCCTGACATGTCTCCAAAAAACAATCCTCTCCTTCAGAAAACAATCCCACCATCCTGCTCCTTGCACCCACACTGAGCACCTACACCAGGAAGTGTGCAGAGCCTGCTGTGCCCTGGCTGTGGGAAACAACAGGGCTCTTGCATGACATGGGCTTCAACCCTAAGGAACAGAAGATCCCAACCTCGCCTCTCTGCCCTGGCTCTCCCAAGGCAGCTCAGCAGGGCTGATTCCAGAGGACAGATCCAGAACCCACTCAGAATGATGTGCAAAAAATCCCGTGGTCTCTGCCACCCACCCACCTGCACAGATGACGCTGGCATCCTCCACGTGCCCACAGTTGTGCACTCCCCAGCCGTTGTGCCTGCACATCTGCAGGGAGGGCTCGTCCCCACGGCACTGCACGTCGTCCAGGAAGATGCGCCCCGAGCCCGGGCCAAAGTGGGCAGTGTGTGGGGCCCCCAGGGCCTCCCCACAGCCCAGCTGCCGACACACCACCTGGGCATCCCGCAGGTCCCACTGGTCATCACACACCGTGCCCCACGTGCTGCCATCGTACAGCTCCACGCGGCCCTCGCAGCCGCTCCTGCCGCCCCACAGGCGCAGGCTGGCACCTGGCAGGGGAACATGGATGAGGGTCGCTCTTGGAAAAGAGATGAGGGTCACTAAGGAGACCAGTGAGTGAGGGTGGATAAGGTTACCTGGTGTGCTCTCCTCTGCTGTGGTAGTTATTCTCACTGTGGAGATCTCCTCTGCTGAGGTGGACAACTCTGCTGTGGAGGGTGGTAGGAGCATGGTGCTTGTCTTTGGTGCACTGGACGTCTCTGTTAGGGAGGTCATTAGTTCAGTGACAATGGACATGACACAGGACATGACAAGCAGAGCTGGAACACTAAGAGAGGACTAAGGAGGAGAGCCAGGAGCTCTGTCCTGCCATGCTGGGAATCTTCCTGCAGTACAATCAGGCCAGTGAAGGAAGTTCAGGCACACTAAAGAGAACAGTGAATGACTGTGAACAGGGTTACCTGCTGCGCTCTCCTCTGCTCTGGTGGCCGTTGTTGCTGTGGTGGTTGTATCAAGTTGGGTGAACATCAGTGGTGAGGAGCTCAATGTCAATGTGCTGGTTATCTCTGGTGAAGGGGACATCTCTTCTGGGAGGGTCGTCAGTAGTTCAGTTGTTGTTGTCTCTGGGGTTGTCACTGGCACTGTGGTGGTGACCTCTGGTGAAGTGGACGTCTCTTCTGTGGGGGTCGTCAGTAGTTTGGTTGTTGTCTCTGGGGTTGTCACTGGCACTGTGGTGGCCACCTCTAGGAAGGACAGCTCTGCACTGCTGGTCGATGGCACCATGGTGGTTGGCTCCCCTGGGGATGTCATCGTCTCTGGGAGGGCTGTTGATGTTGAGATTGTTGTCCCTGATGGAGGTATCGTTGTTTCTGGGGATGCTGTAGTTTCTGGGGATGCTGTAGTTTCTGGGGATGCTGTAGTTTCCATGGATATTGTAGTTTCCATGGATGTTGTAGTTTCCATGGATGTCGCCGTTTCCACGTATTCTGCCTCCAGTATTGAAGTTGCTGCTGCCATGGAGGTGGTTGGTGCTGCATCAGCCTCCTCTGTGAACCCAGAAGAAAACCACCCCACATGTGAGGACTGCACTTGTGCAATGGGTACATCTGTGTGTTATCTACAAGCCCGGTTCCTTAAGGACAAAGCAAAATCAAGGTGAGTTATTCTGATGGCAAACTCTGTCTTGTCTGGCGTCAATGGATAGAATGGAGATGGGTAACAACCAGTTGAAAACTGATCTTGAAAGTGGTATTTCCAGATGGTGACAGCAGGGTGTGCAAATAAATGGCACTTAAAGAGATTTAAAAAGCACTGGTGTAGGTAGCATTTTCTTCTAGCATGGATTCAGCCCACCAGGCTCTTACTCCCTGAGAAAATGTACAAAACTGCAATATATACATAAAACACCTGAGGAACCTGTTGCCATCAGCCATGCCTCAGTTCCCGATCATCTCGAGAAAATAAGATACAAATTATGTACATTATCTTAAAAAATAATGGGAAAGTAGAATGAGAAAACAGCAAGGTGACAGACTATTCAAAATGGATGGATATTTGTAAAGGGAACAGATATTAATGGACCTAAACTTGAAAGACAACTTCAAAAATATGGAAACAATGTAAAGTGAATTGTCAGCTATGACAGTTTGGGTTGTGACTGTAAAATTATTATTGCCCATTATGAATCCATTAAGAGCTCACCTAACCCCATTTCTCCCTGATAAACTGATATCAGACATAACTTTGACTTTAACTTTGACTTGTTTCCTTATTGCCTCTGCCAGTTGATGAGATGGAATTAATATTCTGCATACTTCAATATATATCTTATCCTTAGGGGTTTAAATTGCTTTGTGTGGATGAGTAAGCACAGTTTGTATGTCACCCTAGTGAGAAAACTTGAGTTCATGCTGGCTCTGCAGGGTCAGCAGGGTGAAAACACAGGGTTGTTGGAAGATCAGACTGTTCTTCTTGTGAACAGGCCTTTTCAGAGGGACTGTGCCCTTCCACAGATAGAGAATTCTTCATAGCAAAGCAGAAAAAAAGGTTAGACCTGTATCTAGGATAGCTTTTAGTCTTGAATGAATGAAATGTTACCCAGTAGGAGAATGTCTGCATCCCCTCACGCTGGCACAAACAGATTGAGTGTAACTTACAGCAAAATTGTTTAGAAAAGAAAAAAAAAAAGCAACAGCACCTGAACAGACAACACCAGCATCTTCGTAGTGGGCACAGTTGTGTATCCTCCACCCAGTGTGATTGCAGCGCAGCAGGGACACCTCATTTCCACCGCACCTCACGTTGTCCAGCAGGATGTAACCGGAGCCTTGCCCGAAGTAGGCGCTTCCCATAGCTGCAATGGCATTGCCACAGCCCAGCTGCCTGCACACAACCTGGGCATCGGCAAGGTCCCAGTAATCGTCACAGACCGTCCCCCACTGTCCTCTGTAGTAGATCTCCAGGCGGCCTTCGCATCGGTGCCTTCCGTTCACCAGCCGGAGATAGGGCGCTTTGGGAGAGAGGGAATCGAGCACAGACCGGTCAGACAAACAGGCTGGAAGTGACTGTCAGGAGTGTTCTGTCCTCTTGCCCCATTGTCCCTAGAAGGTGCTTGCCCAGCCCAGTATTAAGTGCCTGTAAGGACAGAGGTTTATTCACACCTTTTTTTCTTTTTTTTTCTTCCTCTCTTCCAGATCTCAAAATCAGCTGCGTGTATTTTATGCAACATTCCCACAGTAAAGACAGACAGCAGGCTAAGCAAAAACTATTTAGGCAAGAAAGGAAATTCTTTACTAATAAGCAAACTTCAATAGGAAAGCAAAAGAGAGAAAATTAATTTCAGTTTCTCAATGAAACCTCTCCATGGTTTAAATAATTTAACTGGAATTTCTCTTCTTCCTCTAGAACTTTCGGGAGAATTTTAAGGACATAGAGTCCACACATCAAACCCAAATCCTATTGTTTTTGAGAGTAATTTTACTGGAAGAATTCCACTGAATATTCTACAGACTGGACAGTGGTCTCAGCAGGATGATAAAGATTTCAATAGGAATTCAGTGGGTTTTATTTCTTTTATTCAATTGAAGTGTAATTAGATTTTTGAAATAAAGAAACAACCTATCATGTATACATCTGATTACTGTGTTCATTCAAATAAAACACATCTGCTTTTCAGTTTGAGTTGGTTTGTTTAGATGTTCTGCTGTCAGCAGCATAATCCTGATTTTAGAGAATCATTTTTGATGAAGACATTTATTGAAGCCTTTACCACCAAGTGTAAGTGAGCAAACAAATGTAGTAACTTAAGATTTGCAGTACTTACACTTTGGAATTCAAAACATGCACGCTGCACTTGTTATCCTTTGCTTTTCTGCCAAATGCATATTTGCCTTCTTATTAAACACTAAGTCATCCAAAGCAAAACAAATCTCAGGAGTTAACAGCTCCAGGATTTCTTCACTGCATCTAATTCTTTGTTATTGGACTAGAAGTACAGTAAAGACGGTGGCCAAACTAAATTTGTCCTGATTTGTATGCATTTCAAAGGGAGAAGCTACAAAAGTGCCCCTTGACTTATGTTTGACTTCTTTCTTCAAATACCTACTTGAACTTGCACATTTTTGGACCCCTCTCAGAGGAGTTCTGAGAGGTGACACAGCAAACCTGGCGAAAAGTCAGCGCGGGATTAGGAAATTAAAGCAGATCTAAACCGGGTTTATTTGCTTTCACTCAAGGTCTGTCATCACTGTGAGAGCACAGCCATCAGCTGGGGATGCAGTCAGATAGGCTGAGTCCCGCCTGACACTTCAGAGGTATCAAAAAGACAAAAGCCTGTGATTTATACAGCAAATACTCTCCTGCAGGAGACAGAGGCAGAGGGCAGAGAGAAGAAATAGAGTAGCCAAAGAGAGATGGCTCACCAGCAGGCAAGCAGAAGACAGATGGAGGAAATCGGATGAGGTGGATGATGGCAATATAAATTCTCATCCTGACGCTGAAATAACTGGTTAGAAAAATCATCAGCAATTATTCTAAGACATACACAGAACTATTTACCTCAAAAAAGTCACCCAAGTCGCTTAGGAGATAGAAACTAATCACGTAAGGGAGAAGTCAATGACCATAAAAAAGTTCAACTAAAAGCATTTCCTCACTTTCGTTATTTTTGGATGTCCACCATTTACCCATAGTGCTAGAGTAAGAAAAGTTTACTTCTTGTTATATTCTGTTAAATTTTACATAAGACCAAGAAGAACTAAATGATACAGGGAATATTAAATATACAACATATGTATGCATGCATATACTATGGAATAAATATACACTGAAAATAAGTAAACAAATAAATAACCATTTCCATGATTCTTAGATCCAGTTTCTGGAACTGGAGGAATGACTCGTTCATGACATACTCACAGATGCAATTCTTGAAGCGTTGCAAGGCACTAAAGTACAACCTTGTGACAGCAAAATGGACTCCACTAAATGGTTCAAAACATTCTTACCATTCACTCTGGTGATTAGTTCATCATTTTAGTAGAACAAAACTGTGCTCTGTCTTCCCTCTAATTCCCTCTTTAGTCTTTTTCCCAGACTGATACAAACATGAATCTAAATTCTGTTCACGGAATCAACAGACAGGCTCCAAGCATTAAATTTTCTTATGCACCCTGGAACAAGTCAAAGTGGTTTTACCTGTTTTGGCCTCCAGAACTGCTGCACCCAACAGGAGTAGCCATGTCAAAATCATAGTGGTACCCATCTTACCAAGTGTTGTTGATAGAAAGGACCTCAGAATATATAGTCTCTATTTCTGAAGGGGAGTGGCCCTACAGGTCTCTTTTTCTACAGGAGAACAATAAAACAACCACAGTCCTCTGATCTGAAACAAACATATGTTTGATTTGTTATTTAATATTTTGTAACTTCCTGGGGTTTTGCAAAAAGATAACATCTCAAGAGTAACATTTTCCATTGCCTGGAAGGAAATATTTATGCTACCATAGGTTTCACAATCATCTCATTGTACAAAAAAAAAAAAAAAAAAAAAAAGAATGAGTTCCTATCCAAAGATACCTTTCAATTCCAGCTGATGAATCTCAGTATTTTTCTTTCATGGGGAGATTCCCCACTGGCAGTTATCTGGATGGCAGCAGAATCTTGAAACTTCAATGGGCTTCTTCCAGCAAAACAGTAAAAGAGACTTTCCAACTAGTATGATAAGCTTTCCTGGGGAGTCAAGAATGTCCCAAAGCTTCAGCATACTTTAAATAAAATAAGACTTGACCTAGTGGCCCTGTTGAAGTGTGAATGGGGAGTCCCTGAAGAACCTTGCGATTGAAGTCAACACCTCCACCCCCGCAATGAACCCATTCTTTTTTGGCACATTTAATTTCAAGCCAAAACTCAAAATTCACTGAAAGGCTGTTAGATAGGAAAAAAGTGCCAGAGAATCAGGGTCAGCTGATAACCTTTTGTGCAAACACTGTAGAAAAGTGAGTAGATTTTATGCAGGATTAAGAAAATTACGTAGCTTGCAACTTCATTTTATTCTAAAACTTCCTTTGATGCTTTGAACCAGCAAATGAGGGTGGAAATGTTCAGATTTCTGTTAAGAAAATTTCTTAATATATTCCTGTGTTTAATTTTGCACAGTGGCAGTTACACCTGTGTCATTCTTTGAAGAACGAATCCAAAGCTTTTTCACAATATGAAATAATGCTTAATTCTCATTCACCACTCTCTTACCAGAGTGGTTACTTTCCTCTCTTCCTGTGTTTTAACAATTTAACAAGAAAAAGCTGATGAGCATCCTTACCCTGAAGAGCCAGAACGTTGTTCTCCATCTCATTCCTGCCTCTACAGCCATCATGTCTTGGATGGAATCATCCCAAGTTAAAATTGCTGCCATATACAAATTTGTTGCCTCCAGGGACAGCCATCAAGGATGAGAACCAAAGGCCAAAGGCAAAAGAGAATGATCTAGAAGGCCTTTCCACAAAGGCCAACGTTATTGGAATGGAAGAAGGAAGTGTAAAATACAAGAGGCCAAAGACAATGTTGGAAACCTTGAGAGTGAACGCTGAGAAGGGTAAATACGTTTCTTCTTTATCCAAACAACCATATTTGCACATGAATGAGGATATGTACACAACACCTGGTATTCACTATTCATATTCTTCTGGTTTTGACACCTTGAGAAGGCGCAGAAAAAATCCAATACAGCTGACTGGCCAATCAAACACTGCAGTCGGTGAAGCGAGAGTAAGTGATGGATCACAGTTCTTCTCCAAACTCCTGCAATCACTGAAAAGGGTGAGGAGGAAGGGGAACACAAAAGGGATTCCCAGGTGGTTCAAGTGTGAAAAAACATCTTAAGTTGCCCAAGTAAAAGGACAAGATTGCTTAATTAATTCTTCATTACACTCCTCGCTAATGAATTATTAATTTCAAATATCTAGGTATTTCTAAATATCTTTCTAGACATTATCAGACAATGTCTGCACATAGAAATAGATGAATGGTATGTTCCAATTAATCTTAATTAATTAATTAATACAAATACTATACAGCTCGTGTTTTCATCCTTCTCATTGCTTAGATTAGTCTCTTGCAGTAACAGATTTTTGTTCTTAAGGTCTTCTGGCAGCTTGAGGTATTTTCCAGCACATTACTCTGTGAAAGAAGCTGCACTGAGCTTTAAAAACACTTTCTCTTCTGCTGACTGAAAGTGGGGACACTTTGCAGCCATACTGGTTTTGGTGAGGTCACAATGAAGACCACCGAAAGAACAAACAAGACTAATCTGCTTTCAGGTGTGACCACCAGAAAGTACCTACACTGGAAAAAGGGCATCCACAGACTTCTGAAAAAAGGAATGATAGTCTGAATCCAGATGTTATGACGCAATTAGGCAGTTTAGTCTAATTTATTGGGTTACTTGATGGCCTTGTGGGCTCCATTGCCTGTGTCATTTGAAGCACATCATTGCAAACTGATCTGCATTTGGCCAGTGGTGAGGATGCAAGTGGATCAGAACCGTCCACCACTGGATTTATTGGTAGATTTCCCAAATGGGGGAGGACAGGAGGTGGGAAGGAAGGTCTGTGGCAGAGAAATCATTCACCAGGCACATGTAATTTAGAGCATGACCCTTTCATCATCATCAAATGCAGCCCTTGCTGTGCTGAGCAGATCACTGGATTCCCCTGAGTCTGGACAATGTGTGCTCTGCACAACAGGACTAGATGAAAGGCAGGTCACCCTCCTAGATTGTTCTGCCCTTCAAAGGTGGCTGTAGGCCAAGGGGAGGGGGGGAACCTCAATCCTTGTTCCTCATGTGTGGAAAACAACTCACACTTTCTGTGTGCAGTGCCGGTCCCTACGTGTTTGATCCCATCTCCACAACATGGAGAGGTGATGAGAGGCCTACCTGGAATCACGAGGAGAAGGCAGCTGGAAGGAAAAAATGGTACAGGCTGTAAGGATGATTCCTGTCAGAGCTGCCCACATCCTCCTTGTCAGATCAGGATGTCACCCTGGAGTACAGCACACCTTCCTTACACGTCACTGCTTTGACTCTGGCTCACCTCACACTCAGCACATTACGCTGTTCCAAATGAACTTACCCCTTTCATAGCTGGCTGGAAAACAGGAAAGTCTGAAGAAGGGCATTTCTCAATCAATACCAATGACCTTTTCACCTGTATTAAGTAGCTTCTTCCGAACAAATTCTTCTTTTTTTGTTAGTTTTATTTTGTTTTCGCATGGGGATAGGAGACAGGTCACACTTCCTTATGGCAACTTACGTACATTCTCTCCCTCCCCCACTTCACAGGTGTAGAAATGTGTGAGAGCAAGAGCAGAAATCATTGCTTGGAAAAGTCACTTTGTCAGAAGCCACATTTTCCAGCCTGATAATGTGTTAGCCATGAGTTCATACACACAAGTGCCATGTTTGCAAGTACACAAAAAAGAACATTACTTGAAAAAACAAAACAAAACACCATTTTTTTTTATGCTTTTATTACACATTTATCTGACAGATTTGATTATGTTCATCCTCCATACAAAATCTTATAAATGACCTACATCTACTCAGAGAAACGTGTACTTGGGAAGAACCATAGCCCCCAAAGTGAGGGTCGCTGTACAGGAATACTTCTTTATGTGTATTCTTGCTTATGGTTCATTATTGAGATTTATTTACTGCAAAGTAACATTTCTGTTGGACTACTTCACAGGGTATCTCATGGTGCTACATAGGTGTTTTATCTGCATATCAGCAATGGCCAAAGTTCTTTCTCAGGTCACCTAAATCAGACAGACCCTCAACCAAGGGTTCAGCTGAGATGCCCTGAAACGTCCAGCACTGAAGATGCTTATTTGAATGATGGAGTGGAAGAATCAACCTTTCCTTTGCACCTCAGGTATGCTTGGACTAAATTTTAAAGTCAGACTGCTTTATAAGTTCAGTTCATGGTAACATCAGGTATAATCTTGACACAAGACGTTCTTCTGACAAGAAGATGGTGGAACAGTCAAGTAAGAGTTGCCCCTCACACTGATTATTCAAACCCAAATAATGAAGCAGATGGCTGGTGAAAACATCCTTCCACCTGCAAGCCCAGGCTGCCTCTCACATTATCTGGTATGGGATGGGTCTCTGCAGTTTACGCTTCAAAAGAAATCCTCCCACTGTGAGAAGAGCAGCAGCTGCCATCACCATGGCAGTGACAGCCAGGGGGACGTGGGAGCTGGCAGCAGGCACTGAGCTCGGAGATTCCCCTTTTGCCTGGATACCAGAGTCAAGCTCTGTGCACGAAAGAGAAAGAGAGAGGCTTTTACACTTGCTTTGCTGACCTGGTTAATCTCAAAGGTAATTAGGCAAAGAGAACTTGAATTACAGTACTGTGATCTGGGTTAGATCAGAAACCAAATTGTTTTACTGCAAATGATTCAGTGGCCCCATGAAGTGAGTAAAGATTATGGCAAGAAATTAAAGAGTAACTGAGAGTCTGTCATGATTACACTCAGAGAACACAAGATGCCTTTTTCTGACAGTGGAAGTAGCAGATACAGGGAAGCAGCGTGTCGAAGGGGACTTAGAGATTGATTGTTAATGAATGAGAGACATGTAAATCAGGCTCAGCCAGCTTTGGAATATTAATACAAATCCAGCAGGGAGAGGAGTTATAGCTCATCCATCTTTCTGCAGAACTGAATCAATTGCCATTTGACATGTGCAGAACAAAGAATGGATCTGAACTATGACAGAAAGGAAGCAGCTTGTAAACCTAATATAAATATTATATTAAAAAAAAGTATAATCCCCCGTAAGAATCACAGCAGAATTGCAAATAAACGGGTTTCACATCTGAACCGCAATGCAAACACACTGTAACACACGAGAGTCTTACGTTATTTAGGATATTTAAACTTACCAGTGTTCCTGTTCTCAGCGTGAGCTTCCCGAAGCTGCACAGGTCCAATAACAACATTCACCAGTTTCTGGGAAGAACCTGAGTTCCTCTTGAGCCTTCTAACACAGCCCTGATAGCAGCGGGAGGAGTAGTCTCTGTACCTGCACACCACCAGCTTACACTGCAGGTAAACTGATGGGTACTGCTTAGCGAAGGAAAAAGCGTTGAACGAAAACCGAGCAACGCTGTTGCGCGGGGAGGGGTGGGAAGAGTAGGTAGGGTCCTCAACACACCTGGGAAGACATAAACCCAACAGATTAGCTGTTAACCAATAGCTGCTCTTGAATAGAAGCATTAATAACATTACCTTTGTGCAGTAAGTTTCAGGATTAAATACAAAATCAGACATCAGAAGGATGAAGAAAAGCGCGTGCTTTTAGCAAGAAGAGGGATTGTTAGGTGTACCCAGCACAGAAATTTTGGAGCTCAACAAAGTCTGTGTAAATATGGGGAGCTGAAAAATGACTAATGGTTCTGCTGGTTTCTGTGTTTCAGCTGAGAACCTGTTTTGCATTTGAAAATGGGATTGCCTGTGTGCAAAGAGGTCCCTGAAGGTTGCTGAAGAAAGTGTCCTTTTCTACTCTGCAAGCACAAAACTAATTCTAATACTTTTTTGTTGATGTTTTTTGGTTTGTTTTTTTGGTTTGGTTTTTTGTTGTTGTTGTTTTGTTTAGTTTGGTTTTGTTTTTGTTTTTAATAAACATGTTCTTTAGTGCCTCAATGTCCCTTGGTATAAAATTAAGCAAAATGTTTTGGGTTTCTGGAATAACAAGAAAAGGCTAAGGGACTGCTTTTTGAGTAGACAGTTTTTTATTCTTGCTACAATGCAGTAAAACTCTAGTTGTGATGTATGGAAATGCAGAGCCACTGACATCCCTACATTTCATACATTGATTTCAGAAACAAAACCAGACTTCAATTTCTGCACTTGAGAAGAAATCTCAGTGCAGATCCTTGAGTGAAATCTCAGGGCTTGACTGCAACTTCTGAATGGCAGTTCTTTGTCATACTGTATTTTATTCAGGCTTTGCCAAAAGGTTGCTGTTAGAACTATATTTGTACTGAGGATTGCAACCAGTGTACACTGGCCTTAAATCACCTCTTTCACAAATTAAGCTCTTTCAGAACTATCCATGTACTTTCAAAGCAATTCTTTAGAAAATCCTTACCCCCTTCTGATCAGTTCATAGGTCTTTGTTCTAAAATCGCTAGGATCCGGTGATGCCACGCAGGTGTCCACAAACACTATCAGATTTTGGTCAGAGCTGTGCAGAGATGCTTGGAGGAACAAATTCTGATTCAGGTCAATGTAGTAGGGGAAGCTCTGCACCGGCCACAGGAAAGATGAGGAGTTGTAGAACGCCAAGTTCACGTCGTATCTGCCATACTGGGTTTCTTTGACGTCGGTGTTGTCAATGGCAGTGTACACTGCTTGCACCCAGGTGTTCTGGATCATTTTGCAGTTGACATGTAGGTGAAGGTCCTTCTGCCTTTTGACGGTGTAACTGGGAGCAGAGGCTTTTATCACGTTGGAGTAGGTGATGGTTTCGTTGTCGCTCTATTTGACACATTAAATGAGGACAAAATTACCACTTGTGGTCATGTTCACTTGTGTACTATAAACTTCTGTATGTGCCAGGTCTTAGAATTAGTCAGAAAGAACATGTCATACTCAAAAATACCTAAGCATCTGTGTGGCATTGCTCACCTAACTCTCCCCTGTGCTCTGCTCTTGTTCTCTAAAACATCACCCTGAAATAGATACAGAGATTTCCTAAACCCTGGAAAGGATAAATAGGAATATTGAACAAACTTTAGCCTCCAGAAACACGTGATTATCTCCTGTGCTTTGAACGCCTGTGGCCTACTACACCCTTTGCAATTCAAGACAGTTTTCCAAATGTCTATTATAAATTCCCATGCCCAGAGCTCTCCCAAACACCAACCTGTCTGTGCGTGCCGCAGCCGTTGTAGGGAATGTTGAATATCACCGCCGTTGATGTAATTGTTGGTCTGCAGTTGGAGTCAGGCAAGCTGATGCTACTGACTAGGTAGCCCTGTGACTGGAGATAGTGTCTGTCTACAACTGCTCGCATGGAGGTGGGGTAGCACGCAAGGGCTAGGGAAGAACATGAGAACTATTAGAGACTCCAGGTGCTTGATAATGCCTGCAAATTGCAACTTCAACAAATGCAATACCCGCTATCATCTAAAGATAAGCCAAACCGCTTACTGTCGCACTTTGGACTTGGATATGAGGAAGCAATAGTCTCTGACGTACTTCAGCTGACCTTCAGTTACTGCCCTGGCAAAAACATGTGGCTTACAATAGCTTTTTGCTTAGACCTTGAGCCTCTATCACCACTCACACAAAAATGCTAAGAAGTGGGAGTTTTTCCTGAACAAGAATCCAAAATGCATTGTGGAAGGTGTAGAGCTGAAGTTTCAGGATGGTTTAGAGAAGCACAACTTGGCTGGGAGGGGATCCTGATGCTGTCTCCATGATGCTTCACTGAGTCCATGACGTGAAAAGCAAGGATTCCATGGAGAGTTTGGCCTTTGTGGAGTGAGATGTCTGATAACAAGGACCTACTGGCAACACACAGCCTCTTGAGAAGCACTTAAAAAGACAAGAGAGCCAACTGTTTGTGTTGGGGAGGTTGTGAGTGTGCTTGAGATACACCTTAGCATAGGGACTGCAGGACAGTACTGGAACAGGTCACCCAGGGAAGTAGCTTTGAGTATTTCATCCCTTGGACATTTCTAGAGACACAGCTAGATAATGGACCTGACCAGGTGTTGGCAAGACCTCTGCTTTAAATAGTTGGACACAGAAACCTCCAAAAGTCCTTTCTAGCCAATATTTCTATGATCCTATGAAAATTTGCCCAGAAAGGTACAAAAAAATGTATGAACTGTGATGTGATACAAAGAAATATGAATTTAGAAAGCATGATAGAAAATATCTAGAGGCAATTAGATTGATACTGAAGATTTTTTTAAGAAGAAAAAATAATTATTGTCTGAAAGTGACTGATCAATAATCAGCTACAAAATTCAAGTTGGAATGTCATCTATGTGGGATTTCTTCAACCAAAGCAAACCATATTTATATGGTAAACAAAATCAGTGTATAAAAAAAGAAAAGAAAGCATTACAAACAGAATGGAATTATGAATAGAATGGAAACTTACTGGCATTCTGGTCTGCTGGGAAGGACTGATACTGAGCCCGAAACCTTCCATTGGAATATCTGGAGTCACTGTAAAACTTGACAGCCATGAAGTTTGAGGATGACCTGTACGTAATTTTAGAAGTAGAACAAATTCCTCCAAGTAGAGATGAAGTATTGGGTGGCCCATCATAGATCTCAATATAGTCATACAGGCATCCACCTTGCAACCTGAGGAAGAAATTTGAACGTGTAAGAAAACGCATTTGGTAAACTTTGGGTTTTAAATGCTGAACAAACAATAAAATAAGATTCTGCATTCATGCAATTCCCATGTGTATTTATCACTCACTTAGAGGATGGGAAACGTGCCCAGGAACTGCAGATGCAGTTGAGATTTTGAATCTATTTATTGCCCAGTAGAAAGTGGTTTACTTACTGAACACTTTCAAATGTGAGCATAATGCGGAAATTATTGGCTACTTGTATTTCCCACAAACAATCTGCTTTCTCCGGATAATTCAAAGGATAAGGACTCTCAAACGTCCCGGAGGGAGTAAGAAGTAGGCTGCCACAAAAGAATCTTTTGTCTAAAAAAACAAAAAAGAAAAAAGAAAAGAAAAGAAGACATGATTCACTTATATTTAATTATGTTAAAAAAAAAATATATATTGTATATAATCAAGTCAAAGCAAGAGGAGGTTAAATTTCAAAAGAAACTGAATGGTTGTTCTCTTCTAAGACTACAGGTGTGATTATCTCTTCAAAGAGTTATGACTGACCCTTGCAGTTAGGCTTCAGTCATACATGTGTCAGGGAAAGTCATGTCATGGTCCAAAAACCTTTAAATCAGAGAAGAAACAAAAGAAAATCTCCCACATGATCACCACAGTCTGAAATCCATCCCCAGAAACACAGTCACACAAGCAGCAAAGTCCGGTGTGTAGGATTTAAACAATATCAATAAGGATTTTTTCCCTAAATATTGCAACATGCAAATGTTGCATCTCACAGCTACTAAATAGTAACTAAATCACCTCCAAAATAATGCCTCAGAGAAACAGAAGAAAACACACCAACCTGGAATAGTTGTTGGAGGGCGAGGGGTGCCCATGGTTGCGGCATCTGTAAGGGAGGAAGAGAAAGAAGCAAGTGAGGCCCTGGTGGATGAAGGAGCTCCTGGGCCCAGGCCCCTGGAGTGGGGGGAAAGCAGCAGTCACACAAATATGAACTCACGTGTCGTCCAAGTGTCCCATATGTAGCCTGTTGTGGTATCTGCAGGAGAGGAAGAGAAAGAGGCAAGTGAGGCCCTGGTGGATGAAGGAGCATGGCCAGGTTTTCTCCCAGTGCCGGGGAAGTTGGTGCCCCCGTGTCACACGGACAATGGGGACCTTGGGGGTCTGAGAGAAAGAGGTTGGCCCAAAAACCATAAAATCAGAGAAGAAACAGAAGAAAATCTCCCACATGATCAACATAGTCTGAAATCCATCCCCAGAAACACAGTCACTCAAATGGCAAAGTCCCGTGTGTAGGATTTAAACAATATCAATAAGGATTTTTTCCCTAAATATTGCAACATGCAAATGTTGCATCTCCCACCTACTAAATAGTAACTAATTCACCTCCAAAATAATGCCTCAGAGAAACAGAAGAAAACACACCAACCTGGAATAGTTGTTGGAGGGCGAGGGGTGCCCATGGTTGCGGCATCTGTAAGGGAGGAAGAGAAAGAGGCAAGTGAGGCCCTGGTGGATGAAGGAGCTCCTGTGCCTGGGCTCCTGGAGTGGGGGGGGAAAGCAGCAGTCACAAAAATATGAACTCACGTGTCGTCCAAGTGTCCCATATGTAGCCTGTTGTGGTATCTGCAGGAGAGGAAGAGAAAGAGGCAAGTGAGGCCCTGGTGGATGAAGGAGCATGGCCAGGTTTTCTCCCAGTGCCGGGGAAGTTGGTGCCCCCGTGTCACACGGACAATGGGGACCGTGGGGGTCTGAGAGAAAGAGGTTGGCCCAAAAACCATAAAATCAGAGAAGAAACAGAAGAAAATCTCCCACATGATCACCACAGTCTGAAATCCATCCCCAGAAACACAGTCACTCAAATGGCAAAGTCCCGTGTGTAGGATTTAAACAATATCAATAAGGATTTTTTCCCGAAATATTGCAACATGCAAATGTTGCATCTCACACCTACTAAATAGTAACTAATTCACCTCCAAAATAATGCCTCAGAGAAACAGAAGAAAACACACCAACCTGTAGTACCTGTTCTGTAGGCCTTGGTTGCGGCATCTGTAAGGGAGGAAGAGAAAGAAGCAAGTGAGGCCCTGGTGGATGGAGGAGCATGGTCAGGTTTTCTCCCCATGCTGGGGATGATATTGGTGCCACTCTGTCACAGGGGCAATGGAGAGCTTAGGGCTCTAAACAAAGGGTGGTCTTGCCTGGTGGGAGCCATCAAAAGCATATTCCTGAACACGTCTCCAAGGCACAGCTAATTGTGGCCAACAAGGGGCCAACTGTGGAAAGAGTGCTGGTAGGTGTGGAGGAAAAGCCAAGGTACCTGAGCAAACAACACCGGCATCTTCACTGTGGCGACAGTTGTGGACGCCCCAGCCGTTGTGGCTGCACTGGAAGAGGGAGGACTCCCAGCCTGCACAGTTCACATCGTCCAGGTAGATCTCGCCACTGCCTGGCCCAAAGGCACTGTTTGATGGTGCAGAAACAGCAGAGCCACATCCCAGCTGCCTGCACACAACCTGGGCGTCCCTCAGGTCCCAGCCGTCATCGCAGACGGTGCCCCGGCCCCCCGGGAAGGAAATTTCTACGCGCCCCTCACAGCGGTTCCTGCCGTCCACCAGGCTCACAGTGGCACCTTGGAAAGGGGCAGAAATGGAAAACTTGAGGAGACCCTGCAGCACACAGGCTCCTGCTCCTGCCAGGGCCTTGGCAATGCTCTGTGGGTTCCACCACTCCCACCATCGGCCTCATTAGGCTGTGCTTTTCCCAGGCTCTGCCCTCCCACACAGAAGAGCAAAGGCCAACCTCTGCAGCACTTAGTGGCTCCGAAAGAGAAGGGGCCCGAAAAACAAGGAGAAATTCAGACCCACCTGGGGGAATGGTGGTGGTGAACCATGGTAGGGTTGTCCCTTCGGTTGGGGTTGTGGGGTATGCTGGAGAGGAAGAGAAAGAGGCAAGTGAGGCCCTGGTGGATGAAGGAGCATGGCCAGGTTTTCTCCCAGTGCCGGGGAAGTTGGTGCCCCCGTGTCACACGGACAATGGGGACCTTGGGGGTCTGAGTGAAAGACGTTGGCCCAAAAACCATAAAATCAGAGAAGAAACAGAAGAAAATCTCCCACATGATCAACATAGTCTGAAATCCATCCCCAGAAACACAGTCACACAAGCAGCAAAGTCCCGTGCGTAGGATTTAAACAATATCAATAAGGATTTTTTTCCCAAAATATTGCAACATGCAAATGTTGCACCTCTCACCTACTAAATAGTAACTAATTCACCTCCAAAGTAATGCCTCAGAGAAACAGAAGAAAACACACCAACCTGGAATAGTTGTTGGAGGGCGAGGGGTGTCCATGGTTGTGGCATCTGTAAGGGAGGAAGAGAAAGAAGCAAGTGAGATCCTGGTGGATGAAGGAGCATGGTCAGGTTTTCTCCCCATGCTGGGGATGATATTGGTGCCACCCTGTGACAGGGGCAATGGAGAGCTTAGGGCTCTGAACAAAAGGGTGGTCTTGCCTGGTGGGAGCCATCAAAAGCATATTCCTGAACACGTCTCCAAGGCACAGCTAATTGTGGCCAACAAGGGGCCAACTGTGGAAAGAACGCCGGTAGGTGTGGAGGAAAAGCCAAGGTACCTGAGCAAACAACACCGGCATCTTCACTGTGGCGACAGTTGTGGACGCCCCAGCCGTTGTGGCTGCACTGGAAGAGGGAGGACTCCCAGCCTGCACAGTTCACATCGTCCAGGTAGATCTCGCCACTGCCTGGCCCAAAGGCACTGTTTGATGGTGCAGAAACAGCAGAGCCACATCCCAGCTGCCTGCACACAACCTGGGCGTCCCTCAGGTCCCAGCCGTCATCGCAGACGGTGCCCCGGCCCCCCGGGAAGGAAATTTCTACGCGCCCCTCACACCGGTTCCTGCCGTCCACCAGGCTCACAGTGGCACCTTGGAAAGGGGCAGAAATGGAAAACTTGAGGAGACCCTGCAGCACACAGGCTCCTGCCAGGGCCTTGGCAATGCTCTGTGGGTTCCACCACTCCCACCATCGGCCTCATTAGGCTGTGCTTTTCCCAGGCTCTGCCCTCCCACACAGAAGAGCAAAGGCCAACCTCTGCAGCACTTAGTGGCTCCGAAAGAGAAGGGGCCCGAAAAACAAGGAGAAATTCAGACCCACCTGGGGGAATGGTGGTGGTGAACCATGGTAGGGTTGTCCCTTCGGTTGGGGTTGTGGGGTATGCTGGAGAGGAAGAGAAAGAGGCAAGTGAGGCCCTGGTGGATGAAGGAGCGTGGTCAGGTTTTCTCCCAGTGCCGGGGAAGTTGGTGCCACTCCTATGGTGTCACATGGGAGATTGTGAGCAACTTCTCAGCAGGATGTTCGTCTGGTGTGGGAGTAAAGAAACCCAGAACACACCTCCAAAACATTTTCTTTTCAATCAGATGAGTCCTCATTTTTTGTGTACCCTGCCATGTTTCCTTCACTGGAAACTTTCAGGGTTAGGTTGGACATATCTCTGGGCATCCTCTGGTTGAAGCTGTCTCTCCTTATTTTTGGACTAGATGATTTCTAAAGTTCCCTTCCAGTCCAAATCATTCTGTAAGTCCATGATTCTGTGAGTGTATTATTCTTGGGTTCTTGTTGTCCACAGCTGCTTTCAGTGACTCAATTTGCAATGCATGTAATAAATAAATTCAGATGAGGTATATTTTCCCTAGAGAGCTGCACCTTTTGGATGCAGGACAAAGCTCTCGAGCAAGGTCTCTGGAAATTAGGAAGTATCTAGCAATGCCATATTCCAGAAAGATTCACAAAATTATCTTTTCAGTGAACCAAAGCCTGTCAACAGAGACAACTGAGGGCAAATCTACCATTTAGCAAATCTATTTTTCATATATGAATGTTTGAATTAATGCTTGGTCAGACTAAAGAAAATAGCTTGGATTTTTGAGTAATATATTAAATTTCAGTGACAATTCCTAGTGTGTATTTGCTAAGAATGGACAGAAAGTGCTAGGAATTCAATAAACTAAACATTGCACTCTTATTGTCAGCCTAATAAAGAAAAACACTCAAAGTTTTCATGACTGGGTGTGAGTAATACAGAGTAGTTGTGGAACTTCCTTAAATCTGTCCTTGTAATTTGAAATACCCCACAGTACTTTTAGTTGCTGAACACATGTTTTTCTGCAATTGTGGTTTTGTTCTGTAAACTTAAATGTGTAGCATAAAAAAAAAAAAAAGTAAAACAAGCACAAAGAAAACTTGCATTTCATATCTAAAAAGAAAAATGTATTCAAGATTTTCATGTAAAAACAAATCAGGGACATGCTTAGTCATGGTCCCTGATTTGAGAGAGCATTTTAGAAGTGCTGTATTTTTCTCAAACCTTTTTTATTTTGAGTAGCACACAAAAAGTACTTGGTAATTCCCACACATTAAAAAAGTGACTTTATACAGTGAGACACGTATCAGAGGTTAATGTAAAAGAACAACAAACAACAAGCACTGAATAAATTCCTCCTTCATTTCTAGGTTGGGTCAGGTAATCTATATTGGGCTGCATTATTAAAATACATATTTTTGTAGGGGGAAATTATTTCAGAAAGACAGAGTAACTTTAATAAGTAATGATTCATGCATTCTTCAAAATTGATTTAAAACAAACAAAAAATCCCAGTGCTCCCTCCAACCCTTCCCAAATTAAATGACTGTCTTTAAGAAGTGATGTGTAAAGCCATGGGTTTGAGTCACACTGTTATGTTTATATAATGTGGTTTATTCAAATCATCCCTCATCTGAATAATACTCAGTAATTCATTGTGTGTGTGAGTCAGGCTGCCTACAAAAATTTCAAACTCTGACTTGTTTTTGATATTGCTCTTTTGGCTTCTCTGTTCTCTGGTTTTATTGCTTTAAATGTCTCTTGTTCTGACTTCCTTGGACTAGTTTTTTTTTTCCCCTCTGTTTTCTGTTTTTATAATTCAAACCTTTTTAACTCTTTTTATGAAAGCAGAGGGCAAAACTGGCAACACACACTATATCACCACACTTCCCAGGGATACAATGGATGGGTTTTTATTATGTATAGCTACAAAGAACAGTGAACAGACAGGTGCCCGGATCAGAAGAAATTCCTAGCAGGAATATAACATAATGCACACATCTGGGACCTCCTGACACTGTACAGGACAGCAATTGTGTCTTTCTATTGCACTTCCATTAAATTATATAAAGCTAACAAGTATTGGGTGCTTCCATGTGCATTTGCAAGGTTGGAGTGTAGTAAAGCAAATATGCATTACAGCCAAAGAAACTATATTCCCTCTTAATTCCATACTGAAAACCACAAATATATAGGAACAAAGTCTTTCAGTAGTATTTTCACAGTCACATTCTTTTTAAAATTTAGTTTAAACTATGCTGCAAGACACTACTGCAAAACAGTAATAATTTCATCACACTAAATTATCTTCAACACAAATAATACTTAATCACGATATCAGATCACAGCTTTAATAAGACAACATGATGTTAACCTAATTTCAATCTGCCTTACTTCAAATCTTTGGAAAACACTGATTAAACTGGCATGTGAGTTCCATCTGTAGAACCAGCGTAGAGAAGTGGCACGGGCTTTTTCCTACCTTTTCTGGAATCATTGGGGTTAGGTGAGGTGGCACCCAGGAGTGCTGCATTTAAGAGGAATGACACCAGCAAGGCTCTGGTGGTGCCCATCCTGCCAGGAGATCCCAGTAAAACTGAGCATTAGTATTTATACCCTGCACCTGTAAAAGAGTGAGGCTCCAAGGGTCAGCCTGGCCGGCCCTATCTCAGATCAGGCAATATTTTTTATGACTACCAGATCTTTACAGAATGATTGCACAAGAGTAGCAAAGCTTCTGTTTGCTCGATAATTTGTGCTTCTCAGGAAGTAGAACTAGGGGGGAAACGAAACTCCAATCCAGGCAGAACCGGCAGATGGCCTTATTACAAATTATCTTAACTGTATGTACAGGCCCAGTGTTACCTTTGGAACCAGAATGGTGAATGTATGTATTTCCTTGCCTCAGCTATCACAGTGTTATTTTCTTACTGCTAATAGATAATTACTTACTTAAGCAGACTGTAAAACATTGCAAGGTGAGGCAGTAATTTCCAGCAGGCTTTCTTCAGCAGAGTGTCCTGGTCTTATAAATGTTTATACTTCTGTTCTCCATTTGAAACTGCAGCCTTGTTTCCCTGCTGTTTGTACATAAACAACATCATGAGTGGGATTATGTCACATATCAAAAGTAAATTAATGGCAGCTATTTGTAACATACCCTCATCTGCAGGCCTCTGTTGAGCTTGCTCTGCTTTGCCAATGCCTTCCTTCAACCTACCACTATGGTCCTCAGCTGCATCTGCCAACAAGACTCCCTTCCATCCTTCGAATCACATAGTTTATAAAAAAGGAAGAGGAGTATGGGTGAAACTAAACTCAAACTTCCTGTTGAGCCGGGGTCCTTGGCTGGTCTATGCAAAGTCTTCATGGATCTATAGATCACTCAGGCCACAACAGCCCAGAATCCTGTTTGCTGGAGTCACTGTATTGCACCTCTACTGCTGTTCCTCATCTGATGAGGAGAAATAGAAGTCAGCTAAAAACAAGCCAGTTGTTGGTCTAATATTCTTTTCTTCACTCTCCTTTCAGGCCATGCCTCTCTGTTCATTTTGGTTGTGGTGCAAACTGCAACCGTAACGCAATAGTTGACATAACTCAATATTCCTGCTGGTACATTCCAACCTTCCTTCTGCAGAGAGGCACAGCTTGGGTGTAGAGACAAAGGGGATAAAGAGTCCTCTTTCTGCAAACCTTCACAGTGCTAGAATAGAGGAAAGAAAGACAAAAGGCATGAGTCCAGAAACAAAATCAGAAGCTGTCAAAGCTGTTGCTGAGAAGAGCAAACAAACTGGAGGACAATGGTAAATACAACTGATTGTACTCAGATGTTAATGAAGAAATGTAAGCATGAACATTGCTATTCACAGCTCTACTTCCTGACAAAAGCAAAAACAATACCATGTGCTCAGTGGAGTGATCACACACTGTCGTTGGGAAGGGGCTATGGGATCATAGTACTGCCTCTAAATTCTTGAAGAATAAGACCTTTGTACCGACCCTGCAGCCCAAGCATCTGGAAAGCAGTTTTGCAGAGAAGGCCCTGGGGGTCCTGGTGAATGAAATGGCCATGAGGCAGCAATGTGCCCTTGCAGCAAAGTCAGCCAGTGGCAACCTGGTGCTGCCACTAACAGAGGAGTGCTGCCTGAAGGTCAGGGCAGTGATTCTTACCCTCTACTCAGCACTGGGGAGACACACCCGGGGTGCAAGTTCCAGTCCTGGGCTCCCCAGTACAAAAGACACGGATGGACTTAGAGGAGCAAGTCTAGCAGAGATGATTAAAGATCTGGAGCATCCCTCATATGAGGAGAGGCCAAGAGAAGAGAAGGCTCAGGGAGGTCTCATCAGTGTGTACAAATAGATGATGGGGTGGAGTAAAGACAGAGCCAAACTCTGGTTTGTGACACGGTGAACAGAAAATTTATGGATGATACCAAGGAGGTTCCACAATAGAGAAGGCCTAAATGCACTGTGGTTAAATTTATCCACAATAATTAAATCTTCTAGGCATGGTTCTTGAACACCAGCTTGGCTGACAGGCTTCTTTCCAGGCCTCAGGCATTTCAGCTGACTGGTGCATTTCTGGCACATTCAGTGAAAGGTCTTTAACTTATATGAGGGCCTATGCCTTGATAACAGGCACCTTTGACTTACAGTTGCTAAAAGGCCAGAATTCTCTGCAGATAATGTACCTTAGGTTATCTCTCTTTCCTATTGCACATGCTGACATCAGAGCAGCACAAAGTATTCTGCAAAATAAAGTACCATAAAAGTCTGCAAATAATGGGGATTATTAGGATGCATTCCTGACAGCATATCAGCAATCCATTGGTGTTCTCAAATCAGAAATAAATGGCAACTACTGCCTCAGCTCTTGACCACCTATCACTGAGACAGAATATGTAGGATCGGATTTGTCTTACTGTAATAAAAAGGCATCAGGAACAAGAAACCTGAAGAAGTTTGTCTAAGAAAATCAGCTTCAATTGACTCATGATATCTGCCATCAGAACTCAGCTGTTTGCTGGAACAAGTGTTCAATAAACTATACTGTTATACTTGGAATTAAAGAAAAAAATATGATCTTTTTTTATGCAATTTCAGTAAAAAAATTTCAGCTTCAAACTACTGAAGATTGAGTTTTTCAGTCACAGTTGACATTTTTAGTGGTACTTAGAGCTGTTGGAGACTATAGAAAGCTCTGCTGTCTCCACTGATCAATAATCAGTCTTCACAGTGATCCTGCCCAGGAATGCTCTGCAGGACTTCAATTCTTCAATATTTTCCAATTCATTTTGTGTTGCACACAGGTAGGTAATACCCCATCAGGGGAGCCCCCAGTACTGCTCACATTTTTACTCTTAGTCTGCTTTACTTCTTCCCTACTACAGGAAAAATGTTTGGTTGTAAGTCTAAGGAGGCAGCAAAAGATAAGTATCAGAAATCTTAAGAAGAGTCATTCACAGGTGAAATCGATCTGTACAGCACCCATACCCACCACTAACATTTGGGTGCTGTCCTGGCTGGGTAGGGTCTCATATCCAGCAAAACCCATAGTATGAACAGAGTCATCTCCCTCATGACATGACACACCTGCATTTTGGTCCCAAAATGAATGAAGATCTTTGACAGCCCTGCATTTAAAGGGTTTCTGGCAAAGGGCGTGAGAACAATTTCAGCAAATGCTTCTTATGGGCCATATCTGCTCCTGCCTTACATGACCATGCAGCTGCATTCTTTAAATCTGCTTTATGTCTGATCCTCAAGCCTGGCTTTTGGCTTCCTTTTTACACTCCCCTATTCAAATCACCCTGAGTTCTTTGAAGCGCTTTTAATTGAGTGATCTTCCGTCTTCCTTTTATGCCTGTTTCTTTTCTGAGCTGTACTGAGACAAAATACACCTGGCAGTAGCAGCTGGCCACTGAAAGAGAAGCTGTGAACAGAGAAGTCGATTTGGTTCCAAGATTTCCAGCTCTTCAGTGTTTCCATCTGTTACCCTTCATGCCCCGACCTTGCCTTCAAACCAGAAGGACCAGCAGGAAGGAAATGATGCTACTAGTTACTAAAGGGGATTGCTCAAGGAAAGTCATCTCTTCAGATGCCCTGAAAATGTATTTGAAGCTAACTCACTGGCCACAATAGTATATCCTTGCCAAGGGTTTTTGTTCAGCCTATTTACCTCCCAGAACCTATCATGATCTAAAAAAAAAACCCAACAAACAAACAAACAAACAACCCAAACCCCCATCAACCAAACAAAAACACACAACCCTCCCCCAAACAAAAAACAAACAAAACCACAAAACCTAAGAAATCCATAAACAAATCCACAAACACAAAAACCCAAACCTAAACAATCCACAAAAAAACCCCCAAAACAAACCTTAAGGCAATTTTTCTTCTGGCTAAACACAGAAATGCAAAGAAAAAGCTGAATTAAGCTAACTCAAAAACAATCACCTCTATTTACTTGGGATGTTAGTAGTTTAAAAAAAATTTTTTCTAAATAAGAATTCCTTCGTGTGGTGTAACTGTGGTACCATGTCTTGCTGTATTTGTGTTTCAAGTCTGGAAAAGTCAGGCTTGCTGGTTTTAGACTTTCCTGTGCTCAAGCCCACCCAAGCCTTTCATATAAATGCTTTTCATATGAAAATTGTGTGCCTTGGTTTGTCACTTAATCTAGAACTGGATTTTGTTTGTATCTATCATAATTCTTAACGCTTCTTAGTACTTTTTATTGCTTTTCTTCCTTGTACTAATCAAAGATCTGAAAGCATCAAGCATCTTGACTTAATGTGCAGTTTTAGTAATTAAATTCTGCACCAAAGAAAAAATTATCAATTTTTTAAAAAGTCATCCTATCTCCAGTCTAATACTCAATGCAACATAATCTAGTTTTCCGAGCTGTGTGTCTTATTTTCTCTGAATCAAAAATTTAGCAAGATAGAATGTGAAATGTAGTATTTGCCATTTCCTTTTATCTTCCTTTTTTTTTTTTTTCTATTTTTTTCCCCCACCTAGCTGGGCAGATCGTTTCTACCAGTGTGTTTTTTATGATATGAGGGGTGCTCTACATCTGACCATCTGAGGCAACACGAGCTTGGCATTTACTGAACAGATGGGCAATGACAGCCATAAATATCTCTCACTTGTTTCTCCCCCATTCCCCATCCCCAGGCACTATACAACAATTTGGAGGCAGGGAAAAGGAGTTAGTAAATTTTGCCTCAGCAAATGAAGTCAGTGTACACACATAAATTTCTGTATCAGGTGTTACACGATGGCAGCTACGTCTTGACATTTAACTGCCAGCCAAGAGAAATCGTCAAAATCAAACATTTTAATTAGCAAATGTTTAAATAAGTTACATGCATAACTTTTTAACTATGACTGGTCTCCCAGATTCTTTGAAAATGACTGAGGCAGTCGAGTGTTTCCCTTCACCCCTGCGAGATCAGGCATCCAATACACTTCTCACTAACCATTCTGGAGATGTTTGCTGAAACACTTACTGCTGGAGCGATGCGCTCAGCTTACACATTTCACAATGAGGGTGCATATTGAGGGCAAACATACCTCAATTTCCACGGTGGGAAAATCCCAAAGGCCAAGCCAGAGTGGGCTACACCTCCCTGCAGAGCCAATACCACGCAGTAGGTTTTGCTCTTCAGCATTGAAAGGCAGCAATGCTCTCAGGTAGGCTGAGGGAGCGGTAAGGTCTGCCCAGCGGGCTCCACTTTGTGCTTGCTGTTGTATAAATAACCAAGAATTAGTATAAAGAAGAGAGCCCAGGAGCTGGCTGTGCCATAATTCCTAGGCAGGCACTGGCCACGGTGATTGCCTGCCCAAGTGCTCACAGCCCAACCCAGGCACTTCAGTGAACACATCTTGTTAGGTAACGTGAGTTTTGTACTGGTCTATTTGTCTAAAAATAACAGAAAGAAAAATGTGGGAAAGGTGGTGGGGACACCTTAGAGTGAAGGCATATAAAATTTTTTTTTTTTTTTTGGTTTTCATTGACTTTCAGATTTAATAGATTGATTGCAAGCTCGACAAATATGGTCCAAGAAGAAGCTTGGATCAATAGAAATATTCAAAGTACTCACAAAAGACTCTGCATTGTGTTTGCAAGTTATCTGTTGTAAGAGTCTCATACATCTCATCCCCTGAATGATCTATATTCTTTCCTTGAGGATTTCACTGTGCTGCAACTGCTTTGCCCTTGGTGTTCCCTGGTTCACGTGAACTCAATAACACAATGAATTGATTTTTTCTTGTCATAAGCATTCATGAGTCACCCCTTGAAAAAGAAAAAGACAATAGCCATTGACTTATTCCATTGTTCTCTTCGTAGCTGCCCCCTTACACTGTAGGAAGATTGGTGTCACTTTGAACCAAGAACTCGAGATAAGAATAGTAATAATATGGCCTTTGACTGAGCTCAAGATCAGCAGCCTTGAAAGAGAAATAAGTGCTACCACAAGCCTTTTCCACCAAAATTTGGTGGAGCACTTAAGGAAAGAGTGGTTAAAAAGTGTGAGTAGATGTCAATTATTAACAATCATTACCTGCATTTACTAAGAACACTACAATGACTACACTATTCAACCTGAAATTTAAGATATGATATATAACTGGAGAAGACATACATAGCCAAGGAATGGTGAGGAAAACCTCAGACCTTAATGCAAATATGACAGTGTAAATACAACTGTGGGGAGGTTGATATACTTTCTCTTCATTCAGTATTTAATAGAGAGAAATTTATAGAGACAGTTGGTGTTTTGCTGCAATTATATAGGTTGTAGTTGCATGATAACAGAAATTTATTAGAAACCATTAGCTACTCCACATAGTTTAGTCATAAATATTAAGTATGTCTGAACAGCTAAACTTTCATCCTCAATCTATATTATCTCTTAGCCCTCTTTCCCTTCAAGACCCTTCCTAAGAAAATTCCCCTCTGGCTTTATGCGAATACTTTTTATCACATTGGCACCTGATAAGTCAAAGGTGTTGAACTCTGATAGAAGGGGTTTTCCCTTGAGAAGTTTTGAACATGTTCCCAGCACCCTCAACTCCTCTTCATCAAACTTTAGCTCCAGACCCTTTCCAAGCTCTGGACACACTCCAGCACCTCAGTGACTTTTTTGCAGTGGGGGGCCCAAAACTGCACCCAGGGTCTGAGGTTCCTCACCAGTGCTGACTCCCTGGTTGTCCTGGACATGCTGCACGATGGCACTAGGGATGATCTGCTCCATAACCTTCCCTGGCACCACGGTGAGGCTGATGGGCCTGGAATTCTCCAGATCATCTTTCCAGCCCTTATCAAAGATGGGTGTCACGTTTGCTCACTTGCAGTTGAGTGGGACCTCCCCAGTCAGCCAGGACTGCTGGGGAATGATGGAAAGTGGCTCAGTGAGCACTTGCACCAGCTCCCTGAGTACCCTGGGGTGGATCCCATCCAGGTCCAGAGACTCGTGGGTGTTCGAGTGGTGCAGCAGCTCCTCTTGGACCATTTCCCCTTGGATCACTGAGGCTTAACTCTGCTCCCTGTCCCTGACTTCCAGCTCAGGAGGGTGGGTAACCACAGGACAACTGGTCTTACCTTTGAAGGCTGAGGCAGAGAATACATTAAGTACCTCAGCCTTTGTCAGCATATTTCCCTTCACATCCATAAAAGGAAGGAGATTCTCCTTAGCCCTCCTTTTGCTGCTAATGAATTCACAGAAACATTTTTAATTGTGTTTTACAGCATCAGCCAGAGTAAATTCTAGTTTGGCTTTGACCCTTCTGATGTCCTGCCTGTATGACCTCATGGCATCCTTGTAGTCCCCCTGATTTTCCTGCCCCTTCTTCCAAAGGTCTTAAATGTTGCAGTGAAGGTGCCAACGGTCTGTTGACTCAGGTGGAGCAGACCTGAGAGCAGACACTGAAAGTTCATTTTAACCTGCCTTGGCCACAGTCCCAGGACAGCCTTATCAGACACAGTCCAGCACTAGGGATGAAAATGCCCTTTCCAGAGACCTCAAAGCAAAGCTGCTCTGATGGCTCAGTAGCTGAGGATCTCTCAATATCTCTCCCTCCAGCACGTTCCATCCACAAAATTTATTGCTTATTGGGGAAACAGGCCGAGAAAAAGTGTAAAGAAGGGAAGGGTAAAGGTACTTACTATTTGTGCTGCCTTAGGAGCGTGTTTATCTTATTCCCAATAAGATGCAAAAAAATTTGCCTGCTCCTGCAAAGATTGCTGGTGTGGGGTATAGTGTTTTGAAATCGGAAAATGAGGTGCTAAAATCGTCTTCGGCTTTTGAGAGGGATTTGGGAGAGAGTGAATAAACGGACTACTGAGAATGAGTTGCTCAGGGCGGAGGTCAGAGAGCTTAAATTGTTGCTTTCGGGAAGTGATAAGAAACTACAGTTAAAGGATTAGTCGGGAAACCTTCAAGTCCGTATCTAATTTCGACACCGAGATTTACAGCAGTGATAGCGAGGATGATGATGAATGTGTGGAGGTTTTGGATACTGAGTGCCAGGCATTCTCGGAGTGACAGCCCTTTTGCCACCTTGCAATTTTCAAACAGTTTGTGTTTTCAAGTACTGCACTCCAGGAAGGCGTTATTAACCCTGGTAATGCTCATTTATTGCTAGTAGTTGGTCTCTTTTTCCCTGTAGAGATGCAAGCCGAAAAACTGGCACCTCTGCCTTATATGAAACAGAGCTTTGATACTGCAAAAAGAAAAAAAAAAAAAAGCTATACTGCCTGCACTTGAAATTATTTATGGGCAAAGAAAAAAGAAACAAACAAAACAAGCAAAGAAATAAACAAACAAACAAAACCCTAGACATGGGACTTTTGTTTTCCAGAATTGATTTTGCCTGACAGTGAAGTGCTAGGTTAACCTGGACAAATAATTATACTATCATGGTAATATTATAATTAGGATTTGTATGAATTTTATGGGAGGGCCTGACTTAGGCAGTAGGGCACAGACTAAGCTGTTATGCAGTGCTGATCTCACAGCAGATCTGGACCACAAATACGACCTTCCTGGAATTTTTTCACAGCTCAGGTTTGTGAGGGCCCTGTGTTCTTGCTGGAGAACCCCATATACAAACAACATATCACTTGGAAAAACTCCAGATTAGAGATGATGTCCTTCAAGACACCAAAATTTTGAGTGCAAAATGCAGAGCCACTTTCAGGAACCAAGACAAGAAATATCAACCTAGAAACACTGTCTTCCTGGTTTTGTAATTACATAATTTATATTGGAAATCGACCGTAATAGAAAATAACTTAAATAGCTCATTTTCTCAACAAGAACTTACCATAAATATTCAGACATTATATGTGATGATCTCTATGCAATTGGAAGAATAATTTTTGTCTTTCAGCCATGCATGATTATCCAGGTATTTTTAGCTACATAAAACCTTCTTCATTTGAAACATTTCGTTATTCCATGAAATTTTTATGCAAAATTTTATCTGCTTCTCAAAAAATTGATAGGAAGCAGGATTAAAGAGAAGGCTTAGGAGAGTATAACAGCAGCACTTGAGTTCAAATATTGTGCTTGCTAGCACTGACTGTAGTGAAAACAGAAAACATTTCAGGGCAGTTCCTGCAGTCCCTCGCCTGATGGGTAAAGGCACACATTGCATCACACTGAGATTTACTAAGTACCTCTCACAGGTACAGATGGGCTCCATTACCATTCGTAATTTACTCACAACTACCCTATGGAAAAGGAGGACTCTTGATCTTAATTTACATCTGAAAAGGCGGGAAACAAACTCATGTTTGTTGTGGAGCAAGAACCAGCCATCTGTGTTCTCTACAACCCAGGCCCTATTTTTCACTACCAGAGTCAAGATAACCATCTTGAGAGAAGTAAGCTGATGATTCAGGTACTGTGATAAGATTTGAGAACCTAATACTGTAGGCTGGCAACAAATCTGAGGGTTGTTAATGGGCTGCAAACTTCCCCTGCTCTTCTGGCTTCTTTCAGTGCTGAGTTTTTTTGTCAAACCCACCTCTTTTCACGACCTGAGCCACCACCATAGAAAGCCTGTCATGCTTGGATTTTAATCTCGAATTGTCAATGAAATTACTCAAGGCAAGGATATTGCTCAATCCCTCAGATTGCTTTACCAATGTGATCAGTTGTTGGTGTTTACCAAGGCTTACAGGATCTGGTATGGAATCAGTTTCTTCACTTTATGTTTCAAGAGAAACCCAACAAGACTGAAAACAGCAGCTGGGGACAGACCTCATGCTGGTCTGCATCTTCCTCATGAGGGGAAGCAGAGGGACAGGCACTGGTCTCTCATGTGAACCAGTGACAGGACTCAAGGGAATGGCCTGAAGGTGTTTTAGGTTTTATCAGGATAAGATTCCTCCCGCAGAGGGTGGTGGGGCACTGAACAGGCTCCCCAGGGCAGTGGTCATGGTCCCAAACCTGCCAGACCTCAGGGACTGTTTGGACAACCCTCTCAGGGACAGGATGGGATTGTTGGGGTGGTCTGTGCAGGGCCAGGAGTTGGACTCAATGATCCTTGTGGGTCCCTTCCCACTCAGGGCATTTTATGATTCTATGAACTGCCAGGGGCCAACAACAATAACAAATGATGCTTGAGAAACATGAGATACAGAACAGGAGTTGAATTCATGCTCTCCTGGATGACAAAAGAGTCCAGCTCTTGGAAAAATGAGAGAATCTAGTTACACTTGATCCCTCATCTTGTTATCACCAAAATATGAAAAAAAATGGGGGGAAAATGGCATTCTAGATCAGATTTAAAGATTAACCAACTTCTTGCACTCTGATACATCCAGGCTCAAGCATATATTAATAGAACTTGTTTGTAGAACTTAAACTGCAACTTAAACATTTCAGCTTTACCATTAAGACAGCAAACAACAAACAAAAAGCTTAGAGATCACAAAACTGACTCCCCACAGAACTGCTGAAATAGCATTTTTTTATATGGAGATGAAAATGACTGAAGCAAATTGGGATTAACAGGCATGAATCAGTAAGCACATTCCTAATGTTTATTCTAGAGCTTCTGGTAATCTAGCAGCAGAGTTTCTTTCAGAACTCACTTGGCACTGAAAGATCAATCTGTCAAAGGAGACAGTTTTACTTAGATCCAAGTTCATTCCTATTCTCATTATCACGTTCCCAAAGCTGTATTGGGCCAGCAATAACAATCACGCTTTCTTGGCCAGAGGTTGCCTCTCTCTTGGACCTGTTAATGCAGCCTTGGTAGCACCTGGAAAAGTAGTCAGAGGCCCTGCACACCGCCAGTTCACAGCGCAGGTAAACCTCTGGATTGCTCCAAACAAACTGGAAGGCCTTGAATTTAAACCTCAGGATGTTTCTGCGAGGTGAATAATATGTAGCATAGGTAGAATCTCGAACACACCTGAAAAGAAGCAAAAAAAAAAAACACCACCTTTCATGAATACAAACTGCAGTCATTTACATGCAATAGAACATATGATGTGGGAGAGGAGAGGAGAGAAAAAAGGGGACAGATACAGGAGTTCAAAGGCAGTTCTATCTGCAATTGTTATGCATAAGAGCTCACCCATTCCGGATGATGTCATAGGTTTCTGCCGTAGAGTTGTGGGGAGATGGAGATGCCACACACGTGTCCAGAAACAGCACCAGGTTTGGATCAGAGCTGTGCAGGTAGGCTTGAAGGAACAAATTCTGGTTGATATGGACGTAGTATGGTGAGTCGTACACTGGCCGTGAGAAGGATGAAGAGTCATAAAACGTAAGGTTTACGTCATATCTGCTGTACTGAGTTTCGTTGACTTCAAAATTGTTGTCCGCGACGTACATCGTCTGTGCCCACGTGTCCTGGAGCATCTTGCAGTTGACATGCAGGTGGAGATTTCTGTTTCTTGTGATTACAGTATCAGAAGAGGACCCTTTAATAACGTTGGAGTAGCTGATTGTATTGTTGTTTCCCTGTTTGATGCATAAAATAAAAGGCAAAATTAATTCATGTAGTCAGGTACCCTATTGCACCTTCAAACTTTGCTGTATCCTTACAGCAATGTGCACAGTAAAATCATCATTTCCCAGAAAGTTTGCCATGGAAAAGTTTGAATCCAATAATTTCTGTCCTCAAGATAAGAATCTATAATCTCCATGTGATATGCAGTGTTGGCCTAGAAAACTACTCACATTAAATGCAGACATAACTGAACTACATACAACCTCTAAAATGCTTTAAACATTATAGACATAAAGGTTCAGGTCCAGCACAGTATTTAAGTTAAAATCTGGCTTTAAACATGATTAGTCATGTTTAATGAAAGCTTTGAGATGTTTTTAACCATCACATTTAGCCTGGAACCTTAAAAATGCCAAATATTTTCTTTCTTTCACAACTTGTTCCTCAGAATATCCATAACAGGCTATGAGGGAATGCCCTGGCAGCAGATGCAGGAAACACAAGGGCTAACAAACCTTATCCCTCAGGAGAGGGAGAGGGACACTTCCAGTCCCTGCACACCCCAGCATAATTTTCAATTTGTGCTGGTTTTCAAAGCTAATTCTTCTGTTGGAATTTTTCATATCCTCCCAATATTTGCCCGTTTTTTTGGAGCATCTATTCCTACCTCTCTGACTGTGCCACAGCGCGTGTAGGGAATGTCGAAGGCAACAGACTCTGAGGAGATGTTGGGCGTGCAAAAGGGGTCATTCAGGGTGAGATTCCAAACAGAGTAGCCGTGGGACTGAAGGAAGTATCTGCTCACAACCACGTGCATGTAGTCTGGCAGACACAGCAGTGCTAGTGGATGGCAAAGAAAACATGTTATGAGCTCACTGAAGTGTCCCAATAAAAGGCTGGAAGTTGCAAATTAAATTAACAATATCTTTTGAAGGAGCAGCTGATATGGCAGAAGGAGTTCAGAACCCAAACTATATACTTGAATCTGTACGAAAATGCTACAGATACAATTTAAAATCACACGAAATGGGTGAAATTGGTACAACAAGATTAACAATCAGTGAATTAGCCGATCTTACTTGTGCTGTCATCTGCTGGAGTGGAGTAATAGTTGGCCTGAAACCCTCTGTACGTGTATCGAGAGTTGCTGTGAAATCGGACGGTCATGAGGTTTGAGGAGGACGTGTATGTGCGATAATAACCAGAACAGAACTTCCCAAGGAGAGGAGAGGTGTGCAGGGGCCCGTCATAGACTTCTATGTAGTCAGAGAGGCATCTGCCACCTTCCATCCTGGGGAGAAAACATGAAAAATTTAGTTAAATGCTTAATTTTTATTATGCATTTGTTTGGGGTTTTTTGTTTTTGTTTGTTTGGTTTTGTTTCTGGGTTTTTGTTTTTGTTTGTTTGTTTGTTTTTACTTTTTTATAGCAGAAGAGTACATTTTACTCTTCTGACTATCAAACATTTGAGATAGAAATTTCTGTCTCATTAGACGCCAGCCACGTTTTTGACTAAATAAACAAAAAAAGAACACATTTCTCGTCTCAAATGTACTTAAAATCTTCAGAAAAGATCCTTGAAATCAAACAGGCCTTTGCTTAGTGAGTCCAACTTGTCAGTCCCATACATTCATCTTCCCAAGTAATAAATTCTTACTTACTGAATATCTCCAAATCTAAGCAGGACACGGAAGTTGCTCTTCACTTCAATTTCCCACACACAGTTGGCATTGTTTGGATAATTTCTGGGGTAAAATGGGCTCTGTAATGTACCAGATGAAGAGGAAAGCAGGCCACCACAAGAATAATCTTCTGCAAAGAAAGATATTCCAAATTAGAAAAAAAAAAAAACACGTTTACTTCTTTTAACCTAAAGAATGAACAAGACACCTAATCTGGTCTAAGGGACTTTCAATTTTTATTTTCATTTTCTAGCAAACACTGAAGACCCTTCTCTCACTGGTCCAACATTCACAATGTGAACGTGAGCCTTTTCATCTGGGGACCCCACATCAGGTGTTCCTTGTATGTTCTACCTGAAGATCAGGAGACACTTGTTCACTGTGAGACTGACTGAGCACATGCACAGCTTGCCTGCAGAGGTGGTCAGCTCTCCATGCTTGGATACAGCCAAAAGCCACCTGGACATGGACATAGGTAGCCAGCTCCAGGTGACAGGTAGGTGAGTTAGGCCAAGTTTCCTCCAACACAAATCATCCTGTGATTATGTGAACCATACCTGGAGGGGTCTATTTGCTCCTGCCACAAGTCCCCTGAACCTACCTGAGGGTGATGTCACGGTGGTTGTCCATTTGGAAGTACCTGGTGCTGTAGGGACAGAGCAGCAAGTGAGGGCACGGTGTACCACCCAAGACCAGGAGCCCAGGGCTGGTCATCCCTCCCCAAAGCAAATCCAGGGATACGGAAACCCAAACCCCACAGTCAGCACTGTAACCTGGGAGACCCAGCAAGAGCAACCTCAGCCATCCTGGGACTCTGTGACCCTCAGCAAGGGCAGCAGGTGACCAGACCCCTCGAACCCTCCAGCCCCAGCTGAGCTCAGTGAAATAGGGGAGTGGAGCTGGAGTTTCCAGTGCTGCAGACAGGGAAGAGAGAGCAGCAGCCACACTTGCTCCTCCACACAGCTGCCTAAAGGAGTTCACTGCTCTGAGCACATTACCCCTCTAGATTTTGGAAAAACAAGTGTTTAACCATGAGCAGGAGCATTGGTCTCTGTAGCAATGAGAGTACCAGGAACCAAGTAACTCCTCTGCCTTCAGTAAAGGTCTGAAAAAAGATGACGGCCCAGTGGCAGCACTGGGGGAGGTGGAGAAAGCCCCATCCCTGCCCAACAGGCAAAGAAACTGGGTCTGGCAGCAGCCTCATGGCCGTGCTGTCCATAAAGATGTCCCTGAGAAACGATGCCCATCAGTGGGCCCATGGGAGTCAGGAGCCATCAGAAGCCCTTTAAGAGAGAGCAGCTCTGGTCTTACCTGTGGTGCTGTTGAAGGCAAGAAATGAGGAGTAGTAGGCCTGGAAACCTCTGCGGGCGATGCTGTAGTCACTGCGGAACAGGATGGTGAGCTGGTGGCCGGAGGATGTGAAGACTCGAGAGTCGTTGGTGCAAACAGTGCCGAGGAGCCGCCCCCCGGGGGAGCCGCCGTCGAACACCTCGATGGCATCGTAGGAGCAGCTGTCGCCTTCCAGCCTGGCAGGGAAGGGCGCTCGGTGGGCACCGCGGGCTGTGCCGCCTCCCGGCACGAGCCACGAGCCCGGCCAGAGCTGCAGGGCTCGGCCCAGGCCCCGCCATAGACACGAAGCCGCCCCTGAGCCCACGGCCAACCCTCCCCCCAGGACTCACTGCACATCCAAAAACTGGAGCTCCACTCTGAGGGCCGGGTCCCGCAGCTGAATGCGCCACACGCAGCGGGCGTTGTTGGGGTAGGAGTTGGGGTAGCCCGGGCTCTGGATGGAGCCCCACAAAGCCTGCAGTAAGCCACCACAGGAGCCTGGCCCTGCGGAGAGGAGCAGAGCCCGGGCACGGGCAGAGACCTCCTGGCATCCCATGGCCTGGAGCCGTCAGAGAAAGGCCCCACCAAGGAGGCTCTGCCACAGCCCCACAGAGACCCTCCCTCCCGGCCACGTGGCATCACCCCAAAGCATCACCCTGCTGTCCCCCCAGCCCAGAGCATGGCCTGTGCTCAGCCTGTGCAGTATCCCCAATCTGTGGGGTTGGCCATCCAGCATCTCTCCATCCTAGGAGAAAGCCAAAAGCCGCCTGATCATGGTCTTGAGCAGTCAGCTCCAGGCGACCCTGCTTTAGCCAGGCTGAGCTTTGGACCCCATTACTCCAAGGTGCCTTCTAACCTTGGCCATCCTTTAATTCTGTGATCCTTAACTGAGGGCAGAAGATAGTCAGACCCCATAAACCCTCTGGACATACCTGCAGTCCATGGCACGGGGGGCATCACGCTGGAAATAGCTGTCACTGCAGGGAGAGAGCAGCAAGTGAGAACACAGTGCTTTGCCCAAGAGGATCACCCCTCTGGGAGATGCCCCCTATCCAAGGGGAACCCTGGGACAATGAAACCCAAAACCCACAGTGGGCACTGTAATGAGGCAGGACTGAGCAGCTGCAGTGCCAACTGCCCCAGCACTTGCTCCAGGGCATCCCAACTGTGGCACCATGAAGACCAGTGCAAAACCTTTTCCACTGAAGGTGTGGCTGCCTGGTCACAAAGGATCCCAAGTGATCCCGCATCATCCTGAGCATCAGGGATGTTACCCATGGTCTGTAAGTGCAGCCCACATTTGGGTCTTCTGCTCTGATGAACACAGAGCATCCCAGAGGCAGAACATCCCATGGAAAACTAGTATGTAAATAGAAATCTGTGGTTACCTGCTGGTGGAGGCACTGTTAGTCCTGAGTCTGCAAAGAGAGAAAACCAGAGGGTGTGAGACACTTGGATTCCTCATCTCCCCTCACAGTACATACTATAATCTCCTGGAGAGCTATGAAGGGATCCATGGGGAGGATGGCCTGGCTAAAAAACATCTCCCTCCTCACTCTGCACAGGAGCAGTTTCCTAAATCCCAGATATCCTTAGCACAGTCTGCAAGTGCAGGAAGAGTGCTCCCTGTGGAACATGGACCCTGCATCAGGGACATGGACCTATGACCCAGCCTCACACAAACCCCAGGTGGGTTTTCTTCAGGAAATTGCCCCCAAAACACAAAGACCCACCTGAGCATATGACAGAAGCATCTCCATGATGACAGACGTAGTACTGGTAGCTGTAGGGGCACTCCCACAAATACTCTTCATAGCCTGCACAATTCACCTCCGTGATCACGTACGGGTATGAGTCACTCGAAGGGAAACTGTGCATCACCCCGAGGGGTGATCCGCAGCCAAGCTGCCTGCACACAACCTCAGCATCTTCCATGTTCCACAGGTGTCCACACACCTTCTCCCAGTCTCCGTAGTACAGGATCTCCACGTTGCCTGCGCAGCGGTCGGGCCCACCACTCAGCCTCAGTGACAGCCCTTGGACAGACACAGACCCTGCGTCACACCAGAGCGCTCCGGGCTCAGGCAGTGACACTGGACAGCAGAGCACAGCCCTCCACATCCCCTCCAGACACCCCTCTGCACCCACAGCACAGCTCAGGGCTGGCAGCCCCTTCCTGGGCTCCCACACTGAGGGACAGACAGGCTGGGCCAGCAGCAGGTCCCATCCCCGTGCCCAGGGCCACCAGAAGGGCCTTGGCAGACGCACTCACCATCAGCTGTGATTGGAACCATGGAGGAGAACAAGTAGGGAAAAAAATCACAAAGAGAGAAAATGAATTAGGACAAATGATCTGGGAGCTGTCAGTGCTCTCTACCCTTTCCCCAGTGAGTCAAGTTCCCAGTGAAGGGCACAAGTGACAGATCTTTTTATTTCTAGCAAGGAGGCTGGTTGCTGGAGGGCAGAGACATCCCTGAATTCCTGGCTCCTGGATATTTTACTCCTTGCATACATCCCTGGCCCCATCCTAGGGCAAGCATGAGCTTTGTCATCATAATAATTTGTTCCCAAGAATAAAAACTATGATAAAAACATAAAGCTATCACTATCATGTGAAGTAATAATACAGTAAATTCCATTTACAAGTCGTGGGGCCAAGTGTTGTTGGGGAGGTACTGCTTCTTCTAGAGAAGAAAAAAACATAGATCATACCATATGTGAAGGCCAAAAAGGCAAATATAATATGAAACTTCCTCAAACCCTGTTTCAGTCTCCAGGAATTAGTAGCCAACAAATTTTAGACCCATGCGATTTCTTTTTATTGTAGTAAATCACAGCAGTTTTTCCTTCCATTAACTATCAAATGTCTTTGTGAACCCATCAAAAGCCTGCAACTGCTCCAGAGAGTGCCAAGTGCCCTGCAAGTCAGACCAGTTTTCTCAGGGTCCTCAGCCCCCTGAGCTGGAAGGCAGGGATGGGGAGCAGAATGAAGCCCCCATAATCCAAGGGGAAATTGTCAGGGACACCCTCAAATCTATGGGGGTGGATGGGAACCACCCAAGGGAGATGGAGAGGCTCAACCTAGAGAAGAGAAGGCTCAGGAGGGGCACCTTATTACTCTCTACAACTACCTGGAAGGAGATTGTAGCCAGTCCCTTCTCCCAAGTAACAAGTGATAGGACAAGGGGAAATAGCTTCAAGTTGGGCCAGGGGAGGTTTAGATTGGAGATTAGGGAAAATGTAATCATGGCAAAGGTTGGAACAGGCTGCCCAGGGCAGTGCCCAGGCACCCCAGTGGGGTCATTATCCCTGAAGGGATTTCAAAGACATGTGAAAGACACTTATAGGTGTAAATGTGTGGGCCATGGTTTAGTGGTGGGCTTGGCAGTGCTGGGTTAATGGCTGGACTGGATGATCTAAGAGGTCTTTTCAAACAAACAATTCTCTGATTCTGTCTGCTGGCTTCACCTGATCTGATCAGAAGCTGATGGCTCTGCTACTGGCATGAGAACAGGCTGTGGACGTCTGCCTCTCCCTCCCTTTCTCCAAACCAAAGAAGGACAAAAATCCTAACAGAAATGGAGCTGACACAAAATATTTGGGGAGATGGCCAGAGCCAGGCCAGTGACAAGGGAGGCTGCACATCCAAAAACTCCCGTCACAGGTTCTGCTCACGTTCCCACTACATCTAAGCTTCTCTCATGCCCTTCCACCCCCAACACCACTGATTTCATCAATACCATGCTGCTGACTGCCGCTGGCGTCGGTAACTGTGTCAAAGAAGGGTTTTCCCTGCTAAGGCTCCTGTACGGCTGATGGAAAGCCTCCAGGTGGCACTCAGAGATCGAGGGTGTCCCGTAGGACAGGGCTCTGGCACCCGGGGAAAGGTGATCTCCTTCCTAGTGCTTCTGTGATCAGGTGACAGCACCAAACATGTCAAAATTAATAAACATAATCCAAATTAACAAGGGCATTTCATGTGAGTCCTGCTCTGTCTCTGTATGGGTCAATGGAAAATGGTCTACAAACCTGTACTCAGTCAAAATTCCTCTGTGCAAACTGTGGATAACTTTACTCTGGGCTTTCAGATACTCAGAAACTGCTGCATTTATACAGACTCTGTTTTTGACATGGCATTGTGATCCCGAGGTTTTAGCCCAAGGACAGACTTAATTAAGCTCTTCATTGCAGTGATGGCTGTCGTTCTTTCTCTGAGAAGAGGGACACACCTTCACTTACATGCTACATTTTGAGTGCATTTATGTACTACTCTACAGATTCTGGATGGGTGCATTCAGACCTGGGAGCCCAGTCTGAAGGATACTGAGCCCCTGTTTAAGCTGGTGGGTTGGCTACACTGGCTACAACTACATTAGAAGAGTTTCCAAATGCAAACATCAGCCTGGAGAGAATATTTATCAATGCCAATCCTATAAACAATGTGCACTTTTATATAACTTTAAAGTTACCTGGTGTTATAAGCCATTCTGGAACAGCATCTCTTGTAGTCCAAGCTGCAGACAGCGTCAACACAAGCAAAAACAACAATAAAATCAGAACAAAAATATTAGATAAAAATAAGAACATTACATGAATTAAGTAATGAGGATGGGAAGTTTGCATGCACAGGATCCCCTGGTGGCACTGGCAGAAGGATGTCAGCTGTTTTTCAAGGGAGTGGGTGATAAAAATCCTTCTCTAGGGACAACCTGAGGGGTGGGAATATGCCCCCACTGATTAATATCATGTATCATAAAACTTATAACACTGGCTCTCAGACTCACAGTTTATGTATTTAAAGTGATTTCTGGATGCAGAAGATCCTAACAGGGACATGTGTAATGTTTTCAGTTATTTGGGTACTTTACAATCCATCCCACCACACTGCTCCTCATGCCTGCAAGGCTTTAAACCTGAATTAATTAGATGGTAATAAAAGGATTAAACAGTAACTCAATATTTTCCAGCTGAACACCAACATCCCAGCTTAGTTTTCAGTATTACTAATGGCACCTCAAATATTTATGGAGGGAGTAAATAATAAGGGCATTAAAAACCTGAAGAAATAGGCCAGACTGGTTATTTCTTTCCACTGTGTACATGGGAGCACGGAAAGGGAAAGCAGGTTTTTGCTTTTGGTCCATTAGTCCAAGCCAAGTTCATTCCAGAATTTTACACTCAAAGAGGAAGGGATGGAAAGAAAGTGTGGCAACACTTTTGATTATTTTCCATCCTACCCTCCTGCATAAAGAATGCAACAGTAGCTGCTTTAAAAGCAATGCCTTGTCTCTCCCAGCACCATGCTCAGCCAGGGAATCCTCATCTGAAAAATGGGAAGGTGTTTTTTGAACACAAAAAAGCTATTTCACCCTCCCATCAGAACCCCCAGTGCCTCTGCAAGCAAATCAAATGACACTTGTAACAAGAATTAGCCTGTGGGAAATTAGAATAAAAAAAAATAAATGACAGTAATTCCTATTATATTCTAATAACTACAATAATAATAGGATAGGGACATGTGCCATACTTGTTTTATCTAGGGCACTCTGTTATTAAACACCAGTGTGCTGGTATGTACCTAATCAAATACCAACTCCGTTGTTCAAAGTGCACCTCTTCAAAAGAAACATATCTTTAGTCCAGAAAATACTTATTAGTCTTTAAATCCATTACCCCAATATAAAGAATTGGAAATTTATATCATTGGCTTTGCAGTATATTCATTTTATTTTACCAGGCTCTTTACAAAAATGGTGAGAAAAAAATTGAGTTCATTAAGCAGTTTTAATAAAATTGATTTACTCAGCTCATAGGCTTGACCTGCTCGTGGTTTTCCGAAGAACTAAGCTGTGCTGGTAAATCCTCTTTTACCCTTAAACCTCAGCATTATCCTGGGGTGAAATATAGCCATGAAGGAGATCAGAACTGAGACTTGTTACCTGCATCCACCTGGATCTGAAGACTTATCATCACCATCCAAGACAAGATCATGGTGGCAGCCATCTCCTTGCAGCTGCTGGTGCGGGAGGGCACCAGAATTTATAGGCAGGGACTGCACCAAAGGGTGTAGCTCAGCAGCCCAATCTCTCACTTCAGCAAGTCAATACCACATTCCCCACTGCTCTCACTTCCCTGACTTCCATGGCCATATGTTTGATTTGTTAACCAAGATTTATAATAGCTTCCTGGTTCTGCAAGATGACACCACCTGACTTCTGATTCAGGGGCAACAGAGACCAAAAGTGGTTGCAAAAGCTGCTATTTTTCCATCCCGTCCCTCTTTGGCTGTGAAGTTCAGTTGTGGCCAGTTATGTAACATGTCCCTTCCTTGTTCTTAGGTTTGAGCTGATTCTGAGCCAAAGCTGCTTTTTAAGATGGTGTAGAAGAGCTTTCCTTTTTGGGACTGCACATGTGGAAGGGTAAGACCGCGGTGGGAAACAATCGAGGGGCTTATGGAGACCCTTTATGCTGGCCTAAACTCTGGTACACCCACCCACTGCTGGGAGGGCATCAGACAGAGACAACCATCATGTCTCTAGTCCCTTAACTTTGCTGTGAATGTGCAGTTTCAGGGACTGAGTCAAATCAGTAAGGCTGGAAAAGACCTCAAAGATCCTTGAGTCCAACTGTCAGCACCGACACCGTATCCCCCAAGTGCCACACCCACGTGACTTCTGAACACTTCCAGGCACTGTGATTCCACCAGTTCTCTGGGCATCCTGTTGCAATGCTTGACAACCCTTTTGTGAAGGAATTTTTCTTAGTAACGTCCTCTGGCACAATCTCAGACCGTTCCCTGTTGTCCTGTTATCACACCTAACTTACCGTCACGTGTTTCTCAAATATTAGTTACTTACCTGACTTTCTAGAGGTAGAAGAATTTGGAACTAGAATGCTGAGTTGCCTTGAATTCCCCCAGACTTCATTTATGTGTATTTCTGTCCCTACAGATGTCACAAAAACATGCAGTAAAAGTGAGTATCTTCATCTTTTTCTGACCTCCCCCTGTTCATCCTTCATTGTGCTCTGAAGGATCATCACCAGGGCAGCAAGACTCAGTATGTTTAAGCTCTACAAGCTGCCTACAGCAAATCTGAAACCTCCAAAGTAACATTTTGACTTTTGTCTCAAATTCAGTGGTCGTACACTGATCATTGTTAAACAGTACAACCCTTCCTGGAGAACAAGGAGTATAAGTCCAGTGATAAGGGCAAGTATAGAAAATAAAGGAAAAATCATCCAAAATTCTCTGTTTCTGAAGCCCTTAATAGCATTACAGATCCCTTGACACAGTCCTCCCACTGGGATTTACCACATATTTAAGTGGTTAATTAACAGTTAAATAATGGCATCCAATGGAACTCTGCAGTGAATTTTTACAAAGAGAAATTATCATGGTTGGGTTTCAAAGAACCTACATTTGCACAACACTGGTAACTTTGGCAGTGTTTTAACAGTATAGAAAACCACAGAATCACAGAAATATTTAGCCTGGAAGGGACCTCCAGAGGCTGTCTGGTCCAACCCCTGGTTCAAGGTAGGGTTATCTTCAATCAGTCAATCAATCAACCTTCAGAATGTCTCAGGGTCTGAGTTATTTCTGTAACACAGAATTCTGCATTTTCTTTTATAGAAAAAAATGCTGCAAAAACTTCTAGTCGATAAAAATTCGACAGGATAGTTGTTCCTACTGTTATTTTTGGATGAGTTGGGATTTATTACTGATTGGCAAACATAATACTTCTCAGAAACCCAGAAACAGGTTTCTGGTGCCTCATGAAACATGCAGCGCATCTGTCCTGGATGGTCAGCACCCAAACTCAGCCTCACACAGCAGAGGAGAGCCAGAAGAAGATCAAAGGGAGAAAGGAAGCACAAACTCCATTGTGAGAAGGCAGAAAAATGAAAGGAGTATTTTGTTAGACATGCAAACAGTTCACTGGCTTGGTAAACATGGGTAGATTTTTCTTCTCATGGGTTTGCAAGGCAGGTGGAGGAAGTGGTCATCTGCAGGGACTGAAGAAAGTGAGGGACGTGGCTTGGTAAATAAACAAACTGGGGCAGCTGTTGCATGCCCAGAGAGACAAAAGAAAAACAAAAACATTAAAAACACTGACAACTCAACAAAAACTGTCAATATCTGAATGTAAAAAGAGAACATGCGAGGCAACTCCAAACAGAAAGGCTGAGGCAAGCTCAGCATGGCTTGTCCACACAGGCCCCAGTGGCAAGGATCACTGCACAGCCATCCTGCTCCAGGGCTGGCATTCTCTGCATGGAGCCCAGCATTCCAGTTCCTCTGTCCCTGGATAAAAAGAGAGTGTGGTGGATTGACCTTGGCTGGCTGCAAGACACCCACCTGGCCCCTCTCTCATTCCTCCTCCTCAACAGGACACAGGAGGAGAAAATAAGATGAGAAAGTTGAGTTGAGATAAGGACAGGGAAATCACCTACTGTCAAATGGAAAACAGAATCAACTTACAGAAATATGATTTCATTGCCAATTAAAATAGAATTTGATAGCAAGAAACACTGACAACTTAAATAACAACTCCCCTGCTGTTTACACGGGCTCAGCTTCACTTCTTCATTCCACTGCTGTGCCTCCCCCCTCCCTGAGTGGCACAGGGGCACTAAGGGGCACTGTGGTCAGTCCACAGCACTTTGTCACTGATGCTCTGTCCTCCTCACTCTTTCCCCGTGCTCCACTGTGGGTTCCTTCCCACAGGCTGCAGTCCTTCAGGATAATCCAAAATGAGCTCTCAGTGGCCACAGTTCCTTCAGGAAATGTCCTCTTGCTCCAGCACAGGGCCCTCCATGGGGACTGTGGGGCCACCTCTGGTCTGGCACATGGAACACCTTCTCCTCCTCCACCTTCTCCAACCTTGGTGTTCGCAGGGCTGTTCCTCACACGTTTTCGCCCCCGAATCTTCATTCCCTGAGTGGCATTTTGTGCATTCTTCAATATATTTTCCCAGAGGCAGCACCCTGAGGTGGGACTGTTGCAGGGATGGCTGGAACACACCAGAGATGCTGGGTCAGTGATCGAGACACCAGTTGGCACATGTTGAATTGACCCCTTCCATTTAATGTACTGTTTCTTTTGCAGCTGTCACTGCATGGTCCCTGATACTGCAGAAGAAAACTGAAGGGTCAGTGGTAAAATATTGCAGTACTATTGACCTGTTTTTTGCACAAAAAGATGTTTCTTCCCACCAGAGAGGATGGCTGATGGGGTGGGGGGTTTTGTTGGCTCTTGGCTCTTTTCATCAGAGCTGGAACTGGATGAAAGCATGTGCAAACACTAGTTTCAGTCTGGATCCATCATGGCTTTAAAAGTCAACTATGCAATGAAATGCTTGTCCTTTGGGTGGGAGAAAGGATGCAAGGTGTTCACACTTTTCTATTAACATTCAGTTCCCACTAACTCCTTTGAATTTAACTGATACCGTAATTTCTAGCACAGCATCAGGGATGCTCCTCTGTCATAGGACACATCAAGGGCCAGAAAGCAGGTACCAGTGACTCACCCCAAGCTGAACCATCCTCCATGGCACACCCCTTCACTGGTCCCCAGCCACTCTCCCCATTTTTCATTTTCCTTGCACCTCTGTCCACAGCTTTGTTTGCACAAGTGTGACCAAAGCAAATTGTAAGGCAGGAATGGTTTCACTGCATGAGGAAATAAAGATTTATGATTAAACTATGTTTGCTTGGGTCAGTGAAGATTAAATGATTTAGTCAGACACTGGAAACAGCCACGCTACCTGTCCATGGGAATACCACCTTCCCTGCTCAGAGAGGTCTCCTGCCACCCCTCTGCTGCTCTTGCTTCCAGCAATGACCATTTCTCAGTGGCCACTAAGTTACAAATCAGTTCCTTAAGCACAGTGGTGCACCTGGCAGCACGTGAACGAGAGAAAACAGTGCCAAATTGACTTTTCCTGGAGAAGACTTGCTGGCACTCCTCAGTCCCTGGCCTCTCTGGCTGCTTTGCTCACCCATACAGCCCTGAAGATTCCTCCACATCCTCGAGAGATTCCCCCAGCACCACTGCAAGCTTTTCTTCAGTCCACCCGCTGCCTCCCTCGTCATACAGCTGTGGCTGTGCTCACTCTGGATGCCTGAGAGCCCATGCACAGCTGGAACAGAACCAATTAAAGGTGTCACTTGATTACAATGTCCCAACAACAGAGAAGCTGTGGGCAACCACATAGACACTGCAGTCCCCACCACGTGGCTACAGTGGTGTCTTCTCTTCTCATTCCTCTTTTACACCCTCTTTCTCTTGACTTGCAGTTTCTTTCCCAGCCCTCTCCTGTCTGTTCCATTGCTGGGTTCCTCTTCTCCTGCAGGCATGACATCCAGCTCCACGCTGGCAGCTCACAGGAGGTCTCCATGCAGGGGAGCAGAGTGTTTGTCCAAGACCTGTGCCTGGTGTGTTACGGGTGAGAGCATCCAGGTAAGCAGGTGGGGACAGCTCTTCGTGAGAGCCAAGAGCTCTACAAGGAAATAGTCTTACTGATCTTATGATACTTGGTATCTGTGGCATTCCTGAACAGTAACCGTACTCCAGCCAGAAAAATGGGGAGAAAAAAGGCTCAACACAAATTCAGGTTGAATTCAGCAAACAGTTTCATTTGAGCAAAATGCTAAAGCGTGAAAAATTTCTGTTCTGTACCTGTCATAACAAAATGTTTCAAGTACAGTTGTTGGACATGGACTCAATCTGTTCCTTAAAGCTTGAAGAACCTGAGAGCCTAACAACACAGTTCCTTTGGGGCAGGGTAAGATTACAACTGAAAAATTAACTATTCACCAGCTTTGCTATTACTGAACGGCTTTTGTGTGCCTGGAAGAGACATTGTTGAGGAAGAGAAAGGACTTGGATTGTCTAGGAAAGGCACATGGTGATGAAAGACATGGAACTTGTGCCTAGTTTCATTTTGTACTGTTCCTCATCTGCTTGGTTGCACCTCCTCTGCTTTCAGCTCCCCTCCCTCTCCCAGACCTCCCCTGACTCCAACCCATCCCAGCTAACCAACACCAACCTCTTTGAATGCAACGAGATTTGCTTCCCAAATT